AGGGGACTGTGTGAATCAGGCCTTCATGGTCGAATTGCTGCAAAGAAACCACTACTAAAGGACACCAATTAGAAGAAGAGACCTGCTCGGGCCAAGAAACACAAGCAATTGACATTAGGTGGAAATTTGTACTTTGGTCTTGAGTCCAAATTTGAGATTTTTGTTTCCAACCGCTGTGGGTGAACGGATGATCTCCGCATGTGTATTTCCCACCGTAAAGCATGGAGGAGGAGGAGGTGTTATGGTGCTTTGCTGGTGACACTGTCTGTGATTTATTTAGAATAAACACTTAACCAGCATGGCTACCACAGCATTCTGCAGCGATACGCCATCACATCTGGTTTGGGCTTAGTGGGACTATTATTTGTTTTTCAACAGGACAATGACCCAACACCCCTCCAGGCTGTGTAAGGGCTATTTTACCAAGAAGGAGAGTGATAGAGTGCTGCATCAGATGACCTGGCCTCCATAATCCCCCGACCTCAATCCAATTGAGATGGTTTGGGATGAGTCGGACGGCAGAGTGAAGGAAAAGCAGCCAACAAGTGCTCAGCATATGTGGGAACTCTCTGTTGGAAATGCATTCCAGGTGAAGCTGGTTGAGAGAATGCCAAGAGTATGCAAAGCTGTCATTAAGGCAAAGGGTAGCTACTTTGAAGAATCTCAAATATAAAATATTTTTTGATTTGTTTAACACTTTTTTGCTTACTACATTATTCTATATGTGTTATTTCATAGTTTTGATGTCTCCACTATTATTCTACAATGTAGAAAATAGTAAAAATAAAGAAAAACCCTTGAATGAGTAGGTGCCAAAACTTTTGACTGGTACTATGTGTGTATATATATATATATATATATATATATATATATATATATACAGCTCTGGAAAAAAGTAAGAGACCACTGCAAAATTATCAGTTTCTCTGGCTTTACTATTTATAGGTATGTGTTTGGGTAAACATATTTTATTTATTTTATTCTATAAACTACTGACAACATTTCTCCCAAATTCCAAATAAAAATATTGTCATTTAGAGCATTTATTTGCAGAAAATGACAACTGGTCAAAATAACAAAAAATATGTAGTGTGTCAGACCTCGAATAATGCAAAGAAAATAAGTTCATGTTCATTTTTAAACAACACAATACTAATGTTTTAACTTAGGAAGGGTTCAGAAATCAGTATTTGGTGGAATAACCCAGATTTTCAATCACAGCTTTCATGTGTCTTGGCATGCTCTCCACCAGTCTTTCACATTGATGTTGGGTGACTTTATGCCACTCCTGGTGCAACAATTCAAGCAGCTCGGCTTTGTTTGATGGCTTGTGACCATCCATCTTCCTCTTGATCACATTCCAGAAGTTTTCAATGGGGTTCAGGTCTGGAGATTGGGCTGGCCATGACAAGGTCTTGATCTGGTGGTCCTCCATCCACACCTTGATTGACCTGGCTGTGTGGCATGGCGCATTGTCCTGCTGGAAATATCAATCCTCAGAGTTGGGGAACAATGTCAGAGCAAAAGGAAGCAAGTTTTCTTCCAGCACAACCTTATATGTGGCTTGATTCATGCGTCCTTCACAAAGACAAATCTGCCCAATTCCAGCCTTGCTGAAGCACCCCCAGATCATTACCGATCCTCCACCAAATTTCACAGTGGGTGCGAGACACTGGCTTGTAGGCCTCTCCAGGTCTCCGTCGAACCATTAGACGACCAGGTGTTGGGCAAAGCTGAAAATTGGACTCATCAGAGAAGATGACCTTACTCCAGTCCTCTACGGTCCAATCCTTATGGTCTTTTGCAAACCTCAGCCTGGCTCTTCTTTGCTTCTCATTGATGAAGGGCTTTTTTCTAGCTTTGCACGACTTCAGCCCTGCCCCTAGGAGCCTGTTTCGAACTCGCCGTGCACTTCACCCCAGCTGCCGTTTGCCATTATTTTTGTAGGTCACTTGATGTCATCCTACAGTTGTTGAGTGACATTTGAATGAGTTGGCGGTCATCCCGGTCAGTATAGTCGTTTTCGCCCTCTGCCGGTCTGTAGCTTTGTTGTCCCCAATGTCTGCTGCTTGACTTTGTTCTTACGAACCGCCGTCTTTGATTTTAAGAATGGAAGCAACCTGACGCTCACTGTATCCCTCTGCCAGTAAAGCCAGAATTGAACCCTTCTTTTCCTCACTCAAAACCTTTCCTTTTCAACTCTTTTGGCATGGTCAATAGTTATGTTTTGATTAATATTACTTTTGAGGTACTATTAGCACTGTTTTTGCCATCCAGCTGGTCCTATTGCAAGAGGATAGTGATGACCACAGCAGTGGTTTTTATACTTTTCTTCGTTAAATAAGATTTGGTTAAAGGTGATCACCTAATCAGTACCTAATTCAGTAGAATGAGGTGTGCCTGTGTTGGAATTCAACAGACATGGGAATGGAATGGCTGTCATACATGTAGAGATGCTGATTTAACAAACATTTGCAGTGGTCTCTTAATTTTTTCCACAGCTGTGTGTGTGTATATATATATATATATTTATTTTCATTCTCCGGACTAACATTTTTCGCTCTGATATTACTTAATTCCTTTCTTATTTTGGGGATTTGTGTGTATTGTTAGGTATACTGCACTGTTGGAGCTAGAAACATAAGCATTTTGCTGCACCTGCGTTAACATCTGCTAAATATGTGTACGCGACCAATACAATTTGATTTGAGGAGTTATATCAGATGCAACCCAAAATACCCAGGCTAAAATACAATAAAAAAAAACTGCATGTGTTTTGTCTTCACAATAACGAAATTCACCCCAAATCCTTTGAAAGCCCCCCAAAACCGACAAAAGACAAGGCACAGCCACAGATCTCATTTCATTAGACAAAGGCAAGTTTAATTAGAACCAATTACACACAAAAATAAAACACTCTTACAAAAATTATAGTGTTAAGTACATCTAATTGCATCAGTCAGCTATAAGAGATATAGTCCTGCTAGTGGATCATGCAAAAAAATGAAGCAACAAAAAACTGCATCTCAAATTTGACTTATTATTAAAAAGTTCCATTCTTCAGGGAGGCAGCTATGGAGTAATGCAGAGAGATTTTGTGTAAGAAACAGACTGTAGAGGGATCTTTTTGTGCATTTTAAAGTAAATGAATATGTTTACATATAAAATCAAATCAGTCCATAACCTATCTGGTAAATAGATAGAAGTCACCTATTACATAAGGCGACAAATAGTTCTGTATGTGTGCATTTAAAAAAACTTAAGTTAAAAGATAAATTACAGGTTGTGTGATCCAGGCAGCCTTAAAAAAAAAAAGAAAACATTCAACAATTTGTTTGAATGAGTAGAAAAGAAATATGTTCTCCCCCAAATCCATACTTGGAGAGCTAGGTTCAGGTGAGTAGAATTAGGGGGTTCATCTCATTCATTCAGATTTAAATTATAGCCAATATGGAGATATAGAAAACCAACAATCACATGTCAATGTCTACTGTTGGGTTACATTTCATATGACAACTGTGGACTTTGGACTTTATAGCCGCTGAACATAATGTACTGTAGAAGACATTCAACCATTACAGAGGAAAAGTTTTGTATCTGACCACGTCAGCTCCCAAATAATACAACAAATAATATGACATCTCCTGAGAATGTGGCTTGAGGTCTGAGTTATGTTTGTTCAATTCATTGCAACTTTTTGTATGTAGTTTGCTATGCGCCCATCTCAGCCCCAGGTATGAGACTGGTTGCTAATATATTTAAAGAAATTAGCAAACTGCTGCTGTATTTAGCACCAGAAGACCATAACCGGAAGGTAGTAGTAGTTATTTGCCAAAATGACAAGAGTAGCACTTACAAAAGATCTCAAACATGTGTAATCTTTACTTAACAAAATGCATCAGGGTAGCAGGGACTCTTAGCCATTCTTTTGTGGGGACAGAGCAGATCACCATGAAGAAACAATGAGAAAGGCCTATGGAACTCATCTTACATGCCCCACCACATGAACCTACTGGATGATGTCACTAGAATTTAAATGGTCAGGTTAATATCTAAATAGTTGAAAAGATTCAGTCAAAAGTACTATGGCACTCAGAGGACAGTGTGTATTAAAGACAACCCGCCCTTAAGACCACCTCTCTACTTACTGTGTAGGAAAGAGGCTATGTAAAGATTTCACCCACAGCAATCTAAGTGAACTTCATTCAAGCTTAACTCTGCTTTCACAAATTGTCTATAATTTAAACAGTAACACTGAGTACTTAAAACATGTATTATTTATTTTTATATATAATGGCAAAAGCTTTCTGAAATATAACAGAAATAAATTATATATATATATTATATATAATTTGAGTGTTTCATTTTCATATTATATAAAAATAACACCATTCAAGCTATTTATTTAATTTTCAAACAAGCTTAGATGTCAGACACTGGTTTCTGGGAATGGAGCGCTGGTTGCTAGGTAGCATCTGAAAACTAGAGGCCCCTGCTTTCTTTGGAGAGGGTCGTTGACAGTGGGGCCCTGCATGTCTGTCTCCATAAGGTCAAGTTCTGAACATGTGCTCCAAAGTCCAGCCTCAGAGTGAAGATAGATGCCCCACGAAAGGCCTCAGTGGTAGAAGAGGACTCAGTCACCAGGGGGTGCTAAGGAGCCTTCATGCTCCCTTCATTCCCTGCCTCCAAACATACCAAGCACCATTCAGTGTTGTTGGTAACTGTGGGTAACACTGTGCTCCATCAAACCAGTGATACCAGTCTTATTTATGTGGCCATTGTTTTGTTTAGGTGTGGACTTCATGTTCTGCTTGGTAAGATGGTGCTTTGCTACATGGAATACTGTCTATTTTTAGAATGCTAAAACTGAACATATAATTTTTTTTGTTTTTAAAAGAGCCAGCCATTTTTGCAGGTTCCACAAGTTAGTAAATAGTCTGAGTTATTAGCAGCTGAAAAGGTTCTTTTTTAAAAGAGGGGTGGGGGATGAGGGGAAACCCCTAAACAGACGAGACCACTCGCTCCGTCTCCTCTGCCTCCCCCCCTCGGCCTGGCCACATGCCCCTATTGTGGGTGAGAGAGTCCTTGGGCCACTGGACCGCAGACGCCCCCCTCCCCTGGGTGAACTGGATGGTGGTGTCTGACCATGGTCGAGTTCCTCCACTCCTTGTTCCTGCCGACCCCTGCATCAGCAGCGTCTCACTCCACAGCAAAGCCACACGTCTCCTCGATTGCAGTGAGCAGCTTGTCATACAGCTTGTCATAGTGCTCGTAGTGAGGAATATCGATCCGGTTGAAGCTGAACAAAGAGAGGGCAAGAGAGACTTGAGCATTCTCTATGTTCATGGTTAACAGATACATGGGTGGAAACCTAAACCATGATGTTGATATATCAAAGTGCCCTTCCCAGCTTTGACAAAGGCATACATTGTGCCTGGAGGGCAAGCTGCAGGGTCAGAGCAGACACTCACCAGGTGTGGGCTTTGGGCAGGTTGTTGGAGCTGGCATCGATCTGGTGGATGGTGAAGAGTCGTGGGCCTGCAGCACCTGTAACATATCAACATAGTTACTGTGAAGCACAACGGCAGAGCACACTTCACTCACACACAAAAGACAGTACTGTACTGGACAGCTTGCTCAGCACTCAGCGGCGCCAAGTGTGGGCACAAAGAGCACAGGGTTTGTGTATGTTGTTGTTGGCCTGCGTGGACCCTGGTATTTAGACCAGCAGCAGTGATGGTCCTGTTATGTAAGGTGGAAGAGTGGCGTGAAGCGGCATGTCAGACAGGAAGAGCAGTGGATCACAGTGTGTTCCGCACGCCTGGGTGCTCTCTGGGCATCCTGTCTGCCAGACTGGACCCACTAAACCACTGGACTCTGCTCAGCCTGCTCTGCACAGAGGGTTCAGCTCAGGCAACAACAACACACTCTGAGGCCCTGCTCTCACTCAATGCCTGCTGAGCGGACTCGGGGTACAGTAGAGTAGAATACAAACAACGCTCACCCATCTCCCTCTGGCATAAACATTTGTTACGCTGTCATAACAAACGTCATAAGCCGTCATAATCAATATTACATGCCTATAGGGGGTGGACAAGGGCTATCTAGCAAGCAACTCCACCAGTGAAGTGCAGTGAAACACTGAGAACCTAGCTATGTACAGTTGAAGTCGGAAGATTACATACACTTACAGTGGGGAGAACAAGTATTTGATACACTGCCGATTTTGCAGGTTTTCCTACTTACAAAGCATGTAGAGTTCTGTAATTTTTATCATAGGTACACTTCAACTGTGAGAGACGGAATCTACAACAAAAATCCAGAAAATCACATTGTATGATTTTTAAGTAATTCATTTGCATTTTATTGCATGACATAAGTATTTGATCACCTACCAACCAGTATGAATTCCAGTTCTCACAGACCTGTTAGTTTTTCTTTAAGAAGCCCTCCTGTTTTAGGCTGGGTTTCTGTACAGCACTTCGAGATATTAGCTGATGTAAGAAGGGCTATATAAAATAAAATTGATTGATTGATTGATTGTTCTCCACTCATTACCTGTAATAACTGCACCTGTTTGAACTCGTTACCTGTATAAAAGACACCTGTCCACACACTCAAATCAAATAGACTCCAACCTCTCCACAATGGCCAAGACCAGAGAGCTGTGTAAGGACATTAGGGATAAAATTGTAGACCTGCACAAGGCTGGGATGGGCTACAGGACAATAGGCAAGCAGCTTGGTGAGAAGGCAACAACTGTTGGCGCAATTATTAGAAAATGGAAGAAGTTCAAGATGACGGTCAATCACCCTCGGTCTGGGGCTCCATGCAAGATCTCACCTCGTGGGGCATCAATGATCATGAGGAAGGTGAGGGATCAGCCCAGAACTACACGGCAGGACCTGGTCAATGACCTGAAGAGAGCTGGGACCACAGTCTCAAAGAAAACCATTAGTAACACACTACGCCGTCATGGATTAAAATCCTGCAGCGCACGCAAGGTCCCCCTGCTCAAGCCAGCGCATGTCCAGGCCCGTCTGAAGTTTGCCAATGACCATCTGGATGATCCAGAGGAGGAATGGGAGAAGGTCATGTGGTCTGATGAGACAAAATAGAGCTTTTTGGTCTAAACTCCACTCGCCGTGTTTGGAGGAAGAAGAAGGATGAGTACAACCCCAAAAACACCATCCCAACCGTGAAGCATGGCAGTGGAAACATCATTCTTTGGGGATGCTTTTCTGCAAAGGGGACAGGACGACTGCACCATATTGAGGGGAGGATGGATGGGGCCATGTATTGCGAGATCTTGGCCAACAACCTCCTTCCCTCAGTAAGACCATTGAAGATGGGTCGTGGCTGGGTCTCCCAGCATGACAATGACCCGAAACTCACAGCCAGGGCAACTAAGGAGTGGCTCCGTAAGAAGCATCTCAAGGTCCTGGAGTGGCCTAGCCAGTCTCCAGACCTGAACCCAAAAGAAAATCTTTGGAGGGAGCTGAAAGTCCGTATTGCCCAGCGACAGCCCCGAAACCTGAAGGATCTGGAGAAGGTCTGTATGGAGGAGTGGGCCAAAATCCCTGCTGCAGTGTGTGCAAACCTGGTCAAGACCTACAGGAAACGTATGATCTCTGTAATTGCAAACAAAGGTTTCTGTACCAAATATTAAGTTCTGCTTTTCTGATGTATCAAATACTTATGTCATGCAATAAAATGCAAATTAATTACTTAAAAATCATACAATGTGATTTTCTGGATTTTTGTTTTAGATTCCGTCTCTCACTGTTGAAGTGTACATATGATAAAAATTACAGACCTCTACATGCTTTGTAAGTAGGAAAACCTGCAAAATCGGCAGTGTATCAAATACTTGTTCTCCCCACTGTAGGTCGGAGTCATTAAAACTTGTTTTTCAACCACTCCACAAATTTCTTGTTTACAAACTATAGTTTGGCAAGTCGGTTAGGACATCTACTTTGTGCATGACACAAGTAATCTTTCCAACAATTGTTTACAGACAGATTATTTCACTGTATCACAATTCCAGTGGGTCAGAAGTTTACATACACTAAGTTGACTCTACCTTTAAACAGCTTGGAAAATTCCAGAAAATGATGTCATGGCTTTAGAAGCTTCTAATAGGCTAATTGACATCATTTGAGTCAATTGGAGGTATACCTGTGGATGTATTTCAAGGCCTACCTTCAAACTCAGTGCCTCTTTGCTTGACATCATGGGAAAATCAAAAAAAAAAAAAAAAAAAATGGTAGACCTCCACAAGTCGGGTTCATCCTTGGGAGCAATTTCCAAACGCCTGAAGGTACCACGTTCATCTGTACAAACAATAGTACGCAAGTATAAACACCAGGGAACACGCAGCCGTCATACCGCTCAGGCAGGAGACGCGTTCTGTCTCCTAGAGATGAACGTACTTTGGTGCGAAAAGTGCAAATCAATCCCAGAACAACAGCAAAGGACCTTGTGAAGATGCTGGAGGAAACAGGTACAAAAGTATCTATATCCACAGTAAAACGAGGCCTATATCGACATAACCTGAAAGGCCGCTCAGCAAGGAAGAAGCCACTGCTCCAAAACCGCCATAGAAAAGCCAGACTACGGTTTGCAACTGCACATGGGGACAAAGATAGCACTTTTTGGAGAACTGTCCTCTGGTCTGATGAAACAAAAATAGAACTGTTTGGCCATAATGACCATCGTTATGTTTGTAGGAAAAAGGGGGTTGCTTGCAAGCCGAAGAACACCATCCCAACCGTGAAGCACTGGGTGGCAGCATCATGCTGTGGGGGTGCTTTGCTGCAGGAGGGACTGGTGCACTTCACAAAATAGATGGCATCATGAGGAAGGAAAATGATGTGGATATATTGAAGCAACATCTCAAGACATCAAATTGGTCTTCCAAATGGACAATGACCTCAAGCATACTTCCAAAGTTGTGGCAAAATGGCTTAAGGACAACAAAGTCAAGGTATTGGAGTGGCCATCACAAAGCCCTGACCTCAATCCTATAGATCATTTGTGGTCTGAACTGAAAAAGCGTGTGCGAGCAAGGAGGCCTACAAACCTGACTCAGTTACACCAGCACTGTCAGGAGGAATGGGCCAAATTCCCCCAACTTATTGTGGGAAGGTTGTGGAAGGCTACCCGAAACGTTTGACCCAAGTTAAACAATTTAAAGGCAATGCTACCAAATACTAATTGAGTGTATGTAAACTTCTGACCCACTTCACATTCTTAAAATAAAGTGGTGATCCTAACTGACCTAAGACAGGGAATTTTTACTAGGATTAAATGTCAGGAATTGTGAAAAACTGAGTTTAAATGTATTTGGCTAAGGTGTATGTAAACTTCCGACTTCAACTGTAGCTACTGTACATGTCCCAGGAGGGTGAGTGATGTGAGGGTACCTTGGAGGGCTTTGAAGCCTTGCAGAGGGACCCTGGAGGAGCCGGTGACAAACTGCAGCAACCTGGCCCGGCGCTCCTCATCGTACGACTCCACGGCCTTCCAGAACCACTTGACGATGTTGGTGTCGGGGGTGCAGTGCTTCAGCCGCGTGTTGGACTTCCAGTCGTTGATGTCGATCTTACCCAGGCCACACACTATGAGCTGAGGTGGAGAGAGGGAGAGAATGTGAAATGAAAGTCAAAGGGAAACTGTAGGGAGAAAATGGATGTGGAAAATGATGATGTCCACTTGTGGATGGAGAATGTAGCCATTTTCTAAAGAATGGACAGTGAAGCTAAGTACTGCTAGTCTGGGGGATGTGTCTCATTCATACCTCCAGCTCTTTCTCGTCGAAGGCCTTGAGGAGGTGCTGGGAGATGACCTCGTTGAAGCCCTTCTGCAGGGCCAGGAACTGAGCCTCGATGCCTCGCAGGAAACGCCAGTTCACATACAGTCTGGAGGGAGAAAGAGAGTCAGAGATCTATGATTCATACTGGAACATCAAGGCTTTGCCTTCACATCAGCATGGTTCTGAGCCTCTTCACATGTACTGTACTCACTGATCCTAGGTCAGTTAACTGTAGCTGGTCACATGCAGCTAAACTCATCTGATATCCAAACAGTATCTCCTCCCTACTGGGCTTGACTGTCGACTGCTAGCACAACCCTTTTCCTGTGTGGTGAGGAGGGGCAGTGGGGGAGTACTCACCTGACATACTCCTTCTTGGTGTCCTGGGTGACCTGGATGATTTTGCCGTTGGGTTTGAGTTCGTGCTGGATGATCTCCCCGTAGGCATTGTGCTCCACACAGAAGGTGTGGTCCAACACCCCTGTGATGTCATTGTCCCTGAGAGAGACAGAGAGACAGACAGGGGGGTTAGAGAGAGATGGTGCTGGGGGAGGGGGAATGTTAATGTATGTATGGATCAAAGTACAGCTGAAGAGCTCATCATGTGTAGCTACATGATCATGAGTGGTTATTTTAGGGACTTTAAACGTACACCAGTAGATGTTATAGTTCACATACACCAAATTATTACCCTATGAAAAGATAATGAGCTATTACAATCTATCGCAATTAAAAACCATGTTAATCTCTGTGAGCGCATCTTGGTCTGTGTGAGGATGTTTTTCCGATTTCCTTCCTACTCACAGGATCCAGACGAGGCTGTTGTGGAGGTCTGGGTCGACTGACTCCATGTCGTCCAGGGTGATGGGTTTCCCCAGCAGCTGTTTGTAGAAGGGCAGGGTGAAGCCCCCGTCTATGTAGTGGCCGTGGAACACCGCCATGCCCATAATACGACCCACAAAGTGGAAGTAGGACAGGTGCTCCTGGGGAGGTAGACAGAATCACCTTTAGTCCTCTTAAACACTTCATAGTACATCAATTTAACATTGCATCTCCCAGTCTTCTGAGAATTACCAAGATTTAGCAACTCAAGGCAGAATCCTAACTTAAGATGCATGCATGCAACTCAAACATTTTCTTAAGTCATGCATGATGTCGATGGGAGATTTGCGCAATAAATCAGATTTCCTCACGCATGTCTCAAGTTAGGATTGGGCCCTTGGTAAATAATAAATACCTGTTGTTCTTACAGCTGGGAATTTATTGCAGTACGTAATCCTAACAAAGGTTAAGACTCAAAAGGTGAGCAGCAGCATGCAAACTATTTGCCATTGTAAAATATTTCCCTTATGATGGATTTAACAACCAAATGCTATAGAGGCAGTAAAGAGTCTCAAAACCGCAGATAAAGAGTTGCCTAACTCATCACCAGTATCCAGGAGCTCTAGGATCTAGCATGAGAACAGTTGATAGGTGCAGGGCCAAACAAATAGGCAGAGGAGAGCGAGAGAGAGAGAGATTGTGCAAGACTAGAGCAGATGAGCTGTCCGTGTGACCTCGTCTTTCACATCACAGCGGGGCGGGGCGGGCTGGCGGCGGCGTCTGGGTCTCTGACTCACCGGGTTGACGGCCGAGTCGGGGTTAATCTGCAGGGTGTAGATGTCATCGCGGGAATACTGGAACAGGCCGTAGTACGGATTCAGCATCTCATGGGACAGCAGATACAGCCACTCCCTGTACACACAGGAGACACAGAAAGGGACAGATAAAGAGAGAGACAGACGATGAGAACATCCATTGTGAAATCTCTTGGTCCATTCAATATTTTTTCAAGGCAGGGAACATCAATTTCAGAAAGTGAATGCTCCATGACAATTTAAAAAGCAGATGTATAATGCTCAGATTGGGTGCTTTAAATCAATATTACCACTTGGGGGACAACCTTGTTTCAGCAGATGTTGGCATTCAAATCAAAATCAAATCAAACGTTATTTGTCACATGCTTCCTAAACAACAGGTGTAGACTTACTTGTGTGTGTGTGTGTGTAAAAATGCGTACTTACGGGCCCTTCCAACAATGCACAGAGAAAAATATAGAACAAATAATAACACGAGGAATAAATACACAATGAGTAACGATAACTTAGCTGTATACGCGGGCTACCAGTACTGAGTGGATGTGCAGGGGTACGAGGCAATTGAGGGAGATATGTTCATTTAGGTATAAAGTGACTAGAAAACAGGATAGATAATAAACAGTAACGTATGTGATGAGTCAAAAGAGTTGGTGCAAAGAGGGTCAATGCAGATAGTCCAGGTAGCTATTTGGTTAACTAGTTAGTAGTCTTATGGCTTGGGGTAGAAGCTGTTCAGGGTCCTGTTGGTTCCAGACTTGGTGCATTTACTTCTCTAACACACAATAAACATCTTCTTAGTTCCATGATGATGCATATTTGTTATTTTTTCCACATGCTTTGTTGTGGATTCCTACCTGGCCACTCCTCCGTAGTCCAGCCCCTCCTCCCCTTTAAACTTCACCATCAGTCTCTTCCACAGGTCCTTCGGCCTCATCTTCATCACCTGGCGGTAAGACTCCTGTAATACATACAGAGACACCTTTGTAACGAACGGGACTGGGATGGAGGACTGCACCCCCAAACCTACTGAGTACTTCCAGAGACCATCTGGTATATACTGTACAGTCCAGGGCCTGTGCCCAGAGGGAGGCCTCTATCTGCGCTGTAATGTCTGTGTGAGTGACGCTGGCTCTGGGGACCGAGCCAAAGAATAAACATTTGTGTGCTCTGTCATTTAGGACCAGCCTGGCTGGCCCCTGCCTGCCTAGCGATGATGTACACCCTCTCCTCCCCTGCCAAAGTAACCTGAGTGTCCAGTCCAACCTTAATCAAAGCGCATTATCAGGAGGTGGGGGCGATAAGAGGACATTCCCCAACGTGACACATTCCACCAAGAGATCCCGTGAGTCTCTCAATACTGCACCCCCCCTCCCCCTCCCCCTCCCCCCCACCAGTGTCCAAGTCTCAGTGGCTCATGGGAAGCGGGGTAGGAATACAGAGTATGAGTCTGGAGAAGCCCGGCCTGTCTGCCTGTCCTAAACATGCAAACCAATGACCAAAGACCTGTGCAATTCCAAATTGCTTCAAGCTGAAGACAAAAAAAACAAAGAGAAGAAGGAACTGTCCTGAAACAATGATGAGAAACACTCCTCATGTTCCTCGCCAGAGGGGGCTTCTGTAGAACATTAGACAGCAGTGTTTTAGTAACAAACTTTCCCCTTGGCACTCAAGAGTCTGGGATCATTACACGCCACTCTGGGTTGGTGCGTTCACCCCACATGCACAGAGCTGCAGACGCAGGCCCAAGCTAGTTAAGTGTCAGGGACAGTCTCATTAAAAGTGGATTGGGAGGATAATAATAATAAACAGACAGAACAGAAGAGTGGAACAACAACACTGCTTTCTCCCCATAGCTGGTCCACTGTGCCCTCCAGTTACACTGAGGATGTGTCAGCGGTGACGCCAAAGAAATAAGGCCCTCTTATCTTTAATAGAATGTACACACTAAGACAGCTTGACAGTCCACCAGCTGACACTTGCCCACACAGCTGTATTTCTAACAGCTCGGCGTGTCCAGAAAAGCGATTAAGTTATGTCTAGCCTTAAAATCCACCCCCCTCTCCCTTTCGTGTTGAGATCAGCCAACAAAAATGTCTTCCAGATTAACAGACAAGGATGTTCCAGCACATTCCATCACATATTTAATGAGGGTCATGTAGTCTGTTGCAGGTGTTGTTGCTCTGAGGAGGCTCCACACCTCCCAAACTAGAAAACCTCCCCCACTGGGAAGTGAGTGCACTTCACAAAAGCCTTATTTCAAACAAGAGGTCTGCTTTGGATATGAACATACTCTCTTCACACATCATAGATAATAGCGTGGTGGATAACGCCGTGACAGAAACATGACGAGCAACGACCTTGAGAGGAGAGGGAAGAAGAGGATGGGAAAATCATTGCCTGAGTTTAGAAAGTGAGGTAAAATATCAGGTATAATAAACTTTTGCAGGTGTAAATGACAGCGAGGAAAATGTCCAGAGTTGATGCTTTCCTTCAGGATCGGGATAGCCAACCTCTTCAGTAATACTAATTAAAGACTCAACAATGCTGGTTGTGTTTAAGAACTGAGGGTATAACACTAATTTGACGGTCTCACCTCAAAGATCTCCTCGCGGGACACCTCCATACGGCAGTGGCCTGCCTGGGGCTGCTGCTGGGACAGCTCCTGGCGGAGGATCTTCAGCTTCTGCACCAGGTCCCTCTTGTACTTGGGCACCGTGAGGCACTCTGCCTCCTCTGGCAGATTACCTGGAGACACCAGTGCCTGCTGCGCCTGGTCCTTCAGCTGGTTCTGACGGCTGGGGATAGAGATAGAGAGAGAGAGAAATTATTGTTGAGACTTGGGGTCGTAACAACACGTACAGGTACACAAAAGTAAACCACCACAAAAAAAAAAAGAGAAAACCTAGAAAATACAGCCAGGCAGGAATTCTGTCTCCCTCCTTTTGCTGACTGGAGAACGAGAGGTAAACACACTGAGGTCATCTGGGAAGCACATCAAGTCAAACAAGCTGCCATGTGCCCACAGACATAGGTGGAGGTGGTATTTCTGAACACTCACACAGGAGGGGGCAGAGCCAGAGGGTGGTGTGATGTGTCCGTGGAGCCACATTGTCTGTCTGTTAACAGGACAGAGGTGTGGTGCAGCCAGTGGCCCTTCCTCCACACCCCGCCAAGCTCTCCATACAAACGGCCCTGTCGGACGCTCCTCGTGGGCAGCTCCACTGGGCTGTGGGCTCCTGCCGTGCTGGGCTCTGCCAGCTCACAGGTGTGTGCCATGCCAACCCCCTCCGGCGCTGGCCCCACGGTGGTCTCACAGAGAGAGATGGCATGGCACAGACAGAGAGAAAATAGACAGTTCTACAGGGGAGAAGCAAACTGTGGCCACAGCAAGAGACTTCAGCAAATAGATTCAGTGTCTGCCTCATTCTGCACTGAGCAGTGAGGGTTCAATGAGGGTGTCCATAGACCTCATGTCGTCAGCTTAAATTGTTCAGAAAGGTTCTTTATTTGTTTATTAACAGGAGTGACATTTCAGTGCAAGTTCCTTCATAAGAGGATACGTGTTGCTGACTATAGGAAACCAATAAATGAACAACCAAGGTCTCTAGGGTTCCTAAAAGCTAAGAAGACCACCTCAGTGGGTGGCTGTAACTGTGATAAAACATCAGTGCAGTAGGTTAACCTCCAAATCAAAAGACAGGCTATGAATATGATCTGCGGTGGTAGTGAACGAGATCCTTTACTCCTGCCCAAACCTCTGGCCTGAGAGTGAACTTCTGAACCACAGCAGGGTTGGTGGAAGGCTCTTCTGCTCAGACACACAGAGAGAATCAAAAGGCCCGTTATGGAGCCAGCGCTGGAGGATTATTTGCATTCTGGCCTTTTGCACTTTAGTGGGGCATAGCGGGCACGCTCACCCCCTGAGCAGGGTTATAAACACCAGACTGTACAGCCAGCCACAAAGGGTTGTGTGTGTGTGCGAGAGAGAGAGTGTGTGTGTGTGTGTGTGTGAGAGAGATGGGCAGAGTGTGTAAAGATGTTCGCATGCTTCCCAGCTGAAACAGTTTGGAAGAGTTTGTGCATATATTATGACAGCATTTTGTGACATGGTTGTTTGGGCACACAAAATGTTTTCTTGAGGCAAGCCGAAGTCAGTCGCCGAAATCTACGCCCCTTCGCCGGTGATTGGTCAACAGTAGGGATTCTTCAGTAAAGTCTTGTCATTTAACCAGAGACGACTCATTTTCATGCACATTTTTTCATTTAGAAATACTGCACCAAACATCTTAGTTAGATGTAAAATTGCGTGACTAAGATCTCCTCAGCAAAAACATCTAAATTAATAACAGATTTCTTGAGTTATCTTAGATTAATTCTGACTATTTTGAGGAAGTGTATACTGGCTACGGCATCTCAAAATGGACAAACAGTACTATTGCCACTTTTTCTCATTTTTCAAGCAAAGGTCTTTAAAAGGAGTATGTGAGCACACTCGTTTGGTTCGCCTAGCCGCCAGCTGAACTGACGCATGCTGACGCCTTAAGTGTGTGGATAAGTGTGAGAGGGGGGCAGAGAGTCTGTGACAGGAGAATCATGGAGCAACAACCCATCCTGGACTAAATGGATTTACCTAGGCCCAAAAAGTACAGGATCATATAATATTGGATAGGCCAAAACCACTGAAATCCAGTCATTTCTAACAACTCAGCAAATCTATTTCTGTCTGGGACAGCTACTAAACACCTGCCGTTCACTGTACTATACAAACCAGACAACCTTTTATTAGGTATAATGTGATCAAATATGGCAAATACCCAATCACAGCTCTCAAAAAGATTTGTTTGGAGGATCATACACTGAGCAGAAGTAATTGATAGTCATATAGCAGTCATCCTGATCTTTATATACACACACACCATAATACATGGTGACAGCTTATTCTAAGGAGTGACTGCTCTAGGCTCCCACTGTCTTTGGCCTCGTCTAGCTGAGCTGGATTGGCCACTCCCTGCTATCCCAGAAAGCCACAGGGCCCCATAGGGCACTCCAGTCCTCCTCCTCAATCCATTTATTTCCTGCAGACTAGACAGAGGGAGGGAGGGAAAGAGGGGAGAGGGTGGAGGCAGGAAGGGATGCCTCCGGACAGCACCCAAACAGAGAGGACAACTCAGACAGGGAGAGGAGAGGCACTGAGCCACAGAGCAGCACTCCCTCCACTTTCACGCATAAATCAGACATTCCTGCCCGTCACACACACACACACACTGACTAGTGTGCATTATTTATCTATTTTTCAAACTCCTTTTAAGAGAGTAAGATGGCGTGGTGTGTTACCTTCTGAAGACACTGTAATGATATGCTCAGACAGTAATACAGTTGTAGCTCAGTTGGTAGAGCTTGGCGCTTGCAACGCCAGGGTTGTGGGTTCGTTTCCCACGGGGGGCCAGTATGAAAATGTATGCACTCATTAACTGTAAGTCGCTCTGGATAAGAGTGTCTGCTAAATGACTAAAATGTAAATGTAAAAACTCAGTGTAAAGCTAGAGAACGCTAGACCCCTGGGAACTGATCTTCAGTGCTCAGAGGGCAGACCTGAAGCCAGGTCTTAAGGCCAGACAGGGATTTTGTTACCTATTGTCCAGTGACCAGGCTTAGAGTCAGGAGATTGCAACATCACAGGGTGGGTTTAACCAAAAACGTATTGTGGCTCGCTGAGGCAATGTCTTTAGCAAATAAAAGGGGTAATAAACGATAAGCTTGAAGGACACGTATATATCAAACATTTTTGTGGGATGACAGCATGAGGGGTGAGAATTTCTGAAATAGTTTGCCTTGATAAAAGGCAGATGTCTTGATGGAAAACCATGCCGGCCTTCTGATATCTTTTCCAGAGTTTTGTCGCTGGTTGGAATGTCACTCCCACCCCTCGTCTCAGCCAGAGTCCAGCTTCTCTGCTCCACACCGGTCAGTGAGGGGACAAAATCAGAGAAGGTATTCTCAGATAGGATGATTTACCTCCCGAGTGGCGCAGTGGTCTAAGGCACTGCATCGCAGTGCTAGCTGTGCCACTAGAGATCCTGGTTCGAATCCAGGCTCTGTCGTAGCCGGCCGCGACCGGGAGACCCATGGGGTGGCGCACAATTGGCCCAGGGTAGGGGAGGGAATGGCCGGCAGGGATGTAGCTCAGTTCGTAGAGCATGGCGTTTGCAACGGGGGGCCAGTATGAAAAAAAAATAAAAATAATGTATGCACTCACTAACTGTAAGTCGCTCTGGATAAGAGCGTCTGCTAAATGACTAAAATGTAAATGTAAATGTATAATGATCCAGTCAGACTGGGTCAGGCCCATGAGCCCTCTACTAACCAGCAGACTTAGCACGCTCCAAACCTCTGAGCCACCACCCAATGCGTGTTACATTAGCGCACACCTAGAGATCCCGTCGGCTGCGTTTACACAGACAGCCTAATTCTGATATTTCTTTCATTCATTGGTCTTTTGATCAATCAGATCAGCTCCGAAAAAGATCTGATGTGATTGGTCAAAATACCAATTAGAGGAAAAAATATCAGAATTGGGCTGCCTGTGTAAATGCAGCCTTAGGTTCTCCAAGTCAAAGTCAAGGGTTTCTCCCTTTAAAGCAGAACCCAGGGAAGGTATGTGGCTGGACCCAGGGCCCATCGTACATCATTCTAATGGCCACAGATCCGCTCTTGGCTCTGCTTAAACGCCTCTCATTTCGATACAATTATTCCTCTCAAACAAAGACATCAATAACCTAGAAAACTCTAATTCTCAAGTTTAAAGTGAAATAATAAATCGGACCAGTGTTTTTTTTAAAAGAGGAGAAACACTGTGTACTGCTTTTCACACATCTGGACATTATTGTGCTTAAGACTAGATTCCTGCAATACAAACATACATGGCTTGCCAGCCTGGGTTTTTATAAGGTTTTCAGAGGACCGCAGAAAAAGAAAAAGCACCAAAGTCCCAAACACGTTCTTTGATCTGTCAGAACAGGGGAAAATAACACCAGATCTTTCCATCGATGCATTCCGCCTCTCCCGGCACGGAACAGGAATGAGGTCAGACGGAGGAGGCCCACCGAAGCCTCCCGTACTCTGCTCCACCTTTACACTGCACTGCGGGTAATGCTGCAGCTATCGTTACATGGCCTGTATTTGAACAGCTGCGAGGAGAAATTCTGAAGCGCGCGCACGCACACACTGCCACGACACACACCAAAACACACTATCACACACACAATTCATTGACTCGGGCATCAAATTTATGCTCCATTTCCTGGACGTAAGACGCTCCTCAGCCACAGACACATCAGTCTTGGTTTCCACATTGCTATCTGATGTCGAGCCAAAACCAGCTTTGTGACGGATTGTGTGCTAAAACCCCTGCATGATCAAAACCGCTGCAGGGCGGTGGAATTCAGCCTTGTGCGTGCAGTGTGTGTGTGTCTGGATGGGTGAGGTTGTGTGTGGGTAGTGTGTGAGAGAGAGTGTATGCACAGGAGAAAGGCTTCTCTGATAGCTGAACCCCAAAAGGTGTTTAACACACCTTGGCACTGGACTCCTGTAAAACATCCTGAGGTGGGGGAGTCAATATGTCTGTGTGTGTATCTGTCTGTGTGCAGTCTGTTCTGTCTCCCCAGAACCAAGTGTTGGAGAAATAGAGGTCGGCCACAGAATAGAGAATAGACGGGGGAAATAGAGGGCCTCACCTGATCTGACTATTCTGAATTTCGATGCCACTACGGGAACCATTGGGGCTTGGGCTGCAGAACACAAAACAAAACAACAGTTAAACAACAGTTACACAGCCACACTGCCAGCCAGTCATACATTACAGTTCACCCTCAACTACTTCTCATTTAATCTGGGCTGTTATGTAGCTCTGGACCATGTTTAATTTGTGGCACTGGTATAACCCGATACTCACTTGAGGACTAGATGCAGGTTGGCGGAGAGTCGCGGGTCTGTGAACTGCGTGGTGCGGTTGTTGTGGTCCACAAAGTAGACCCGGCCGGTGGCTGTGTTCCTGATCTCCCAGCCCGGGGGCAGTGGGCCCAGCTCCTCACAGTTTACATTACTCAGGTCTCTGGGAACCACAAATACACAACACAGTCAGAGGTGAAGGGCAGAAAAGAAAGACAAAAGAAAGATGAAAAATAATCAAAGAAAGAATGAGACGTAAGACCAATCAAAGTCAAGGTATGACGCAAACCTCAAGGCTGACGGTAACCGGGAAACAAAGAGGCGCGAGAAAAGGATTCCAAAATGACATCACTTTTATTCCATTTTTCTTCTTCCCGTCTAAATTATTTATTGCTGCCATGCAATCCTTTCAGCTGGACTCCTTTTGCTGTCCGTGGAGAACAACTTTAAGAAATTACAGCAGCCCCACTTCACTGGTAGTGACTTACCGGACTGAGGCCCAGCCAAATGACCAAGCCTCTCAGCACTGGGAGCTTGGCAGCCCAGCATCTGCTGCACACACAACCAGGGTGTGGCGTGACCAATAGGATAGCAGGAAGTGCAAGAAAAACACCATCTATCACACATATTTCAAGGGGGCAAGAGAACAGCAATGTCTAGGTATTTTTCAATCACTGAATTTCTTTCTATTGACTCTATTCCCAGTACACTGACGTGTTGATGTGTGTTCTCCTTTGGGCCTGAGGTAATCGATAAAGACACACATGCCTGAGTGAGTGGAGTCTCTGAGCCATATGTACAGTAGGGCTGAAGGCTGTGTGCTGAGAGCTGAGAGTCTCGAGGCAGAGGTCATACCAGAGGTGTCTGCTGTGAATCCTTTCAGATCCCTGTGATTGACATTTACATGCCATTTAGCAGACGCTTTTATCCAAAGTGGCTTAAAGTCATGAGTGCATTCATTTCATATACGTGTGATCCCGGGAATCGAACCTGAGGATAGCTAGCCAATGTTTGTCCATCCCATGACAGAAACATAGGTGGGGGTAGGTGATGGTTTATATAACAACGCCCTCACCCAAACCTGCATAAAACTGCATTATGGCATCCCAGATTATCCTGTTTTTGTCATTAGCCTTAAATAATTTGTGTTGGAAATACTTAATGAGTGAACTGGGTATAGTGTACAGAGTATGTGTGTATTCAGACAATGGTGGTGGGTATACCTGGGTACTGTGTGTTCAGACAGTGGTGGTGGGTATACGTGAGGGGAAAAAAGTTGTGATCCCCTGTGATTTTGTACGTTGCCACTGACAAGAATGATCAGTGATATTAATGATAGGGATTATTTGAACCAGTGAGAGACACGATAGCAACAACACATGCCAGAAAAACGCATGTCAAAATGTTATGATTGTTTGCATTTAAATGAGGGAAATAATATTGACCCCTCGCAAAAATGACTTGTACTTTGTGGCAAACTGTTGGCAATCACAGAGGCGACATTTTTGTAGTTGGCCCCAGTGTCACACTTCCTACTTTGGCAAGATCTTTCCAATCATAAGGTTTCGAGGCTGACGTTTGGCAACTCAAACCTTCAGCTCCCTCCACAGATTTTCTATGGGATTAAGGTCTAGAGACTGGCTAGGCCACACCAGGACCTTAATGTACTTCTTCTTGAGCCACTCCTTTGTTTTTAATTTTTTTATTTTTTTAATTAATTTATTTTTTTCTTCATTCTTTTTTTTTGGGGGGGGGGGGAATGGATCAGCTTAATATTGCAGATAGATTGTATCTTCTATCAATGTAATTGTCTGCATCACTTCCAATCCCCCATGTTTTTTTTTTTTATATATATACTCCCCTTTATTACTTTTCAACCCCACCATCCTTTCCCTACTTGGAGTAAATTAGTGAACAACAATGCCCAGGCCTCTACTTCCGGTCTATACTTACTATCTACACCTTATGGACAGAGTTAATTTTACAATAATTCTATTATATATATATATATATATATATATATATATATATATATATATATATATATATATATATATATATATATATATTTTTTGCTCCTGAACTTCTTCTACTCTCAACCTCTCCGATCATTTTCCTGATGTCCATCCGGTTTGCTTCTATATGCCATATCTTTCTAACTGTGCTCTTTCCCAAAAGCTCCCAACATACAACCTATATACTTATTATGGACACAGTATGCTTACATTATTAGCTATCTTTGTTATTATTTGTTGTTATTTGTTATTAGTCCCATCCTTCAACTCTATTCAATACCTCCCATCTATCTCTTAACACCATCCAATATAGGATTTCAATTTGCCATATATATTTCAACCGTACTGTGATGTTTTACAAAAGTTCTGAACCTTTCTGAGCCACTCCTTTGTTGCCTTGGCCGTGTGTTTTGGGTCATTGTCATGCTGGAATAACCATCCACGACCCATTTTCAATGCCCTGGCTGAGGGAAGGAGGTTCTCCCCCAAGATTTGACGGTACATGGCCCCGTCCATCGTCCCTTTGATGCGGTGAGGTTGTCCTGTCCCCTTAGCAGAAAAACACCCCCAAAGCATAATGTTTCCACCTCCATGTTTGATGGTGGGGATGGTGTTCTTGGGGTCATAGGCAGTATTCCTCCTCCTCCAAACACGGCGAGTTGAGTTGATGCCAAAGAGCTCCATTTTGGTCTCATCTGACCACAACACTTTCACCCAGTTCTCCTCTGAATCATTCAAATGTTCATTGGCAAACTTCAGACGGGCCTGTATATGTGCTTTCTTGAGCAGGGGGACCTTGCGGCCGCTGCAGGATTTCAGTCCTTCACGGTGTAGTGTGTTATCAATTGTTTTCTTGGTGACTATGGTCCCAGCTGCCTTGAGATCATTGACAAGATCCTCCCGTGTAGTTCTGGGCTGATTCCTCACCGTTCTCATGATCATTGCAACTCCACGAGGTGAGATCTTTCACGGAGCCCCAGGCCGAGGGAGATTGACAGTTCTTTTGTGTTTCTTCCATTTGCGAATAATCGCACCAACTGTTGTCACCTTCTCACCAAGCTGCTTGGAGATGGTCTTGTAGCCCATTCCAGCCTTGTGTAGGTCTACAATCTTGTCCCTGACATCCTTGGAGAGCTCTTTGGTCTTGGCCATAGTGGAGAGTTTGGAATCTGATTGATTGATTGATTGCTTCTGTGGACAGGTGTCTTTTATACAGGTAACAAACTGAGATCTCAGCTTGTTACCTGTATAAAAGACACCTGGGAGCCAGAAATCTTTCTGATTGAGAGGGGGTCAAATACGTATTTCCCTCATTGAAATGCAAATAAATGTATTACATTTTTGACATGTTTTTTTCTGGATTTTGTTGTTGTTATTCTGTCTCTCACTGTTCAAATAAACCTACCATTAAAATTATAGACTGATAATTTATTTGTCAGTGGGCAAACGTACAAAATCAGCAGGGGATCAAATACTTTTTTCCCCTCACTGTACCTGGGTACTGTGTGTTCAGACAGTGGTGGTAGGTATACCTGGGCACTGTGTGTTCAGACAGTGGTGGTGGGTATACCTGGGCACTGTGTGTTCAGACAGTGGTGGTGGGTATACCTGGGTACTGTGTGTTCAGACAGTGGTGGTGGGTATACCTGGGTACTGTGTGTTCAGACAGATGTGGTGGGTATACCTGGGTACTGTGTGTTCAGACAGGGGTGGTGGGTATACCTGGGTACTCGAGGGTCGTGCCATGTGCTGACTCCTGTCTGGGTGTGGAGGAAGTACACCTGGCCCTGCTGCGTGGTCCTCTGCTCTGTAAGGGGGGAACAACAGCATGGGTAATCATACAGGTATTGGAGGTACAGAGCAATGGTTACAGACAAGTGCACACATGTGAGAGATGAGTGAAAGAGTGGGATGAGTGAGAGAGAAATGAGTGAGAGTTGTGAGTGGATGATAAGGAAAACAAGTTAGTTATACATTTCTTCCACGGTGAGGATTTTCATTGGTGCGCCAACGTGCGTGCGTATCTTGATCCGAGCGTGTGTGCATGCGTAAGAGAGATCATACAGACAGAGATAAAAGCAGGAAGTGAGTCAGTTTGGATCCCAGTTGCGGGGCTGATAGGGGGGAGAAGAGGGTTTGTTGTCTGTGTGTCTGGTGAGCTCATTCATCACAGCTTCACAGAGATATTTCCATGAGCTGGGAAGCTCTTCTCTGGCATTCCTTTGGACCCACCGCCCTGCCTTTCTAACATGCGTGTACATAACCTCCACCCCTCCCTCTCCCCGCTGAGCCCAATGCATTCGACACGGAGTGACACTTCTTGGCCGACCTTGGCCCGCCACTCGGGCTGCTGACAGCGGTTCAGAGGAGCTGGCCCCAAAAAGAGACAGCACCCTGCTAATCTTGAAGGGCTGGGTTGGGCTGCTGTGATTTACTCCTAAATCCTCAGCAAGACTACACAGTGTCTGAGGATCAAGCGGCCGCCCTTGGGCTGCGTGTGAGGAAGGAGAGAGGAGGGGGAGGAGTGAGCGGCTGCCGCCAGCCTTTGACTGCTCAATTCAATTAGGCCTTTAAAAATGGGGCCTGTCAGGCTCCTTATGCTGCGCTGCAAAGTCATGGTGGCTGTGCTGTTGGGTCTGAATGGGGACACAGATTATCAGGATGATTCAGCCGAGCGTGGGGCCGAAGGGATGCAGTTAACACTGAGGCATTGCAATAACGACACCGGTCTTAAAGCAGAAGGAGACACGTCTGTCATAGAGGTGGTTCATAATATAGGATGCTCCAGTCTATTCTGGCTGTGGGAACCAAAGTGGTCGTTCTATAGTGTGTGTTTGTGTATGTCTGGTGTGTCCATATCGTGTGTTAGAATCCTCTTTCCACTAACCGTATCCCTCAGGCAGGTCTGGGGGCGTGTGGAGGTGTGTCCTGCTCATGTAGTTCCTGTGTCTCTGGGAGCGGACGCGTCTCTCCTGGGCCCGCTGGTCGCTGGACGGGACACACGGGACGGTGGGTGTGGCCCCGTTGGTGCTCAGGATGGGCGTGTTCTCATCCACAATGCAGCTGAGAGGCCGGCCCGGGCTGGAGTACTCCGACGCAGGCCTGGGAGAGACAGGGAACAGGAGGAGAGGAAGGACATCAAACAGGGAGGGTGGGTTATATTATCTCCTTCATGGTAGGTTTGTTGAAATCAGACCAGTGTCTATTGATATTTAAAATGTAACTGTGCTTGTAATAGGAGCGCTTCGATGCTAGGACTAGACATTGGCTTGCTCCTGCTTTGTTAAGCAACATGAGGTAAGTCTAGAGTCGAGAGAGAGAGAGAGAGAGAGAGAGAGAGAGAGAGAGATAAAACTGTGGAGCAACAACACCGTCTGGAGCATAAGAGTCTTAGGGCCCTGTTCAATAGTCTGCAGTGTATCCTAACACAAATTCAATGCTGTCTAGGCCATGGGTTTGAGGCTGGGTAGTGGGTAAAACTGTGTACTCACTCAGCCTGGACTCAGGGAGAGATATAACATAGTAAATGTAAAATCGGTCTCCCTCCATTTAGTATGATATGTTATGTTTCATATTGGTATGTATTAATTTGTGTATGTCCATCATCCATTTTGAATGATATGTTACGAATTCCACTTCTGTTGTGGCTAACGTTAACTAGGCTAGGGGTTAGGAGTTAAGGTAAGCTAATATGCTAAGTAGTTGCTAATTAACATAAATGCTCAAGTTTAGGTTGCTAGATGTTCGCATTAAAAGCCCACCCATCCTCCCCGACCAACCTCCCTCTAGTTTTTGGGCTTAAGTAACCTTGTGTCTTATGTAACCATACCAATATCATACTAATTTGAGTGTCACAGATTTACATTTACTATGTTACTCACCTGGTAGGCCTCTCCCACTGTGTGGTACGAGTGATGTGGTTCAAGTACTGGATTCGGCCAGACGCAGTCCTCCGCTCCTCCCAGCTGGATGCAGCAGATACAAACAAACACATGTACAAAGCAGTGAGTGGACATTGAGTGCAACCAATTTCAGGTAGTACCTCCTGTTTCAAAACATTGCCCCCCTACTAAACATGATCCAGAGCTTCTTGCTAATTAATAGGACCCAGTCTCCCATCTGCTCACCCAATTCCTCTGGCGCACACCAACCCCAGACTAAACTCCCCAACCCCAGCCAACATCATTGGCTCAGTGCTGAGGTCAGTCGTGCTAAGCTGGTGAAGTGTCTGAACAGCAGAGCCTCTGGTATCTGAACAGCAGAGCCTCTGGTATCTGAACAGCAGAGCCTCTGGCTACTTGGACTGGAGTCTGGGACACCACACCACATGCTGTCTGGAACACTTTTGTTTGTGGGGCAGTGTGGTTATGATAGGCTCTGACTGGCCCTGCTGTGAGGGTATGATGTGGTGGTAGTGTGTGTACTGTCCAGTATGGACAAATGTTAAATGGGGTTGTGGTGTGGTGGTGGGTACGGTATTCACCCGTCTGGCAGGTCATTGTCAAACAGACGGCTGCAGTCCACCACTGGGCCTCCTGTACCTATCCGGTCTCTGGACTGCAGGCTCACTGTGGACACACAGATACACATAGGAGAATGAGAATAGATACACATCTATTCATGTCCTCTCATACCAGAGACTAAAATTTAAGAGGATCAGACGGTCAAATCCTCTTGTGGGTGACAAGATGATCGTGTCTGGAAGTAGAAGTACCAGCCGTCTGCACTCTGACAGCGATCTGGCCAGTCTCGAATCCCAGTTCTGGAGAGGACCCAAGAAGTGAGTGGAGGGCACGTATTGGTGGGTCAGAGGTGAGGTGGCGTGGCAGCGGTGCTGTGACTGTCTGTCACCAGGCCCTGTGGTGCAGATGGCAGTGCGTGCCGTCTGAAGTCTGAGGGAGGCGCTCGTAAACCCTGGTGTTGGAGGCACGGCACGCTCAGGGTCAGCGCTCAACGCTTTACACACCAACGAATCACTGGGAAAATAAGTCACCCTGCAGGCTCAGGTTACTGGTAGGAGCCTACATGGTGTTGGGAGGGGTTTTGTTCTCTTTCCCGGTTTTCATTCTATGCACAGTGGTGTAGTGAGGTCTTATCAGCATTATAAAAATAAGTGATGTTAGCCTGAGGTTCTAATAATGGAGTGCTAACACTTCAGGTGCATAACAGTGTTATGTGAATGTACGCGAGTGTGTGGTGAATGTCTGTGTGGCCTGCTGGTCACTGCTGTACTCACCCACTATCTGACCCCTCACTGTGTCACTGTCATTGGGGCCCAGCTTGTTCATGTCCAATCTCTGATCTGTGGAGGAGAGAGGGGAAGGAGAGAGGCAGGAGAGGGAAGAGGAGAGAAAGGAAAGCGGGATCGATCACTGTCTGAGAGACATGTAAACTAGCATGTGTTGGGAGGGTTTTTCTCCCCGCAGACAAGTCCCTTTGCTCTGTATCATTTACATCACCACAGTGAATTCCTCTCTCTCCCTCTCCCTCCCCTCCCCCTCCCTTGAAGGCTGGGTATTGGATATGCACTGGAACAGATGGTCTGTGGAGTGGCCATGGGCCGTAAAAAAAATCACTGAGCATCGGTACCGAATAGCCTGCAGTTCACTACAGAGGTCAAACATTTGACAAATCTCTGCACAAAGCCGGCACTATTCCACCCAGACAGAACATGGACATGAACCCCTGCCAATGTCTGGAAACTCTTTGTCTACGTTCTCAACCCAGGCTGAAAAAAAAAAAAAAAAAAAAGGACCAAACAAATGTCAGGAATACCACGTTGCCTGCAGACATGAGAAATGCCACTATCTGTTCACTGTTGTCTGAGTGTCGTGCAGATCGGCTCAGGATGTGCGTCTAGACTAAACAGGGACCATAACGTGGCCGGTCAAACTGTTACAAGGCTGGGGCAATGAGCATGCGCACACAAACCCAAAGCCCCCTAAAACGCCTGTGGACAGGACACAGTGCAACAGCTGCAAAAGGCACAAGCGAAAGAATGACAAACATACACTTGAATAAGACCACAACCGAGGGACATAACAAATCTATGCTTACATTTAAATAGCTGTACAATTATGCATGTCTGAGTGAAATGACCGGTTGTCTAGATTTGCAGACAGAGATAAACGGAGGTTAGTCACTGTGGCGCATGCATGCTGCCAGTCTATGGGACAGACGAGGGTGGAGAGAGAGAGAAGGGTGGAGGGGGGGAATGAGAGGAAATGCAGAGGCAAACTACTCACAGCTGTGGCACAGGGTTCAGGTTTTCCAGGAAAACAAGTGTCAGGGGCTTCTAGGAAAAGCTGTGGGATTTTGTCATTTTTTCCGTCTACAAGACCGTTGCAGGCCTATCAGCATAGTATACATACAGTTGGAGGGGGAGGCCCTTTGGTAAAGTCATCACTGGGTCCCTGCCTGGCTGGCACGGCTGCGTTGGCTTGGAGCGCCAAGCCTCAATCTCATTTAGCCATTAGCTTCTGACATGACACGTTCACAGTGATTGTGGGCTGTGGATTGTCTTTTCCTGTTCTGGCGCTGCAGACTGTGACCCCTCTCACACCCTGGCCTGTGCCCTGTCAGGAGTAGGGAAAGAGTGTGGGCACTGAGCTCAATGTGTCACTGTGACAGGAGCAGGGGATTATTAGCCTGTGACGCCGCTAGCCTGTGATGCCGCTAGCCTGTGACGCCGCTAGCCTGTGACGCCGCTAGCCTGTGACGCCGCTAGCCTGTGACGCCGCTAGCCTGTGACGCCGCTAGCCTGTGACGCCGCTAGCCTGTGACTCCGTTTGTGGGACAGACAATGGGTCACTACACAGACATTACCTCACAGCATTAAATACACACGCACATACACACACTAATCCAATCAGGTAGTCCTTACAGCCGGTGTCTTTGAGGCGGTTGATGGCGTTGGACAGAAGGCGTACACAGCCCAGGAAGCCAGCCCCCTGCTTCTTATGGATCTTCTTGTGGTTCCACACGCTGATGGTGATGGAGTCAGACTTGCCAATATATCTGAGGAGAGAAGAGAGAGACCAGTCACTTCCAATGTACTGTAGATCTTACTAAAGCCCGTGTGAATGCACTGCTCCAACAGGCCAGTCTTTGCCTGGATGTCCCTGCTGGGGAGGCACACATCCGCTCGGGGGCTGCCTGTCACCGCGGGACTGCATCCCCACAAGGACACAGTCAGGAGGTGTCTGAGAGGGATTTTCCGCCCGGCGTCTGTGAATGTGCGACTCCCAACCCTGAGTGTCTGGGTACGAGACAGAACGCAGACAGATCCTGTGAGTCATAAATCATCCAAAGGCAGCCCTTCGACCCAAAATCACCCGGAGAGAGGGAGAATGAAAGAAACAGGGAGGAGAGGCTGAAAGAGAGATAGAAAGAGGGATAGTGTAAGTGAGGAAAAGAAGGAGAGAGTGAACAGTTGAACCATGACATTACTCCCTGACTGCCTCTACGATCACTCTTAGGTACTGTGTGTCAGGCGAGGCCTGGGTATTAAACTCACACTACGTCAACCTGTCGTGGCACATCTGTTCGGCCCAGTTCCCTTCCTCAGTGTAAAACTAATCATCCATACAGTTAGCAGACTGCATCCCACTATAATTATCATGCTGCTTACCGAAACTAAAGGCATGTGAAACAATGGAGTTGTGTGAGTAAGACGTCTGGACATTTTGAGTGGAAGCCAAATGCCTGTCTGGGGTGCTATCTGAGAGCATTAGAATGCAGGACAGATTTGTAGGGGGGAATTATTACAGCCAACACAGATCTGGATATGATTATTGTATCAAATAATAAGGGCGGTAGACTAGACATTGGATTAAGCTTTTCAAAACAAGATACAGTATGTTTACATACACTATACACATGCCAAACTCTCAGATAATATGATTACTTGTAATAAGATAAGAGTTTCTCCTCTTAGGCCATCTCTATGTTATGTCTCTGGTTGGTTGAGGTACAGTATATGGCATATTGCATGGCAGTTGGTGCTAGGCAGGCCAGGCTGCATCCAACCACGTTGTGCCAGAAATAAATGAGTTAGCTCTTGGCCTGAGAGGTGGCGGTGTGTGTTAAATCACACTTCTTCAGCAGGCAGGACAGCACCAGCTGGGCCCTGGGGACACTACCGCCACCTGTTCCCCCCAGTCCCCATAGCAGAAGAGATGCGAAAGGGAGGGACAAGGGCCTGGGCCAGGCTATGGGAACAGAACATTGTGCACTTGTCTTTTCATCCCACTACTTGTATCTATGAAGGTATAGGAGATGCATTAACATCTCATCATTATATACCAGTGACGTGCACAATACGGAAGTGGTCCGATGAAGCTAAGCTACAGGACTGTTTTGCTAGCACAGATGGGAATATGCTACGCGATTCATCCAATAAAATTGAGGAGGTTATCACATCATTAATAAGTGCAACATCCGCACTGAGCTAAAGGCTAGAGTGCCGGTTTCAAGGGGCGGGACAGTATTCCGGACACTTATAAGAAATCCTGCTACAACCTCCGATGGGCCATCAAACAGTAAAAACATCAATACAGGACTAAGACCCACTCCTATTCGCACACCGCCCCAACAGATCCACAGATGACGCAATCTCTATTGCACTCCACACTGCCCTTTCCCACCTGGACAAGAGGAACACCAATGTGAGAAGGCTGTTAATTGACTACAGCTCAGCGTTCAACACCATAGTGCCCTCCAAGCTCATCACTAAGGACCCTGGGACTGAACACCTCCCACCTCCCTCTGCAACTGGATCCTGGACTTCCTGACGGGCCACCCCCAGGTGGTGAGGGTAGGCAACAACACATCTGCCACGCTGACCCTCAACACGGGGCCCCTCAGGGGTGCGTGCTTAGTCCCCTCCTATACTCCCTGTTCGCCCACGACTGCATGGCCGTGCACGACTCCAACACCATCATTAAGTTTGCTGACGACACAATGGGGGTTGGCCTGATCACGATGACGATGAGACAGCCTATAGGGAGGAGGTCCGAGACCTGGCAGTGTGGTGCCAGAACAACAACCTCTCCCTCAACGTCAGCAAGACAAAGGAGCTGATCGTGGACTACAGGAAACGGAGGGCCCGAACACACCCCCATCCACAGGGCTGTAGTGGAGTGGTGGAATTATCATGGTCCACACACACCAACATATTCGTGAAGGCACGACAACGCCTCTTCCCCCTCAGGAGGCTGAAAAGATTTGTCATGGGCCCTCAGATCCTCAAAAGGTTTGACAGCTGCACTATTGAGCTGCACCACCGCTTGGTATTGCAACTGCTTGGCGCTACAGAGGGTTGTGCGAACGGCCCATTACATCACTGGGGCCGAGCTCCCTGCCATCCAGGACCTGGTATAGAGGTCCTGGACGCCAGGGAACTCGGCCCCAGTGATGTACTGGGCCGTTTGCATTACCCTCTGTAGCACATTGGGGTCGGATGCCAAACAGTTGCCAGTCGTGGGAAGGCCCTAAAAATTGGTCAAAGACTCCAGTCACCCAAGTCATAGACTTTCCTGCTACCACACGGCAAGCGGTACCGATGCACCAAGTCTGGAAGCAACATGACCCTGAACAGCTTCTACCCACAAGCCATAAGACTGCTAATTAGTTAGTTAAATAGTTAACCAATAGCTACCTGGACAATCTGCATTGACCCTTTTTGCACTCTCTTTTGACTCATCAAATATGCTGCTGCTACTGTTTATTATCTATCCTGTTGCCTAGTCACTTTATACCTATCTATATGTACATATCTACCTCAAATTGCCTTGTACCCTTGCACATGGACTCGGTACTGGTAACCCGTCTATATAGCCAAGTTATCGTTACTCATTGTGGATTTATTCCTCATGTTATTATTTAATTTTTTCTCCCTCTGCATTGTTGGAAAGGGCCCGTAAGCATTTCACTGTTAGTCTACACCTGTTGTTTTCTAAGCATGTGACAAATAACATTTGATTTGACATATTCATTAACATTTTATACTTCTTAGTATAAATGTAGTTTGTAGCGTGCTGACAAATAAACTGATAGATTTGTCCCCTGGTTTGTCCCTAAAAGGGCCACAGAGCCGTATTACAGTCCAGTCTGTCTGCTCCACATACTTCCACTGGGATGGATTAGGAGTGGAGGAGAGGCAGTTTGCCAGCGAGACACAGTCTGCTATCCTTGGCATGCAGGCCACTTCCTGCAACAATGCTGTCTGGGGTCAGCGGTCACGGGCCAGTCTGTTGGTCTGACCACTGACAACACCACTGAGGAGGCCCTGACGTGTCAATGTTGCCATGAGCACATACACTTCCTCACGCTGTGCACATACAACCAATGGAAAAAAGCGTCAGTGCCAACTAAGCAAAGGCTTTTATGCAGTTGGCTCTGCTGAGTGTGAGCACCAGGTGTTTCAGACACCATTTGAATAGGTGTGAGTGTGCTCAGCTGCCCTCAGTCAATTAGACTCCACACACTGAGGAGAGTCCATGTGCCTTAGCATGGTGTAGTAGGCCTTGACACACAGAGGGAGGGCACCTAAAAGTTTAACATAGTCATTAACAGGAAGGAACACAGGCAGGTTAAAGTTTTGTAAAAAATCTGGAGAGAGGTGTGTGCGTGCGTTTGGCTCCATCTGGGGAGCACACAGGTCGATGTTCACCCATCCATCACTGTGTCCAGCCCTCTCTGTCCTCCACAGTGGGAATGACTGACTGACTGAGGGCTGTGTTTCCCTCCTGTCACACGGGACATGAACAGCTAATTAAACAGCCATGTTGGGAGAGGGTCTGGTATCCTGAGCAACCAAACAAAAGGAGACAGGTGCTTCCTCTTTATGTTAGCTACGTGTGATGGCTGGATAAACACTGGGCAAATACTGGAAACTTTCACTCTCCCTGCCATTCACTCCCCCCCTCTCTTTTTCCAGGTTGCTTTCACAAGACAAGCAGTCTTTGGGAAAAGCGACATGGGTGCAACAAGACATGCACATATTTCTGTCCAAAAGGTAAAAGGCTTCTGAGATTAGTTTCCCTCCCCCATGGTTCTATTTAAATGTTTTTATTTTTCACGTTAGCTACCCCAGTGGAGTTGTCATCGCTGGCCTACAGATAAGTGAGAGGGCAGACATAAACACAGCTTACTGTAGGGGCATTCAGATCCTGCAGAATCAATATCTGACACATCCCTGATGTCCACTTGGCACATTGGAGTTGGGTGAGGTTGAAGGAATGCATAGATCACAGGAGGTTGGTGGCACCTTGATTGGGGAGGACGGGCTCGTGGTAATGGCTGGAGCGGAATGGTATCAAATACAAGGTTTGCAGGTGTGATGCCATTCCATTCGCGCCGTTTCCAGCCATTATTATGAGCTGTCCTCCCCTCAGCAGTCTCCACTGGTGTAGATATAGCATAGAGGGCACTGGTGAAGGTTATAGAGAGGGTCCGCAGTTCAGCAGAATGCTGGTTCATTACTAAATCAGCAGGTTAAGGTAAGGTTTCTGTTAGATACACAGTTTCACATCTAGTCACAGCTGCTTCTATATGGATGCTGTGTCAAGCACAAGCTCTGCGCTATCCATTATGTGGGTTAAGTGATGAGGGGACTCACAGGTCGTAGTGCTGGTTCCACTTGGGGTCGAGGGTGTTCTTCACGGTGTCTGTGGAGTGACATTGTCCTGAGCCGTCCACCACCACTTTGGCAAAGGGATCAGGGAGGCCTGCAGGGGAACAAACACACACACACTGCCTCAGCACACTGGCCTGGCCAAGGACAGGCTGTACTAGGAAGAAATGTTATAGGCATCACTCTATCATTATTCGATGATTTCATTATGCAGATGGAAGTGAGACTATACTGTTTCTGAATGGGGGAAAAGAGGGCATCTGAAGAAAACTACTTTTGATGAATAACATTCTGCAACAGTCTAGGAATGGCTGATGTGTGAATCTGATAGTGTGACTGAACCTGACCCGAGTGACAGATATCTAGAGATACGGGTGGAAATGACACTGACACTAATAGACAGACCTGAGGGACATGTTGGATGACATTCACCTGCACACAGCCTGGGTGTGGTGGACGCACAAGCTCACGGACACACACACACGTATGCCATGCAGGCCCACACAAACAAAACAAAAATGCACTTAGAAATACATCTCTCCATATACATAAATACAGTATCCCACAGAGACAAGCCTACCTTGCTGCCACACACACTCCCAGAGTTCTCTCCACCCAGGCCCTGACTGAGTGAGTGTTTACTCAGCCCCTGAGTGCTGGAATGGGAGGAATGGGCACCAGAGAAACCACCTGAGTGAGGGACCTTAACACACTCACTCTCCATGACAGCCTGACCCAAACACACCCAAACACTGGGGCCACTATGGACACCTAGCACACACTGAAATGCTGTGCTGTTTCACTCTGAAATGGACTAGCTTTAAATGACGGTATAAACGTTTTATTGAGATCCCATACTTAATGATATTTCAGACCTGTGTGACTCAATGCATGAAATGTGAATGCAGAAATAAAGGCAATAAAATAGGCCTAGTTTTATTACAAATACTTGGCTAATATTGATAAGCTACATCATGGTGATGTGGTGAGCTCATCTTGCTCTCCACAAACATATCAGTAGTAACATTACAGGCTGCTAACCCTTTCCTCTTTGCTGGTGTAGTGTAGTGGCTGGTTGAATGTGTTAGCATGGCGTTCTGCTGGTAGAGAACTCTAGCAGCTGGCAGCAGGCCCTCTTTTATCAGCACAAACTGACCCACTTTTCACATTTCTCATGGGGGATACATATCTCACACTGCAGACGTCAAAGCCCCCAAGCCCCCTGACTATGAATCTATAAAGCCATTTAACATGGAGTCGAGGATCAGAAACACAGCTTTCATTGGGTTACTTACGAAAGAAATCTTTCTTCACCAGGTTTTTGGCGCAGAGGACTGAAACAGAAGAGGAGAATGCGGTGTTATTTTTTATCGTTGCAGATAGACACATATTACACACTGACAGGCTGTTGTGATTGTGGGGTTACATCACTGCCAAGGGAGAGGTTTGTGCAGGGCTGAAGTTATACACTGCTGCTCAGGGAACTGAATCGAAAAGCGCTCCATCTTGGATATAGATAGCCTTGGCTACATTACATAAGCAGCAGGAGCAGGAGCATTTATTTTATAATGTGTAATGTAAGACAAGTAATTTGACTTTCAGGTGATAGAGAAAACACATGAACATATATCTTTAGCCAGACTGAATTGTGCCAGACCCTACATCTCTAAATTTGAGTGTGTGTACTGATCATAAGCTGACAACCAGGTGATGACTCAATGACATGAGGAGCTCTCCTGTTCCCCTCCAGAAAATAGACCCACATCAACATGCTTTTTAGCTACAGTAGTTGAGTAACAGCAACGCAACCAAGAAAGTAACTTGACGATAGTGCATATGGGCACTTGTTGGCGACATGCTGAATCATAGGACCTTCGCACATTAATTCAATATGAACTATTAAAAGGAAGGGGCATACTTTTCCCCACAGCAGCCAGCCTGCAGCAGCAGATGAGTAGATTGGGCAGTTCCCCAGTGAGAGCCCTGGAGGGGCTGCTGAGGCAATGAGGCAGAGCCACTTAAACACCCTCCACTGGGCCTGGATGAAGAGGCTCAATGGCCACCTGGGTGACTGGAGCCACCGCCACACACTCAGTCACTTACTCATCCCCGGCCCCAGCCCAATCCCTCTGGTCCACTTCAGTACAGACACAGCCAGGTGGCCATTGAGTACAGACCAGTCAGGTTTCAAGACTGGTCATTCAACTGAGACTGCTCTTCTCTGTGTCACGGAGGCTCTCCGCACTGCTAAAGCTAACTCTCTCTCCTCTGCTCTTGTCCTTCTAGACCTGTCTGCTGCCTTTGATACTGTGAACCATCAGATCCTCCTCTCCACCCTCTCCGAGCTGGGCATCTCCGGCGTGGCTCACTCTTGGATTGCGTCCTACCTGACCGGTCGCTCCTACCAAGTGGCGTGGCGAGAAGCTGTCTCCGCACCACGTGCTCTCACCACTGGTGTCCCCCAGGGCTCAGTTCTAGGCCCTCTCCTATTCTCGCTATACACCAAGTCACTTGGCTCTGTCATATCCTCACATGGCCTCTCCTATCATTGCTACGCTGACGACACACAACTAATCTTCTCCTTTCCCCCTTCTGATAACCAGGTGGCGAATCGCATCTCTGCATGTCTGGCAGACATATCAGTATGGATGACGGATCACCACCTCAAGCTGAACCTTGGCAAGACGGAGCTGCTCTTCCTCCCGGGGAAGGACTGCCTGTTCCATGATCTCGCCATCACGGTTGACAACTCCGTTGTGTCCTCCTCCCAGAGTGCGAAGAGCCTTGGCGTGACCCTGGACAACACCCTGTCGTTCTCCGCTAACATCAAGGCGGTGACCCGATCCTGTAGGTTCATGCTCTACAACATTCGGAGAGTACGACCCTGCCTTACACAGGAAGCGGCACAGGTCCTAATCCAGGCACTTGTCATCTCCCGTCTGGATTACTGCAACTCGCTGTTGGCTGGGCTCCCTGCTTGTGCCATTAAACCCCTACAACTCATCCAGAATGCCGCAGCCCGTCTGGTGTTCAACCTTCCCAAGTTCTCTCACGTCACCCCGCTCCTCTGCACACTCCACTGGCTTCCAGTTGAAGCTCGCATCTGCTACAAGACCATGGTGCTTGCCTACGGAGCAGTGAGGGGAACGGCACCGCCGTACCTTCAGGCTCTGATCAGTCCCTACACCCAAACGAGGGCATTGCGTTCATCCACCTCTGGCCTGCTGGCTCCCCTACCTCTGTGGAAGCATAGTTCCCGCTCAGCCCAGTCAAAACTGTTCGCTGCTCTGGCACCCCAATGGTGGAACAAGCTCCCTCACGACGCCAGGACAGCGGAGTCACTCACCACCTTCCGGAGACATTTGAAACCCCACCTCTTTAAGGAATACCTGGGATAGGATAAAGTAATCCTTCTACCCCCCCCTTACCCCAACCCCAAAAAAATACATTGTAAAGTGGTTATCCCACTGGCTATAAGGTGAATGCACCTATTTGTAAGTCGCTCTGGATATGAGCGTCTGCTAAATGACGTAAATGTAAATGTAAATGTACAGACACAGCCAGGTGGCCACAGACACAGCCACAGGTAATAATGGCCTGGATTTCTATTGTATTTCAATTACCTTTGATTATTTGGTCTAGGTATTTTTTGGCCATCCCGGTCACATCCCACTGATCAGAATCCACCCACTATGCTCACTACCAGCGCCATTCAATACCACCCACATAGACGCCAACTGCGGTGCGACAGCCGTCCATAGTTGCCATGTGAGTCGATTTCACATCTTTGAGAGATGAAATCTGTCTCGTGTCTGGCGGGCCCCGAGGCCGTTTGTGTGTCCTCTCTCTACAGAGACCCGCTCACATGCAGGTGAGAGTGTCCAGACTTTACTTTGCTAACACAAATAAACAAAGGCAGGCCCATAGGAGCAGACAGCAGCCAAAGCCATTGAATCTACAGCCACCGCTATTCATCTGCCACCCCCACCCCCCCACCCACAGCTAAACACAGGGAGAACCACAGTGCTTACACTGCATGTGAAACATAACCTGACTCCTAAATCAATTTAGGTCTGAGCTGAAACAACGTATGAGAGGGAACAGAACACCATTTAAGAGTGCCATGGACTGAATTAAAACACACAAATCACAGACCGCAGTGTGAAACAAACATCTACACATGGTGTTCACTGATACACTCAGCACACACAAAGGGTTTCTGGGTTTAATGAGAATTACTCCATTAAGATAGAGAGAGGAGGGAGAAAAATAGGTCTTAACCAAATCTAAACCCTCTTGGGGGGATGGGGAGGGAGAACATGCTCGACAGACGAGGAAGAATTTCTTTCAGCAAACATCCCTGGGAATGTGTTCCGTTCCAGTGAAACCCACCTCATTACTCAAACATCTGGTATGCATCTCTCTCAGTCTGTCTCACACACACACTGTATGCCAGTCATCGCACACACCACAGGCCCCTGAAAGGGTCCACAACACCTCGCTCTGCACACCAACTCTAGCTTCAGTGATCTAATTAATTATTTACAGGCAGAGAGGTGTGAGAGAGAGAGAGAGAGAGAGGAGAGAGAGAGTGTGTCGGGGCGTGAGGAGCTGTGAGGGGGTGAGGAGTTGTAAGAATCAGGTGATAGCTCTCTGCGTTATCACTATTCAGGTCTCCCTTGCTTCTTCTACAACCAACTATGGGCAGAACAACATATGCTGGGTCCTGAAAACTAGCTTCATAGTGTTTCTCCAAAATAGATGATTTAATCAAAAGAACTGGACTCAGAAAGCTGGTAATTTTCTGTATTTTCACAGCTGCAGCGGAGCAAAGCTACAGGAGATGGACATGAAAAGTGAAAATGTTACAGGGAGTCCCAGTGAGAAAGGGCAATGGTGAGTCTCATATAGCCAAATGTAAACTGGGAGAGAGGAAGAGGGAAGAGAGAGGAGGCCGGTGACACAATAGGCCTGTCTGACTGTGGTAGAGAAATTACACATCACATACCAGAACTTGCAGTAATGTCCCTCTGATCGGGACATGATAACCAACGGGCCTTCTGTAAGCATACATTAAACCTAGCCATCAATACAGCAGGAAAACAACACTACACTTATACATGTAAAATATAGAACAGGCCGAATTACAGCCGAGCACAGCGGACCCAAGACAAAACCAACTAAATTACAGAGACAACCAGACAATGGGAACAGAGAAGCCAATTATGAGATAGACCACAGAGCATGAATGGAGCACAGGGCAGCAATCATCATCCAATGGAAGCCAACCATCAGAACATTAGAGGAGTTCTCATTACTATGGCCCTATAAAATCTGCCATGCGGAGAATGGGGATGGAATCACAGTATCCAGACATTAAAACGGAATTCAACCATATAAATTGTTTTATTGAACTTAGTAGGGAATCAACTAAATGTATTGAAAATTAATTAATTTGTGCAAGTTTATCATAAGACATGAACAGAATGCATCAGTGATTTGTATTTCCTGCAACTTTCTGAAGAGTTAATGAGAATCCCCCATCTGTGTATGCGCAGTGAGTTCGTCTACCACTTTGTGTAACCGCTAGCGATGATGCTAATGAAAAGTCTTCTGGTAGATGGAAAGGCTTTCCCAAAAAACCAATTAAATGTTCACTACAAAGTAACCTACGCTTAAATGGCAGAATGATATCATGATTATTTGCATCAATCCAGTGGATATTTGTTTTGCAAACTCTACCATCACGTGTGCTACAAAAACAACACTAAATAACAGCCTCTTGCTAGGTGCACACTGGAATTAAAAAGGGTAACTACACCCCAAAATCTACATTTCTAAAAAATGTCAGACCTCAAGTGGTCTCCTGATGTCGTTTAAGCATTGATGTGGCTTAGAACATCCAATTTAGTTGTTTTTCTATAAAAGAAAAGTGTGATTTTGAGAGCGAAAACATGGAGGAAAACAGAAACCTTGAAAAACAAAAAACTGAGAATACGGAATCAGGCAAAAAAACAAAAAATATTGGGCCCTACATTACATACAGACAAGAGTACACTCAGACCCCATGGGCCAACTGCCTCTCCTTCAGTCAATATATAGCCTAACCACCAATATATGTGTTGGGATAGGTAGGTCAATGTTATGCAGGTATTGGGCAGATAGTCTGACTGATCACGTAGTAAATTAGAGAGTGAAGACCGGCTGTAAACTCTACTGCTGTACACGTAATTCCATGTGTCCGGCCCTGACTGTCTGATGGGTTTCCCTGGAGAAGGGCAGCTAAATTAAGCTACCGTGGCTGAACATGGCAGGCTCCAGATCATGTGAGCGCTGGTTGACCCCAGGAAAGGGAACGCCGTGGTCGGATCGGGCTCTATGCCAGCGGCTCAGCAGGCTTCCACCTTGGACGGATGGACAGACAGACTGCAGTAGGAGCCTGAAGATGGACCTGCTATACGGTACAGAGCGTCTCGGTCCGCTCTTCAGAGGTGTCACCCCTCATGGGACGGAGGGCTGAATCCCTCGGCTCAGCTTTATACTTTTACAGGGAGAGGATTCAGTGAGTTACTGAATCTTACATGAACACAATGGGTTATGGGACCCTTGGTTTGTACCTCACTGTCACTCCTTGTGGCCTCATTTAGGTTAGTTAGTGATTTCTCAAGGGCTATTTCCCATGGTAGCAGAGCACTTGCCTCTCGTGTATAAATCTGAATGTCAAAACAGCCACGCTCTTAAATGTTTCCCTGATGTTGGTTGTTTCATACTTCTCATGGTGCTACATAAACTTCATGACCAAAAGTATGTGGACACCTGTTCGTCGAACATCTCATTCCAAAATCATGGGCATTAATATGTAGTTGATCCCCCCTTTGCTGCTATAATAGCCTCCACTCTTCTGGGAAGGCTTTCCACTAGTTGTTGGAACATTGCTGCGGGGACTTGCTTCCATTCAGCCACAAGAGCATTAGTGAGGTCGGACACTAATGTTGGGCGATTAGGCCTGGCTCGCAGTCGGCGTTCAAATTCATCCCAAAGGTGTTCGATGGGGTTGAGGTCAGGGCTCTGTGCAGGCCAGTCAAGTTCTTCCACACCGATCTCGACAAACCATTTCTGTATGGACCTCGCTTTGTGCAAAGGGGCATTGTCATGCTGAAACAGAAAAGGGCCTTCCCCAAACTGTTGCCACAAAGTTGGAAGCACAGAATCGTCTGGAATGTCATTGTATGCTGTAGCGTTAAGATTTCCCTTCACTGGAACTAAGGGGCCTAGCACGCACCATGAAAAACAGCCCCAGACCATTATTCCTCCTCCATAAAATTTTACAGATGGCAGGTAGCGTTCTCCTGGCATCCGCCAAACCCAGATTAGTTCGGCGGATTCCCAGATGGTGAAGTGTGATTCATCACTCCAGAGAACGCGTTTCCACTGCTACAGAGTCCAATGGCGGCAAGCTTTACACCACTCCAGCCGACGCTTGGCATTGCGCATGGTGATCTTAGGCTTGTGTGCGGCTGCTCGGCCATGGAAACCCATTTCATGAAGCTCCCGACGAACAGTTCTTGTGCTGACGTTGCTTCCAGAGGCAGTTTGGAACTCGGTAGGGAGTGTTGCAACTGAGGACAGACGATTTTTACGCGCTTCAGCACTCGGCAGTCCCGTTCTGTGAGCTTGTGTGGCCTACCACTTCGCGGCTGAGCCGTTGTTGCTCCTAGACATTTCCACTTCACAATAACAGCACTTACAGTTTACCGGGGCAGCTCTAGCAGGGCAGAAATTTGATGAACTGAAAGTTAGTGAGCTCTTCAGTAAGGGCCATTCTACTTCCAATGTTTGTCTATGGAGATTGCATGGCTGTGTGCTTGATTTTATACACCTGTCAGCAACGGGTGTTGCTGAAACAGCAGAATCCAATAATTTGAAGGGGTGTTTCTAAATGTATTTCTAAATAGAAAAGAACAGATGGGAGGATCTGAATGCAGAGCAAGGAAGATAACTGTGGGGGGACAGTCAGAGAACCATCCTGGAGAAAGAGAATGGTTGCACATCCTATCTCACCAACAACACAGAATACTGCATTAAACGGTCCATAAGCCACTGAAGAAACATAGCAAACACCATATAGCTGACAGAACTATATTAGCCATATGATCCAACCCACAGACACCCCCCCATTTAATCTACTTTCTGTCATGATAGCTTTGTTTAATGACATTACATTAAGTGATAGTCCCCATTTTCCTGCCAGCACACATAATTATTTAAATGTATGGGTTTATAGGAAGCGTGTCCTGATGACAGGAGCCTTCCCTAAGAAAAGGAAACTGGCGAGCTTGCACCTACAGGGCGGCATCGTAAATCTGTTTTTATTGGTCACACCGGGCGCACTTTCTCATAATCACACACTGACAAATATATAGCTCTCTCCATCCTGGCACATAAACATGGAGACACACACACATATACAGTGCCTTCGGAAAGTATTCAGACTCCTTGACTTTGTCCACATTTTGATACATTACAGCCTTAATCTAAAATGGATTAAATAAATACAAATCCTCAGCAATCTACAAACAATACCCCATAATGACAAAGCGAAAACTGGTTTTTAGAAAATTTTGCAAATGTATTAACAATACAAAAGGAAATAACTTATTTACATAAGTATTCAGACCCTTTGCTATGAGACTTGAAATTGAGCTCAGGTGCATCCTGTTTTCATCGATCATCCTTGAGATGTTTCTACAACTTGATTGGAGTCCACCTGTGGTAAATTGGACATGATTTGGAAAGGAACACACCTGTCTATATAAGGTCCCACAGTTGACAGTATTTGTCCTCTTGCTCCTCTTGTGCACCGGGGTCCTCCCACTCCTCTTTTTATTCTGATTAGAGACAGTTTACGCTGTTCTGTGAAGGGAATAGTACACAGCGTTGTACGAGATCTTCAGTTTCTTGGCAATTTCTCGCATGGAATAGCCTTCATTTCTCAGAACAAGAATAGACTGACGAGTTTCAGAAGAAAGAAAGTTATTTGTTTCTGGCCATTTTGAATCTGTAAACGAACCCACAATTGCTGATGCTCCAGATACTCAACTAGTCTCAAGAAGGCCAGTTTTTTTGATTCTTTAATCAGCACAACAGTTTTCAGCTGTGCTAACATAATTGCAAAAGGGTTTGCTAATGATCAATTAGCCTTTTAAAATGATAAACATGGATTAGCAAACACAATGTGCCATTGGAACACAGGACTGATGGTTGCTGATAATGGGCCTCTGTACGCCTACGTAGATATTCCATTAAAAAAATCAGCCGTTTCCAGCTACAATAGCCATTTACAACATTAACAATATCTACACTGTATTTCTGATCAATTTGATGTTATTTTAATGGACAAAAACAATGCTTTTCTTTCGAAAACAAGGTAATTTATAAGTGACCCCAGACTTTTGAATGGTAGTATAAATATAAATATATACACGCACACACACACAGTACCAGTCAAAAGTTTGGACACACCTACTCATTCAAGGGTTTTCCTTTATTTTTACTATTTTCTACATTGTAGAATAATAGTGAAGACATCAACACTATGAAATAACACATATGGAATCATTTAGTAACCAAAAAAGTGTTAATCAAATCAAAATATATGTTATATTTGAGATTCTTCAAAGTAGCCACACTTTGCCTTGATGACAGCTTTGCACACTCTTGGCATTCTCTCTACCATTTTCACCTGGAATGCTTTTCCAACAGTCTTGAAGGAGTTCCCACATATGCTGAGCACTTGTTGGCTGCTTTTCCTTCACTCTGCGGTCCAACTCATCCCAAACCATCTCAATTGGGTTGAGGTCGGGGGATTGTGGAGGCCAGGTCATCTGATGCAGCACTCCATCACTCTCCTTCTTGGTAAAATAGCCCTTACACAGCCTGGAGGTGTGTTGGGTCATTGTACTGTTGAAAAACAAATGATAGTCCCACTAAGGCCAAACCAGATGGGATGGCGTATCGCTGCAGAATGCTGTGGTAGCCATGCTGGTTAAGTGTGCCTTGAATTCTAAATAGATCACAGACAGTGTCACCAGCAAAGCACCCCCACACCATCACACCTCCTCCTCCATGCTTTATGGTGGGAAATACACGAGGAGATCATCCGTTCACTCACACCGCGTCTCACAAAGCCACGGCGGTTGGAACCAGAAATCTCAAATTTGGACTCCAGACCAAAGGACTAATTTCCACCAGTCTAATGTCCATTGCTCGTGTTTCTTGGCCCAAGCCAGTCTCTTCTTCTTATTGGTGTCCTTTAGTAGTGGTTTCTTTGCAGCAGTTCGACCATGAAGGCCTGATTCACACAGTCTCCTCTGAACAGTTGATGTTGAGATGTGTCTGTTACTTGAACTCTGTGAAGCATTTATTTGGGCTGCAATTTCTGAGGCTGGTAACTCTAATGAACTTATCCTCTGCAGCAGAGGTAACTCTGGGTCTTCCCTTTCCTGTGGCTGTCCTCCTTGAAGAAACTTTAAAAGTTCTTGAAATTTTCCGGATTGACTGAACTTCATGTCTTAAAGTGATGATGGACTGTTTGTCTTTGCTTATTTGAGCTGTTCTTGCCATAATATGGACTTGCTCTTTTACCAAATAGGGCTATCTTCTGTATACCCCCCCCCCCTACCTTGTCACAACACAACTGATTGGCTCAAACGCATTAAGAAGGAAAGAAATTCCACAAATTAACTTTTAAGGTGGCACACCTGTTAATTGAAATGCATTCCAGGTGACTACCTCATGAAGCTGGTTGAGAGAATGCCAAGAGTGTGCAAAGCTGTCATCAAGGCAAAGGGAGGCTATTTGAAGAATTTGTTTAACACTTTTTTGGTTAATACATGATTACATATGTGTTATTTCATAGTTTTGATGTCTTCACTATTATTCTACAATGTAAAAAATAGTAGAAATAAAGAAAACCCCTTGAATGAGTAGGTGTGTCCAAACATTTGACTGGTGTATATATATATATATATATATATATATATATATATATATATATATAGAGAGAGAAAATATCATGGGCACTTGCACACACAGTCACAAAAAGCCATACATTTTCCCAGGATTGGGAGTGTAAAAAACATTCTTTCCGTTAGTTTAGTTACAATCACATAATTTATTTCCCATGTCCACTTTTAACAAAATGCTGTTCTCAGGGAGTTGCAATTTGTTTGCACAACCAAGTGATGTACTTGCCAAAGTGAATAAGGGTGAGGGGAGAGCTGGAGAGCCTAATGGTACAATACAATTTGAGTGACAATTCTAACCAATTCCACCTTATTATCCATGTTGAAGGGTTTTGTCTAGATGGGATAAAGCTTTTGTCCGATTTTTCGTAGCAGGTTAGGAGAATTAGATTAAGGTTAGGAAAACGTTTCTACTTTTGACATTCATTTGGCAAAAGCAGTTTCCCTTCTAGCCATGACCATGTGGAAGGGAAAATAATCCTTTCTTTGCTCGTCAGAAACCCACCCATGAAACCACTGTGGTGCAAACTCATTTTCCAAACATTTCTCACCCTGTCTGCCCCCACTAAAGGACTTACACCCTCCGGAAAAACATCACGTAACCCTTTGCATCTCGGCTCATCTTAAATCCTCAGTCGCCATAGCGACGGCGGTATCGAGTCAAGGGTGAGAGAAGGGTCTCTCTGTGTGTCTGTGTTTCTCATTCTGGTCGCGCTGCCGGCAGCTCAAAGACCTAAGGACTGCAGTGTGACTGACAGGGAGGAAGGACAGCACAATTGAGCTGTTCACAACTGGAGAGGAGTAGGCTAATGAGTGTTGACATTTAAAACTATGTAATGGAGAAGAATACAGCACACAAACAAACATACACTATAATAGAGGCGGCCTCAGAGGCATTCCTAATTGTTGTATATCAGTGGAATGAGATGAGTGTGAATCTGACAGGGTGGACAGAGTACACTTGTAGTGTACAGTTATTCAATGGTGTCAGCCTTGTACCAGGCACTGCGCTGCAACATCAGTCAGCTAAGGTATCTGTGGGGGTGACAAAGTGAGTAATGACGAGTGTTGCTGCTGTATATCACAGCTTGAATGCTAATGATAACCACGCCGCGTGCCCCTCCCTCTATCACCAGGCTGTCCACACAGCCTTCATAGGGAACCGGGATCACATGCAACTCTGATAAATGACAAAAGCCTTTTAGGCTAACACGTTCTACATTTACTACACATTCTTATCTAAATGGCCCACAACCAAACAGCTGGAGAGGAATTTGAAGCTGCAGCTGGACACACATTCAGAAACCCACCCACACACACTTCCCTCTTATGACCCACGAAGCCTCATCTCTCAATATCCTGTTAAAGATGTGGTACCACTTAATGTCCTCCTACAAGCCCTGAGTCATTGGCACCGACAGGAACAAACACGTGGAACACATCTAATGACTAAACTGGAACATAACCCGGCATTCCAGCATAAGAAGCAGGGGAGTTGTGTATCCTCTCTATGTCTGACAGTCAGTCAGTAGGTGGGTTATTAGTCACATCATAGGTTTCCATATCACAGCCCAAACTAGGTAGCTTCCCCGAAGGGGGGAGGATCAGCAAACACCACAACCTCCTGGCCTTCTCGGTCAAAAATCTATGAACAGATAGGCTAGAGGCAGGCAGAGACCTTGGATAAAGTTAAAGTTCCACCTGTGGAGAGAGGGAAGTGGGTGAGTCTCTCCCAGGGCTGGACACAAAGAGACCCACTGTCCGGGGACTCAATGCACCCCGCCACTCAGGCCACCTGGGGAGGGAGAAGTCACATGACACACTGAATGAGAAAACAATCACTGGCCAAAACAAAATGGAGGCACTTCAGCTGGATCCCGCACATCTCCCTCTCTCTCAAACACACACTCAAACTCTACCACTCAAATTATAACCGAATGGGATGGAACATGGGAAATGGATGCTGTGGGGAAAAAAGGGGGTTGACAGTGCTGCCCTGGTGTACAGCTCTGTGGTTAACCATCACACTGGAGTGCCTGTGGAGGAGGAGGAGGAAGTGGGGGTGTGGGAAAAGAGAACTGCCCTGTAAAAACCCACCATTACCAGCCTGTCCAAAGTCAAAACCAGGTCTGGAATTTAAAAAGAAAAAAGAGGGACGTGTCAAAATCAACCTCTTTTAGTGTGAAATCATAATTGTGACCCAAAACAATAGTGCTGCTGCCGCTAACCCGTGCACCACCCTTCCCCTCCCCCTAGTCCAGTGCCCTGACCCAATCCCACCAGACAGTCTGACATCTCCCTGGAACGCTCTCCCCCCCTCTCCCCTGCCTGCCTGTCTCTAGCCCTGTTTTGACTCCAGGACTGAGCGCTCTCATTCGCAGCATTGTTCTTCTGTAAACAAAAGGCTTCCTTTTCCCCTCAACCACTCCTCCCTTCACTACGCCTTCAAATAAAAAAGAGAAGAAAGATGGAAGGAAGGAAGGAGAGAGTTTGGAACGACAAGTGTTGGAGGTGGACCAGATCCTAATCTGTAATCTCTAATCTCCAATCCGCTTCCTCCTGCAGCCTGATCAATCTCCTGGTTTCCAGCCAGCCCATTAGGCGCTGGTGGGTTCTCAACTCCGGGCCTGTCTCTCATTCCAAGAGAATGTGAGAGCCTTATCTGGGCTTGGGCTTCAGCACGGACGCCATTGCCTCGCCACAGAGGAACAGTGACAGGACAACATGACTCACACACACATAAAAGGGTTAAATGGGAATCGAGACAGTTTCAATAAAGTCTTCATGGACATTCTCTAGGCTAGTTGTAGGCTGTTTATATGGCCCGTGTGTCATGGGTTGTCTGCCTGGGCTGGCTGTGCTAACATGAGTGTGCCACACGCCTCAGACAGCCCTGCTTAGTGGGACAGTCCAGTAGGGTTGCCGCTGGGCAGGACTCTCGTCTCTATGTGTGCACTCAGCCCTGCTCCGGACAAAAGTGGGTTGCTTTTTAAAGACCTTGCCACACCACTTAACTGTAGACCTGAATGTAGCCTAGTTGTGCAGGGTGGGGGTTAGTGGGGGAGTGCAGAGTACAAGTGTGGAAATGTGGTTGGGGCAATTGAAATAGAATAGAAAATATAAATATCCATCTTAGGCAATTTTTACATTTGAGAAAATCCACGTATGTAAATATGCTAATCTGATAAGACTAAATGCTGATATTAAGAGTCTAGGTAGGAGCTAAGTGATCAGGGAAGAGGCTGCCAGGAAAATCTCCCAATGCCTGTAAACAGAGCTCGAACTTCCAAGGCTTTAAAATTAGATGTGGGGGAAAAAACACCACCAAGACCTCATCATCTAACACGTCACTTCAGACAATAAGGAAAACAGAGAGCAGGCTTTTAAGAAAATATACTTATTTTCACTAGGCTCAAAATCATAGGAGCATTCAAAGACATGCTTCATCTCTCACACTAGAAGTGGAGAAGAAGTCTTGTCAACACAGGGCTCTACAGTGCAATCATTTTACTCGCATATGCGCCTAAATATTTTGCTGTGCGACCTGGATATTTTTTTTTACCAGTGTGCCTAGAAAAATTAAGGATTCTAGCTTTAATACCTCAAATACGTCTTCGCCCTACAGGACTCCCAATCACAGCCGGTTGTGATACAGCCTGGAATCGAACCAGGGGGTCTGTAGTGACGCCTCAAGCACTGAGATGCAGTGCCTTAGACCGCTGGGCCACTCGGGAGCCCTAATGAGGGAAGCGCTATAGAGACAAGAGTCGGAAAAGCAACCTTTCACTGCTAAACCTGTCTGACCATGCAAACAAATGCACAGAGGAAAGGGCTGACGACATTCTTAGTGTGAGAACATTTCATCCATCTTACATCACCCTTTCCTCCATGAGGCCTTGTGTAATTGCATAAGGAGTCCACACCAACTATTTTGAGAACCAAAAAGAGGGAACTCATCCACATACGTTTTTTGGCTGTATTTTTGGTACCCCTGCGTAAGTAGGCCTACATGTGTTTTTTCCACTGTGTGATACAATGTGCCTGAGAGGAAGACATCCAGTCGAGTAAAGTCTTCCACAGCACTGATGCTTAGTGGAGTCAAAACAGTGAGCACTCAGCTTCTGCCAGGTTGCACCACCGTTGGCTGGGACTGGCAGTTTAGAGTGGCTGCATGGCTCTGTAAAGCTCTTTGGCTCCTCTGCACTTTCTGATGTAGACTAATGGAGGAGAGGCTTGGGTAGAGCTACAGAGGAGAGAGGGATATTACTAACCTGTTTAACAGACATGGAGGTCCGCCACTATCTGGAGCAGAGAAATACTGCTGCTCCCCAAACTCTGTTTGAGAGGAGGGTTAGTTACATCATGAGCAAGCCACGTTTTAGGCCATGCCAACCATCACACTGCCTCGAGTAGACTGATTCTTCTTTTCATTGGAACAGCAATGCAATACTCCCATGTGGCCCAGCGGTCTAAGGCACTGCATCTCAGTGCTTGAGGCGTCACTACAGACACCCTGGTTCGATTCCAGGCTGTATCACAACCGGCTGTGATTGGGAGTCCCATAGGGCGGCGCACAATTGGCCCAGCGTCGTCCGGGTTTGGCCGGTGTAGGCCATCATTGTAAATAAGAATTTGTTCTTAACTGACTTGCCTAGTTAAATAAAAAGGTACAAATAAAATAAAATGAATGTGCTCCATCCCTTAACCTTGAAAGCCTATAGGTAAAGACAAAAAAAAATAGGGTAACCTAGGCCCTATGCATCTCCAATGATTTGGGGATAATTACATGTTTTCAAAGTAAAAGAGACAATGTAGTCCACACACACACAACATGTGTATCTGTTTATATGCATTCTTGGGGGAACCAGTCATCTTTTATTGTCAACACTAGGTACAGTGAGATCCAAAAGTATTGGGATAGTGACACATTTGTTGTTTTGACTCTGTACTCCAGCACTCGATTTGAAATGATACAATGTCAGCTTTAATTTGGAGGGTGAACTGTTTAGAAATGACAGCACTTTTTGTACACAGCCCCCCCATTTTAGGGGACCAAAAGTATTCACTTTTGTGTATTAAAGTGGTACAAAGTTTAGTATTTGGTCCCATATTCATAGCACGCAATGACTACATAAAGCTTGGGCTTGGGACTCTACACATTTGTTGGATGCATTTGCGGTTTGTTTTGGTTGCGTTTCAGATTATTTTGTGCCCAATAGAAATGAACGCTAAATAATGTAGTGTGTCATTTTGGAGTCACTTCTATTGTAAATAAGAATATAATGTTTCTTAACACTTCTACATTAATGTGGATGCTACCATGATTATGGATAATCCTGAACCTATTGTGAATAATGATGAGTGAGAAAGTTAGACGCACAAATATCATACCCCCAAGTCAAGCTTTTTTGGGGGTATGATATTTGTGCGTCTAATTTCCTCACTCATCATTATTCACGATTCATTCAGGATTATCCATAATCACGGTAGCATCCACATTAATGTAGAAGTCACAAGCATGATGTAGTCATTGAGTGCTATGAATATGGGATCAACACTTACGTTTTTACTACTTCAATACACATACAGTGGGGGAAAAAAGTATTTAGTCAGCCACCAATTGTGCAAGTTCTCCCACTTAAAAAGAGGAGAGAGGCCTGTAATTTTCATCATAGGGACACGTCAACTATGACAGACAAATTGAGAAAACAAAATCCAGAAAATCACATTGTAGGATTTTTAATGAATTTATTTGCAAATTATGGTGGAAAATAAGTATTTGGTCACCTACAAACAAGCAAGATTTCTGGCTCTCACATACCTGTAACTTATTCTTTAAGAGGGTCCTCTGTCCTCCACTCGTTACCTGTATTAATGGCACCTGTTTGAACTTGTTATCAGTATAAAAGACACCTGTCCACAACCTCAAACAGTCACACTCCAAACTCCACTATGGCCAAGACCAAAGAGCTGTCAAAGGACACCAGAAACAAAATTGTAGACCTGCACCAGGCTGGGAAGACTGAATCTGCAATAGGTAAGCAGCTTGGTTTGAAGAAATCAACTGTGGGAGCAATTATTAGGAAATGGAAGACATACAAGACCACTGATAATCTCCCTCGATCTGGGGCTCCACGCAAGATCTCACCCTGTGGGGTCAAAATGATCACAAGAACGGTGAGCAAAAATCCCAGAACCACACGGGGGGACCTAGTGAATGACCTGCAGAGAGCTGGGACCAAAGTAACAAAGCCTACCATCAGTAACACACTACGCCGCCAGGGACTCAAATCCTGCAGTGCAAGACGTGTCCCCCTGCTTAAGCCAGTACATGTCCAGGCCTGTCTGAAGTTTGCTAGAGTGCATTTGGATGATCCAGAAGAGGATTGGGAGAATGTCATATGGTCAGATGAAACCAAAATAGAACTTCTTGGTAAAAACTCAACTCGTCGTGTTTGGAGGACAAAGAATGCTGAGTTGCATCCAAAGAACACCATACCTACTGTGAAGCATGGGGGTGGAAACATCATGCTTTGGGGCTGTTTTTCTGCAAAGGGACCAGGACGACTGATCCGTGTAAAGGAAAGAATGAATGGGGCCATGTATCGTGAGATTTTGAGTGAAAACCTCCTTCCATCAGCAAGGGCATTGAAGATGAAACGTGGCTGGGTCTTTCAGCATGACAATGATCCCAAACACACCGCCCGGGCAACGAAGGAGTGGCTTCGTAAGAAGCATTTCAAGGTCCTGGAGTGGCCTAGCCAGTCTCCAGATCTCAACCCCATAGAAGATCTTTGGAGGGAGTTGAAAGTCTGTGTTGCCCAGCGACAGCCCCAAAACATCACTGCTCTAGAGGAGATCTGCATGGAGGAATGGGCCAAAATACCAGCAACAGTGTGTGTGAAAACCTTGTGAAGACTTACAGAAAACGTTTGACCTGTGTCATTGCCAACAAAGGGTATATAACAAAGTATTGAGAAACTTTTGTTATTGACCAAATACTTATTTTCCACCATAATTTGCAAATAAATTCATTAAAATCCTACAATGTGATTTTCTGGATTTATTTTTCTCATTTTGTCTGTCATAGTTGACGTGTACCTATGATGAAAATTACAGGCCTCTCATCTTTTTGATGGGAGAACTTGCACAATTGGTGGCTGACTAAATACTTTTTTCCCCCACTGTACAAAAAGTGCTGTAATCTCTAAAACGGTTCACCCGATATGGATGAAAATACCCTCAAATTAAAGATGACAGTCTGCACTTTAACCTCACAGTCATTGTATCATTTCTCATCCAAAGTGTTGGAGTACAGAGACAAAACAACAAAATATTTCACTGTCCCAATACTTTTGTAGCTCACTGTATGTGCCGCTGACAGACATCGAGCTCCATGATTAAAAACCATGAGCGAATGGCATAATGTGCAGGTGTCTACCATAAACAGCTTTTACTGGGTGTTTTGAAGAGTGTTAAACGTGTCTATGCACCATTGTGTCATGTCTGTCCCAGCTTTAGCACCATTGTGTCATGTCTGTCCCAGCTTTAGCAATTGAGGGACGTGGGCAGAGTCGTGCCATGCTGCTATAATGAGATCATTCCAAGTCTAGGCAGCTCTGATTTGTGTGGAGGTAGATGGGGTTAATAAGGTGGCACGGTCAAAACTTTGAGCTCTCTTTTCTTGCCCTCGCTTAGAGAAGGGTTATGGCCACTTATGTGACAGCCACGTTTAAAAGGTCCTTGAACCTTTTGGGGCGTAAGATGTAGCCTAGTGCATTACACTTTAGTCACCTGTGACCCTTCCCTTGATGAGTTATATCAAGGCTGTAATTACACATCCCATCTGAATGATAATGCACATTGAAACCTTGACCTCATACTCTAGACTTGACTGGCTGGAGTGTCTGTGGCCTCTGCTCCAGCTAAACCACAATGAATCATCAGGCCATTGTAGCGATTGTTTTACTGGAGCGGTCCTAGATGGGGAAGGTACTTTCATAATGACTTTCCACCTAGCAAGCCACAACTCATCAAGCAGACAGTTACACAATAACTGGGTCAATCTCGCAACAAGGCACTGAGCAAAAGAGACCAAAACCTGACACTGAGAATCCTTCTTTCTACAAGGATAAGGTTACATATACCTCATTCTGGAGAGTCCCAATGACTCAAGGACTATGGAATGAGTTGAAGGCTGTGCAATAATGTTGAGAGTAGTCCCTGTAATAACAGCGTTAACTGGGTCCTCTCAACGAGACCATGTATGGCAGCCATTTTAAAAGAAGGATACCTGGCCGTCCTTAATCCAGTCAAACAGCAAAACAATACTTGCTGAATTAAGTGTAATTCTATTTTAAAAAGGAGAAGGGGCATAATGTTTGGTGACTTTCTAACTAGCCTACTACCGGACATGACAGTTCAGAAATAGACATTTTAAAATAGTCATCCTCTTTGCTCATGTGCAAAAATCATTTACAGGAAGCCTTGGCATAATTGTTCAACTTAGTGGAAATGCCATTTGAATTGTGATCTGGTGTGAATATAAACATCTCTTGTGATCTATCTCCTCAGAGGACAGAGGGCTCAACGGCAGGCTGGGCACAGACAGATGCTTTGTGTCAGCTGTGAGCGCCTTGCGGTTTTCACTCCAAGCCTCCCATAACACTGGTGACTTAGAGACCCCCCATCTGCTCAAGGTTAGAGAGGTAAGGGTTAATCGCATCAATCCGTGTCGATCCAGGTTTACAGCAGAGCCTAGGAACCTTCTAGGTACCTCACCACCTTTTCCTGGAAACAAGTCTGGATATCTAGCGAGTTAATAAGACTTTGTACAAACACGACTGGCTCACCTGAGCATACCATTACCTCCCCAAACCACAGAAAAAGAAAACAAGAATCACAGACAACTAAAACTGATCACAAAATCAACTTAGTAAAAACTGTTAAAGAGTACAGTACAGTACCAAGGATCCCCAGCAAAGTGGAACCCTGTACACAGTGGGGAGAACAAGTATTTGATAACCTGCAAAATTGGCAGTGTTTCCTACTTACAAAGCATGTAGAGGTCTGTCATTTTTATCATAGGTACACTTCAACTGTGAGAGACGGAATCTAAAACAAAAATCCAGAAAATCACATTGTATGTTTTTTAAGTAATTAATTTGCATTTTATTGCATGACATAAGTATTTGATACATCAGAAAAGCAGAACTTAATATTTGGTACAGAAACCTTTGTTTGCAATTACAGAGATCATACGTTTCCTGTACGTCTTGACCAGGTTTGCACACACTGCAGCAGGGATTTTGGCCCACTCCTCCATACCTTCTCCAGATCCTTCAGGTTTCGGGGCTGTCGCAATACGGCAATACGGACTTTCAGCTCCCTCCAAAGATTTTCTATTGGGTTCAGGTCTGGAGACTGGCTAGGCCACTCCAGGACCTTGAGATGCTTCTTACACAGCCAGGGCAACTAAGGAGTGGCTCCGTGTTTCGGGCCGTTGTCATGCTGGAAGACCCAGCCACGACCCATCTTCAATGCTCTTACTGAGGGAAGGAGTTTGTTGGCCAAGATCTCGCGATACATGGCCCCATCCATCCTCCCCTCAATACGGTGGAGTCGTCCTGTCCCCTTTGCAGAAAAGCATCCCCAAAGAATGATGTTTCCACCTCCATACTTCACGGTTGGGATGGTGTTCTTGGGGTTGTACTCATCCTTCTTCTTCCTCCAAACACAGCGAGTGGAGTTGAGACAAAAATAGAGCTTTTTGGTCTAATCAGACCACATGACCTTCTCCCATTCCTCCTCTGGATCATCCAGATGGTCATTGGCAAACTTCAGACGGGCCTGGACATGCGCTGGCTTGAGCAGGGGGACCTTGCGTGCGCTGCAGGATTTTAATCCATGACGGCGTAGTGTGTTACTAATGGTTTTCTTTGAGACTGTGGTCCCAGCTCTCTTCAGGTCATTGACCAGGTCCTGCCGTGTAGTTCTGGGCTGATCCCTCACTTTCCTCATGATCATTGATGCCCCACGAGGTGAGATCTTGCATGGAGCCCTAGACTGAGGGTGATTGACTGTCATCTTCAACTTCTTCCATTTTCTAATAATTGCGCCAACAGTTGTTGCCTTCTCACCAAGCTGCTTGCCTATTGTCCTGTAGCCCATCCCAGCCTTGTGCAGGTCTACAATTTTATCCCTGATGTCCTTACACAGCTCTCTGGTCTTGGCCATTGTGGAGAGGTTGGAGTCTGTTTGATTGAGTGTGTGGACAGGTGTCTTTTATACAGGTAACGAGTTCAAACAGGTGCAGTTAATACAGGTAATGAGTGGAGAACAGGAGGGCTTCTTAAAGAAAAACTGGTCTGTGAGAGACGGAATTCTTACTGGTTGTCAGGTGATCAAATACTTATGTCATGCAATAAAATGCAAATTAATTACTTAAAAATCATACAATGTGATTTTCTGGATTTTTGTTTTAGATTCCGTCTCTCACAGTTGAAGTGTACCTATGATAAAAATTACAGACCTCTACATGCTTTGTAAGTAGGAAAACCTGCAAAATCGGCAGTGTATCAAATACTTGTTCTCCCCACTGTACATAGCCTAAGTGATGGAGAATAATGGGGTCATGTGTACCTTTGCTCCTGTGTTAGAGGGAGGAAGGTCTGGTCTGGCGAGGTAAACAACAGAGATGAGTGTCTGCCTTAGGGCACTTGGCCATGCAACAGGCCCCTCTGCCCTGTTCTCAAGAACAGAACCTGTTACACTGTGTGGATTCATAGACATGCCTGAAGTCAGGGGTTTTTTTCTGGCTCAAAAAGTGTCTTAGGTGGTGGGCGTGGCCGGGGGCGTGGCAGGGTGCGCGGTCAGCTCAGCAATAAAACAAATACAAATTAGGAGGCCCCCATCTTGCCTGTGTAGAGAAGCTTTTAGCATTTAAGCCAATTTCCTGCAATTGAAAAAAAAAACATTCATGCAGCTGATATATATTTTTGCTGTTTTAATGCTAATTTCCTGCAAATCTATGCATTTTGCCATGGCTAGTGCTGTGCTCTTTTACTCAAACATAATAAAATATATACCTCTAAATTCATTGCTTTTGGAATTTTCTATTCTCCCTGACTGTTTACCTTTTTTTGTTGTTGTGATTGTTAGTTCTCAAAGATGAAATTATGAAAAAATATATAGGTTTATCTTTTCTACATACTTTATATCTGGTTTTAGTCATTCAAGTTTATACTGAAAGCGGCTTTCCATCCTGAAAATTAACCCCAACAAAGACACACACACACACACACACACACAGTTGAAGTGGGAAGTCAACATACACCTTAGCCAAATACATTTAAACTCAGTTTCACAATTCCTGACATTTAATCCTAGTAAAAATTCCCTATCTTAGGTCAGTTAGGATCACCACTTTATTTTAAGAATGTGAAATGTCAGAATAATAGTAGAGAGAATGATTTATTTCAGCTTTTATTTCTTTCAACACATTCCCAGTGGGTCAGAAGTTTACATGCTACATTTTACATTTTAGTCATTTAGCAGACGCTCTTATCCAGAGCGACTTACAGTTGCATACATTATTTAATTTTTCATACTGGCCCCCCCCCCGTGGGAATCGAACCCACAACCCTGGCGTTGCAAACACCATGCTCTACCAACTGAGCTACATCCCTGCCGGCCATTCCCTCCCCTACCCTGGACGACGCTGGGCCAATTGTGCGCCGCCCCATTGCTACCAAATACTAATTGAGTGTATTGCCTTTAAATTGTTTAATTTGGGTGAAATGTTTCGAGTAGCCTTCCACAAGCTTTCCACAATAAGTTGGGTGAATTTTGGCCCATTCCTCCTGACAGAGCTGGTGTAACTGAGTCAGGTTTGTAGGCCTCCTTGCTCGCACACGACTTTTCAGTTCTGCCCACAAATGTTCTATAGGATTGAGGTCAGGGCTTTGTGATGGCCACTCCAATACCTTGACTTTGTTGTCCTTAAGCCATTTTGCCACACCTTTGGAAGTATGCTTGGGGTCATTGTCCATTTAGAAGACCCATTTGCGACCAAGCTTTAACTTCCTGACTGATGTCTTGAGATGTTGCTTCAATATATCCACATAATTTTCCTTCCTCATGATGCCATCTATTTTGTGAAGTGCACCAGTCCCTCCTGCAGCAAAGCACCCCCACAGCATGATGCTGCCACCCCCGTGCTTCAGCAACCCCCTCTTCGGCTCGCAAGCAACCCCCTTTTTCCTACAAACATAACGTTGGTCATTATGGCCAAACAGTTATATTTTTGTTTCATCAGACCAGTGGACATTTCTCCAAAAAGTACGATCTTTGTCCCCATGTGCAGTTGCAAACCGTAGTCTGGCTTTTTTATGGCGGTTTTGGAGCAGTGGCTTCTTCCTTGCTGAGTGGCCTTTCAGGTTATGTCGATATAGGACTCGTTTTACTGTGGATATAGATACTTTTGTACCTGTTTCCTCCAGCATCTTCACAAGGTCATTTGCTGTTGTTCTGGGATTGACTTGCACTTTTCACACCAAAGTACGTTCATCTCTAGGAGACAGAACGCGTCTCCATCCTGAGCGGTATGACGGCAGCGTGGTCCCATGGTGTTTATACTTGCGTACTATTGTTTGTACAGATGAACGTGGTACCTTCAGGCGTTTGGCAATTGCTCCAAAGGATGAACCAGACTTGTGGAGGTCTACAATTCTTTTTCTGAGGTGTTGGCTGATTTCTTTAGATTTTCCCATGATGTCAAGCAAAGAGGCACTGAGTTTGAAGGTAGGCCTTGTAATACATCCACAGGTATACCTCCAATTGACTCAAATTATTTCAATTAGCCTATCAGAAGCTTCTAAAGCCATGACATCATTTTCTGGAATTTTCCAAGCTGTTTAAAGGCACAGTCAACTTAGTGTATGTAAACTTCTGACCCACTGGAATTGTGATACAGTGAATTATAAGTGAAATAATCTGTCTGTAAACAATTGTTGGAAAAATTACTTGTGTCACGCACAAAGATGTACTAACTGACTTGCCAAAACTATAGTTTGTTAACAAGAAATTTGTGGAGTGGTTGCAAAACGAGTTTTAATGACTCCAACCTAAGTGTATGTAAACTTCCAACTTCAACTGTACGTACAGTCACTGTGGGGACGACGTCGTCAATGCACTTATTGATGAAGCCAGTGACTGATGTGGTGTACTCCTCAATGCCATCGGAAGAATCCCGGAACATATTCCAGTCTGTGCTAGCAAAACAGTCCTGTAGCTTAGCATCTGCTTCAACATTTTTATTGACCGAGTCACTGGTGCTTCCTGCTTTAGTTTTTGCTTGTAAGCTGGAATCAGGAGGATAGAATTATGGTCAGATTTGCCAAATGGAGGGCGAGAGAGAGCTTTGTACGCGTCTCTGTGTGTGGAGTAAAGGTGGTCTAGAGTTTTTTTCCCCTCTGGTTGCACATTTAACATGCTAGTAGAAATTAGGTAAAACGGATTTAAGTTTCCCTGCATTAAAGTCCCTGGCCACTAGGTGCGCCGCCTCTGGATGAGCGTTTTCCTGTTTGCTTATGGCCGAATACAGCTCATTGAGTGCGGTCTTAGTGCCAGCATCGGTTTGTGGCGGTAAATAGACAGCTACAAAGAATATATATGAAAACTCTCTTGGTAAATAGTGTGGTCTACAGCTTATCATGAGATACTCTACCTCAGGCGAGCAAAACCTTGAGCTGTTTACAAATATACATAAGACCGCCACCCCTTGTCTTACCAGAGGCTGCTGTTTTATCCTGCAAATACAGTGTATAACCCGCCAGCTGTATGTTATTCATGTTGTCGTTCAGCCACGACTCGGTGAAACATAAGATATTACAGTTTTTAATGTCCCATTGGTAGGATATAAGTGCTTTTAGTTTGTCCACTTTATTATCTAGCGATTGTACGTTGGCCAATAGTACCGATGGCAAAGGCAGATTATCCACTCGTCGCCGGCTCCTTATCAGGCACCCCGATCTCCTTCTGTGATATCTCCGTCTCTTTCGCTGCGAATGACGGGAATGAGGGCCCTGTCGGGTGTCTGGAGCAAATCCCTCTCATCCGACTCAAGGAAAAAATGATTTGTCCAGTTCAAGGTGAGTAATCGCTGTTCTGATGTCCAGAAACTCTTTTCGGTCATAAGAGACGGTAGCAGCAACATTATGTGCAAAACAAGTTACAAACAATGCGAAAAACAAACAAAATAGCACGGTTGGTTAAGAGTCCATCCCCTCCGGCGCCAATAGACTGATAACTATGGATGACCCTGTAAAACAACACATTTCACTGAACCTATCCAGTGTGTGACAATACAACATTTATTTTTTGTAGACTTCAAGTCATTGCACTAACGCTAGTTCACATCAGCTCGCTAAACTACCTCGAACTTCCTTCATATTGCATGCAGACATAGAAAATGTATTAATTTCCAGAATCTCGAATCATCCCTTTAAGACAATAGATATTAGGACTAGCCTACATTTGTCAAGGGAGTGAGACCGAACACAACCCATTTCTAAGTACCCAATACGTTTTCTGTACTATGTAACTGATAAATAACAAGGGCATCTAAAGTGAATCATAGTGAAAGAAATACCCCAAAGTGACATTTCTCACTTCAAAGGCAGCGTTAGGGAAATGAGCGCGAGTGAGCAGAGGGAGGAAAATAACAGAGTTCAGGCAGAAGTGATATGAGAGGAGCCTGCAGACAAGCAACAGATTAATTCTCACTAGAGCTTCCCCTCACTGCTAATCCAATTCTGACCCATTAACCGGCTCTGCCAGGTTAACACATCAGGCCTTTGAAGGCGCCCTTTCAACCACCCAGGAGGATTACCCTTCAAGTCGGAAAGACTTACACTGTCCGCACGGCACGCAAACAGCGTCTTCCTTGGGAAGCTGACAGAGGGGCTTCTTCAGAGAAGCGGTGTGAAATGCAGATATGTCAGTGTGTAAATAGGAAACTGAGGTGGAGAATGATGAAAATGGACAACGCCGAGGCAGAGCAGGTGCGGGGAGTGTTTCCTCTGTCAGACATGCAGACAGTAAGGTGGAGGGGAGCTTGTAAATAATGGCAGCTGCTGCCTGGAGAGCACTAATCATCAGAGGGGCTGGCCTGCAGATGTTCTGTCGACTGATGGTCACGCTCAGCATCTGCTTATCATTGGATGCCCTCTGGGTTCACAAAGAACATAGGCTACAGAGGCAAGACAGAGCGAAGTATAGACAGACGGGTTGGTTGACAACGTCACAATGATGCACTCACATCTAAGAGGCAAAAGGCTGTGTGTTATGATTCTGAACAGTCAGATAGCTACAGCAATGACAAGAAGCTGCCATGTGGAGAATCATGTGGCTGTTTCAGCTAGTTGTATTTCTTGATTCCATGTCTTGTTTTGACTTATGTCACACCCTATGCTAATATGGCTACAATTCACTAGCTAGCTAATCAACAACTGCAACGATGCATTTGAGTGACACCAGTGCTTATTGGGCAAATGTATTGATGTTTTCAATAAACATTGATACGAAATATGGTTTACATGTTGTCAATAATCCTTTCATTGTAAGCAAACCCCATCTGTGCTGCCCCAAAGTTGTGCTGGCATCGATTTTGTTGGTAAACAACCCACCTGTCTATAGAAAGGGGAATGTGAGGTGGTCTGTGCTTTTAGTTTCTAAATGAGACAAGGAAACTATAATCCATTAACCCGACTTGATCGGAATGTATTGAGTCAGTGAGATAAGCGCACAAACACACACACACACACACACACACACACCAACCTAAGCTAGCATTAAGCTCAATAAAGAACTCTGAATTTGATAATAAAGCTCTGTCTGATGGCCATCCTCAGCCTAGCTGGGAGCACCACTCTCCTCAGGTCACACCACCGACTGATTGCTCAAACACATTGCACTGTAGCGCGGACAGGCCTCATAATCCACCCAGCAATCTGAGCAAAACATGAGGACCAACCGACAGTCCTGCTGAGTAATATGACTGCAATTCTTCACTTTATTATTACTATGAACCTCAAAGGGAGTTTATCTTGTCTGCTCCCCACCTGTCAGGGGTGACATTTGGACAAGTGTTTGTCTGTAAAGAGCTTCCTCTCAGATGCTGCCCACTCCCCCTCTACATCTGGCCTCGGCTCCGTTGCTGGCAGCGGTTTGGGAGTTTGACCGCAGAAGCCTTTGTCCTCCTTGAAGAGCAGCTGAACCAACAGGAAAGCCAACCCCAGTCAATTAATTTATGAAACATTTTCAATTATTGGAGAGCCCTCAGCGGGGGAAGGAAAACATTTACAAATGACGTGCAATAATTGCTATTGTTTTGTTTTCCTTCTCTTTAAGCAAAATGTGGAACTGTTTGCTCAAATGCAGTTCTGTAATGGAGTAGCAAAGTCAACAGTTCCCCACATGTACCTAATCATTGTGTATTTACGAGGTATCCTTTCTGAACACCCAGATGACCAAAATCACTTCCATACAGGCACTCTGTAAAATGGCCTGAGCCACATGACTCTGCACACATTAAGAACTCTCTTGATCATTAAGTCCCGTGCCTCTGTAGCACCATCTGTGCCCAGTTGCAAGTTTCCCCCCACTACCTAACATGTTAACCCAATCGGTAGACTAAGGACTACAGAGAATGGATCCTTCAATAATAATAATGTTTAGTAACCTATTGTCACAAGGGGAAAAATGAGGCTGTTTTGATTTAAATGAGACAAGTGCATCCATTCAACAGTCCATTTTACAAGATCCCAGAGAGGTAGCTAGCAACAATATTTACAATAATCGACTAAAAAAGTAATGTAGACATTTCAATAGGTAAACCTGACAAAGCTGCAGCTTTGTTCAATGCTGTCCCCATTAAAAGAAAGATCCAAAACCACTGACTGAGTCAGAGAGAAACCCAGCACCACACGACAGCTTTCTCTCTAGCTGAGGGTGGGGGTGCAACGTGCTTAGGACTGGGAGGGGAGCAGTTTACAGTCAGAAAGAACAGGACTGAGTGACTCACAAAAAGAAAGGAAGAGGGGGGATGCTTTTGTGGAGAATGCTAGATAATCCCACAGTTATTTCTTCCCACTTCTCTGTACAGGGCAAAACCCAAAAGAGTAATATGCATGCTAAACAAATCTAAATGAAACATTAGCAAATAGAGTTCAATCAACTAACAACGGGTCAGCCAATAACACTAAGAACAGATGGCCCTGAAAAAAAAGTAACTATTGTTATGAAAGGCGTTTCATTTTACGGATGCTATGGAGATCTCTTAATCAATGACTGTGCTGTCCAAATCTGTTGGTGGGTGAGGTGGATTCAGCTCTCAGCTACAAACAGCTGGGGATCAGAGGCCTCAGTGTTAAAATGGAGGGATCACTTCTCCCTTCCACAGCTTCTTTGTTCAAATTACTTTATGGGAGACACATAAGTTAGCATGTGCTGTGTACTGACAAATGTATAGCTGTTTGGAATAGATACGATTTGGTCATGAACCATGTTTGAGTATTTAGGGCAGATCAGATCATGTGCTCTGCAATGAGCCATATTTTAACGCTGTAATTTATTACTTACCGGATCATGTATTGTGCCATTAACCATGTTTGTGTGATATAATTTAAGAGTGATCAGCTGTAGAGCATAATGGAAACCTGTCCTGTGTATTCAAGGGGCAATTCTCACCCCAAGTGTTAGTTTTAGCGGCTGGTTTGCCATATTTTTCCAGTTTAAAAGCTGGCAACCGTCTGCAACATCTGGTTCAAATGGTTGGGGGTATGTCAGCAAGGAGAAGCTCAGAGGAACGCAAACAGCAACAAGACTGCTCGCATGTAACAAGTCATCATTCAGGGCTTACCCAATAACAAACTCATCAACAGCAATGTGTCAAAGTCAACTACATCTAACAACAAGCTGCTATTATCAATTCACGACACATGCTCAGACCTTTATTACTTACTGATAGGTGAGTTTGTATAAGTAAACACATTAGCTTTTCACAAATCATGGCATCTTATCATGCCCAAATATACACTGCTCAAAAAAATAAAGGGAACACTTAAACAACACATCCTAGATCTGAATGAATGAAATAATCTTATTAAATTCTTTTTTCTTTACATAGTTGAATGTGCTGACAACAAAATCACACAAAAATTATCAATGGAAATCAAATTTATCAACCCATGGAGGTCTGGATTTGGAGTCACCCTCAAAATTAAAGTGGAAAACCACACTACAGGCTGATCCAACTTTGAGTAATGTCCTTAAAACAAGTCAAAATGAGGCTCAGTAGTGTGTGTGGCCTCCACGTGCCTGTATGACCTCCCTACAACGCCTGGGCATGCTCCTGATGAGGTGGCGGATGGTCTCCTGAGGGATCTCCTCCCAGACCTGGACTAAAGCATCCGCCAACTCCTGGACAGTCTGTGGTGCAACGTGGCGTTGGTGGATGGAGCGAGACATGATGTCCCAGATGTGCTCAATTGGATTCAGGTCTGGGGAACGGGCGGTCCATAGCATCAATGCCTTCCTCTTGCAGGAACTGCTGACACACTCCAGCCACATGAGGTCTAGCATTGTCTTGCATTAGGAGGAACCCAGGGCCAACCGCACCAGCATATGGTCTCACAAGGGGTCTGAGGATCTCATCTCGGTACCTAATGGCAGTCAGGCTACCTCTGGCGAGCACATGGAGGGCTGTGCGGCCCCCCCAAAGAAATGCCACCCCACACCATGACTGACCCACCGCCAAACCGGTCATGCTGGAGGATATTGCAGGCAGCAGAACGTTCTCCACGGCGTCTCCAGACTCTGTCACGTCTGTCACATGTGCTCAGTGTGAACCTGCTTTCATCTGTGAAGAGCACAGGGTGCCAGTGGCGAATTTGCCAATCTTGGTGTTCTCTGGCAAATGCCAAACGTCCTGCACGGTGTTGTGCTTATGGAGTCTGTTTCTGACCGTTTGAGCAGACACATGCACATTTGTGGCCTGCTGGAGGTAATTTTGCAGGGCTCTGGCAGTGCTCCTCCTGCTCCTCCTTGCACAAAGGCGGAGGTAGCGGTCCTGCTGCTGGGTTGTTTCCCTCCTACGGCCTCCTCCACGTCTCCTGATGTACTGGCCTGTCTCCTGGTAGCGCCTCCATGCTCTGGACACTACGCTGACAGACACAGCAAACCTTCTTGCCACAGCTCGCATTGATGTGCCATCCTGGATGAGCTGCACTACCTGAGCCACTTGTGTGGGTTGTAGACTACCACTAGAGTGAAAGCACCGCCAGCATTCAAAAGTGACCAAAACATCAGCCAGGAAGCATAGGAACTGAGAAGTGGTCTGTGGTCACCACCTGCAGAACCACTTCTTTATTGGGGTTGTCTTGCTAATTGCCTATAATTTCCACCTGTTGTCTATTCCATTTGCACAACAGCATGTGAAATGTATTGTCAATCAGTGTTGCTTCCTAAGTGGACAGTTTGATTTCACAGAAGTGTGATTGACTTGGAGTTACATTGTGTTGTTTAAGTGTTCCTTCACTGCATTAAGCACAGAGCTTGTCTGGATGCAGAACAAGTAAGAGAGAGTCGGTGAAAATCGACTAGAGGAGAGAGGGCATTTACCTGCCGACTCACCCTGAATTTAATTCCGCTGCTCTATCGATCGCTACATACATTCAGTCTGAAACTGCAATCCTAGAAGTTGTTTGTGAGACTTCAAAAAGAGAGGTGTTGTACAAAACAAATTAATCAGCGATTGGATAGTCTAACAAATCTTACCAATCAGAGTACCAAAGTTGATAACGTCAATCCATCGGTTTCTGGGACCAATCAGAACGGTGAAAATGTGTTCGCATTCTAGAAATCGTCAGGGAGGGAGACAAATCCAGACACATCGCGGAGAAGAAAAGTCAGTTGGCTGGAGCGATGTGGATGGGTAGTAGGACTGGGAATCGCCAGGGAACTTACGATACTTTGGTGCCGATACGATACGTATTGCGATTCTCACGACTCTCTATGTATTGCAATTCGATACTGTGATTATTGCCATTCGATGTTCCAAACTTATTTCTCACCATATGTCTGCTGCGGAGGGACAAGAGGGAGTCATGAGGAAACAAGTTTTGATCAGTCATGGAATTAAAAGTGCCGAAAACAAATTGGCTTTGGTACAGCCAACTAGCACAAAAATAAAATCCTGATATCTAACTTCTTGATCTGGAGCCCTGTACTGTGTAATTCTCCCTGAACCAGGAAAAGAGGTCCATGTGATCGTACTCTCCTCCTTTTTCACAGTGAATTCACATTCTTACTATTTCTCCAAGACACCACTGCAGTCAATCTCGAAGTGGAATGACAGACTAATTCACAGGGGGCAATTTACAACATAAAGCTCAAGTAAAAAGAAAAAATGTGACAGAAAACGGTGTTGCACTTGACCACCATGTAGTTCGGACAAACAAAACAGACACCAAAATCTGTCCTAAGTTCAAGATATTATGTTGGTAACATTTCAATGGGGCTATCTAGTTCGAACCTGGTTACCACACCAGTAGAATTTTTGCAGAAAAGTTACCTCACATTTGGACAGATTCACAGGTTGTCAGAACTCTCAATGTGCTTTACTTTCAATGCTTAAAGCTGCATTTACAAAACAGCCCAGCTCTGATCTTTTCCACTAATTGGTCTTTTGAGAAATCAGATCTGTTGCCAATAATTGGGCAAAATATCAGAATTGGGCTTCCTGTGTAAACGCAGCCTCTGTAGCACAGGTGATTTAAAGCAACTGTAATCTCTTTTCAACATCAGGCAGATCTCTCACTTCAGTCCAGAGACCCCTGCTCCCCTTCTCTCCACTAATTTCTATCAGAAACAGCAGTAGCTTAAATATTTAACATGGCTCTTCCTGGTGAATGGAAAGGCTTGGAATTTGCCTCGGCCCTGATCCTAGAGGTACATCAAACACAGCTGCTGTCATTCCCCTCTCCCAGTCAAAACAATGTCCTCTCATGTAAACGTTTTACTGTTTGTGTTGAAATGGTACAAACCAAAGAAGAGCGACCCAGAGAGAGAGAGCGTTGCGTCACAGCCACAGTATTCCGGGGGGAATTGATTCACACTTTGCAGTATGTGAACTGTCTGGGACATATGCTGCGTTTACATTGACAACCCAATTCTCATATTTTTCCACACATTTTTCCTCCATCAATAATTGTGCAAAAGATCAGAATTGGGCTGTTTGTGTAAACGCAGCCATCGTCTCTCAATCTAGCCGCCATCTAATCCTTCAATTTTACAGATTGTGTAGTACCTATGTGTCCACGATGGCATTGTTTAATTAGCTAGATTAATATCACAACACAAGGAATACAGTAATGTATGTGGGACAGAATAACAAATTTACGGCAATTAATGAGAACGTTAGTTACCCACATTAACATTATATACATAGTTTAAAAATGAAACCGGAAAATCTATCCAATCCCACATCAGTATTCTTATACACAAAAATTGTGGATGTAATTTTGAATCTCTTGGTAGTATTTTGCGCGCACACAAAACGCCACCCCAAATATTTCTTAAGAACTATCTTAAGCTAACTAGTAACGTTACTATTTAGTTAGCCAGCCAACTACCTACTAACAGTAATCCCAGGCTGAATGCTTTTGCCTGTGCTAGCGTCGTTAGATGGGTCATGTTATCTAATGTTAGCTAACCAGCTAGCTAACTGTCTAGTTTAGCACGCGTTACAAATCACATTTCTGAAACGTTACCAAGTTATCTAGTTAGCTACTGTGTAGTTTCTTTGCTTCTTTTTAGTATAATTTGCCAGTTATATAACGTGCCCTACTCAAAACATTAAACTGCGCCCAAACTTTTAAACACCACAGCAAGCACCATTTCGAACACACACTTTTGTCCTACAAACTAACGTTAGCTGGGCTAGCAACACACAATAAACATAACTAGCTATGTCGCGCTAGTAGCCACATTTGTGGAGGAACAATATTTTGGGTCTCTTACCTGTTAAACGCAGCTTAACCGGACCATTTCGCCGAACTCCTTGGTTAGACATCTCCTTTTACTCCCAGTTTAACAAAAATATTTTATATAATAAAGATTTATCAACCAGTTTCAGACCGAATTAACAATAATGGAGTCAAGGCATTGTTGCCCGGATGTGGACAGCACTGCTGCCATTATGATCACACAATCACTGTCCCGCACACCTACAAAAACAATAATTACTAGCTAGGATGCCGCCGAGTGCACTTGATTGACCAAATACTGTCAAATCGGGGTTGTGTCAGACTATTTATTTTATAAAGGAAGCAAGCGACCCGAGTTCATACTTCACATCTTCAGAAAGCTTCAGCTTCGGACCGCTTGGAAATCAGTCCTCCTCTCAGCCAGACGAGTTGAACTGTTGAGCTCGGGCGCCCTTCAGTGCAGAGATCCCACTTTAGGGAGGCTAGTAAGTAGCTGACCAATGACGACATAGGGATGGAAACATCTGCCTGCACCGCTTGCCTAAAAACTGAAATGACAAAATGCTAATGATGGCGAAAAGTCAGATTTCTTTTTTACTAGAGATTTTATTCAGACAAAAGTGAAATTTCAGATTGCTAGGGTCAGTGTAATGCTAAAAATATTAATGTGAAATTTGGCTCTGACAGTCCATATACTGGCAAAAACTAAATGTGTATATCTTTACATACAGTTCTGTTTGAGAAACAAGAGGATGGAAGCTATTAAGATTAATATTACATTTGCCATTCCACCCAAACCCCACAAGAAATCACAGCAGTTGGAACTTATTTTAAGATTTTTATTTACAGACATTTATCAACGTATGTACAGTTCAGAGAGAATAGAGGTCCATTACACAAACTGAGAACAAACAGTGGCAGTATACAGTAGAGATGAAAGGAGAAGTGGTATTTAGAAGTTGAAAGTGCTTTGGTTTTCACTGATCTGGAATGCATAGCCATCGGTTGTCGATTCCGGAGCAACACATTGGTCTTCCTCTTCCTACAAAACAGAACACGTCAGAAAAATTGAGGCAAAAGAAACAAAAACCGTCTATAATAGGATGACAGATGTCTACTTCGTCAACATTGCACAATGATGCTCACCTCGCCAGAGAAATATTTCTCAATCAGGTTGAGGGAGGCCTTGTAGACCAGCTCATTCTCATGGGACTGCAGAGCTTCAATCTTGTCTAGTCCACCGCATTCCTCGATCATCATGCACAGCTTGTCTGCTTCACCAATCTTATCTCCAGCCTGATGGACACAAAAATATTCAAGTAAGAATTATATATATATATTTTTTTTTTAATCACCCGAATCTTGCAGTTGTAGTGTACAAATGCCCATACCAGTAATAAGATTAACTAATTATTGGTGAGAAGGTCCCCTTACCAGGAAAATGTTGGTGATGGCATCCAAGATGACAAGGATGGTTTTGCTGTCCTTTGTTGAGAGCAGATTCAACAGAGGCTCCAGCACATTGGCTTGAACAAGGTACACAACCTGTTCAACTGTGCCCCCGCTGGTAAAATTGGTTATGGCCCAAACTGCCTCTTTCTGAGTCTTGTAGTCACCCTGTATGGAAAAGCGGATGAGAGGACTAAATTGAAGAAAACATCCCATCATTCCTAATTATGAAAAATTAATTAATACAAATCCTATCATAAGATATTACTATGGATAACAAACCTACATACCTTGCGTAGGACGTCTACCATGAGAGGGACCAGGCCAGCGTTGATGACATCCTGGATCTGAGAGTCTCTCCCTGCAGTGATATTGGACAGGGTCCAGGAGGCTTCCTTCTGGATGTTACTCTTGTGATGGCGCAGCAGGCCAGGGAACATGGAGAGGGCCCCAGCATTCAGCACAGCCTGAGTCTGCTCATCCGTGCCAGTCACCATGTTGCCAATGGCACGCAGAGAAGGAGTCTGAAGGGGACAGGTCAAAGACAGTGGTCACTTGGGTGAAAAAAGGCATAGTACCATAAAGATGTTGAGATTCATAAATATATGGGTGACTACATCATTGTACATGACAGCCCACCACCCCTGCAGGATAAATAGACAGTGTTCATACCACAACAGAGAGCTCCCCAGAGCCAAGCAGCTGCACCAGGCGGGAGATCAGGCCAGTCTGCACCACGACCTCAATGCGATCGTTGGGCCCGTCGGTCAGATAGGACAATGCCCAGCAGGTGTCTGCCAGCACCTCCTTATCGTCATGGTGCAGCAGACGCCCCAGAGTGGGCAGGATCTGCTGCACGGCTACCAGAGGGGGAGACGGGTTCTTGTTGCGGCACAGGTTTGACAACGTCCAGGTGATGTTCCTCAGGTAGCCAGACTGCAGCAAAAAATACGTTTTACTTAGGTGTTCATTCATTGAGTTAGAGCCCCTCCTAGTGGCCAGTGAGGCAAGTAACATGGGGGCAAGGAGTTACAAAAAAACAAGACAAATACTTTGTTTTGTAGCTTTATGACATGAAAGTCAAGTGATTGTCCATTGCTTATGAATGGTTGCCAAGGGTCACTGCATTAAGAATACTTACAGAGAACAAAGAGAGCTCAGGGACAGCGAGCAGACTGAGCAGGGGGGCCACAGCTCCATGCTTGATGACCTGATCTCTGTAGACCGACCCATCACCTAACAGAAGAAATCAAGGATGCAAGGTTAGGGGGTGGGAGATTTTGTTGTTAAGCTCTATACACTGAAGAGATGCGGTAACAAAAGAGGAATGCCTTACCCGCAATGTTTCCCAAAGCCCAGACAGCCTGCTCGCTGATGTGGGGGTGGGGAGATATGACAAGGCTGATGAAGGCTGGAATGGCTCCACCCTCCACAACAGCACTGGTCTGGTCAGATGTTCCAGATGCAATGTTTGTTAGAGCCCAGGCAGCCTCAAACTGGATAGGGGGTGACTCCAAACCCAAGAATGCAACCAACTTAGGAATTAGCCCAGCACTGATGATGTGGTCAATGGGAGGATGTCTCTCACGGGATAGCAGCTTCCTGTAATGAGAACAATTGAAAAAGTAACAAGTCATGACCATGGTAGCCCCCCCCCTCAAAAAAGCACCACAATAAATACAGTATTTCCCAGACAGTTTTACAAAGATCACTTTACCTAGCAGCTTGTGTGGCGTTGAGCTGAGCATCAAGGTTGTTACTGTTCACACCAGTGAGAATCTCCTCCACGGACCACTGTCTAGTGGCCTGTAAATTAATACAACACATGATCATAAGCCAGGGATTGTAAAACTGAAAGTTTTAAACATACAGGTTGTAGCCATTGTATTTATTGTGCATTGTATAAACAAACTCACCTGACAGTTTTGGCTTTTCTCTTGAAGTGGGGAAGTTGCCTCGTCGGCCAAAGTGCTGACATTTCTTCGTTTGAAGATCTGATCGTCTTTCTTTGCCTTGCGAAGTTCGACGTTCACTTCAACCCTCCTGCGTCTAAGCTCCTGCAAAGTGATCAACAACCATCATTGATTGTGCCTAGCCAGATTCATTTAGCTAACAAGCCATTACCAAATATTTGAAATGAAACATTGATACTGCCATACATGTCACTTACATTTGCATCTTTTCCCTTATTCTTGAACTTGTCCAGACGGACACCGTTCTCGTTGCCAGCAGACATTTTTGGGCAAATTTATAAATTTTCGAGGTAGTTTGATAAAGAAATATTTTTTGAGCACCTAAACGAAATGCAAAAATTAGCTTCATAAAAGATAGCTAGAATCCAGGTACACGTTTTCGACTTTTCTAGAAAGTAATGTCGGTCACAAGTGACCAGTAAGAATAGCTAGCAAATCACATCAACAAAGTCAATAAAAAAGTAAAGCAGTAATATGTAGAAGTACATCGAATATTAGCCAACCATTACAAAATATGAACAGTTGACAAGCACTTACCGGGACCTTCTTCAAAAATTCTAGCTAACGCATAGACATTTTGAACAGACCTTTAAATTCCGGTCACAAAGCTCCCTGATTGGTCAGTTCGATTAAAAGCATCACCCTATTGGACTGTTTTGAAAAATCACAGGGCGCTCAGGAAGTGTTGTCAGAAGACACCTATCGCGAGATTTCAGGACTACCATGCCCATGTAATACAATTTGTATCATATAAATATCAAATCAGAATGTATTTTCTCCAACCAAGTTCATGTTGGAACAGTTGCTTTTGTGTTATTAAATACAACCGTTCAAAATGTGTTTTCTGCGTAGGTCTGTGTGTGGAAAACAATATCTAAATCTGATGCAATTCAAGGAGTGGCTTCAAAACGCCCAGAAGATAAGCCTAAAATCTGTTGAAATATCTGGACAAACATTACACCGTCGGTTTTACACGGAGGCCCGTGCCTCCCTGGAAATGTCCCTGGCCACCCCTGTGGCCCCCCGTGCTGACCAAATAAAAAATTATGAATTTATAACTATTTTACACGCGAGCGCCAAAAGCGGAACTAATGCAACGCTCTACACGGCAACGTTCTACACGGGTAAATTAGAGTGGCGCACCCAAAAACTGTATCCTGCCATCTGCCTGCCTGCCACGTGTGGTGCTGCTTCGGTGAATGAGAGCTCAGCAACTACTATTTGCGAGAGGAGCTACGATTTGCAGGAGTCGAAGGTAAGAAACGATTTAATATCATAAGTGACTTGTTGTTCTTGCACATAGCCTACATGTTCCTTTTGTTCCTCACACATAAATCAAATCAAGTTTTTAAATGTCTGGTCTCGATTTGTTTAGAAATGTAATCATATCTAAGCAAACTCATCGAAGCAGAAGCAAATATCCAAATGTTAGTAGGCTATCCTTGCTAGGTCTACACAATGTTGTGATGTTAACCACGTAACTTCATCCGTCTTGGCTGTTGCATCGCGATAACAAATACATTTTTAGTAAAGTAATCAACAGGTTATCTGCCAGTGTTAAGTAGGGAGGGATGGTTAGGTAACAAAATGTAATGCATGCCCCTACGTTTTTTCTTCTTCTAATAGTTATCATGAAACGAGGAAGGGACATAAAGTCATTTTTTGCCCCAGCAAACAAAAAAGTGAGAGAAACAAATCGAGGTTTTGAGAAAGTTGAGGAAGAGGGAGAGCCAGCATGTGATGAAAGTGAGGGGTCTGACAAAGAGAGGGAAATTCCAGAGGGTGAGGAGGATGAAGAAGAGGGTGAGGAGGATGAAGAAGAGGGTGAGGAGAATGAAGAAGAGGGCGAGGAGAATGAAGAAGAGGGTGAGAAGCATGAAGAAGAAAGCATACAGGGACAGAGAGATGAACAGCCAGAGGGACAGCAAGTGGATCCATGTGGATCAAGTACTGCACCATCAGGTTTGTGATGAGGAAGGTTCTTACTATTTGCAAAGCAATGCAATTACAATGTAATGGTAGGCCTGCTGGGTGTCCTTAAAATGCTGCTTTCTGCTGTTAATTCTTTTTTGTGTCAATATGGCTCTGTTTTTTTTTTTAAGTAAATACTTTGCCTACATTTTGAAATACATGCAGATATACAGTAAATAAATGTTGTAGTTGTGCCCTATGTTTACTGTCCATCTTCTTCAGATATCAGCAAGTCTAAGTATGACGTACCAGTACAGCCGAACTTGAAGATATTCCCAACCACACTGATGGGGGACAGAAGACGAAGCTTCAGACCAAACTGGTACACTACTCATCCATGGCTTGAGTATTCTGTAATGACGGACTCTACATGTTGCTATGCATGTAGACATTTTAGCACACCAAATGCCCCAGACACCGTTTTTGTTTCAACACCTGGTTTTACAAACTGGAAAAAGGCAGGGTTTTCACTACATGCAAAGTCTGAACGACACAAGTGTGCAATGATCGCATGGAGGGATTATCAAAGAGCTGTTAGAACTGACGCAACACTAACAGATCTCCTTGACAAAGAACACACTAAACAAGTACAAGAAAATCAGGCATACATTAAAACAGTTGGGGAAGTGCTGTTGCTTACAGCTACACAAAACATAGCACAAAGAGGACATGATGAATCTGAAGGGTCCACTAACAAAGGAAACTTTAGGGAAATTCTTAACACAGTTGCTAACCACGACCAACTTGTTAAGAGAAGATTAACTTCCATTCACAATGCAAAGTACACAAGCAAGATCATCCAGAATGAGGTTTTGGGTTGTTTGGCAGAAATGGTTCGGTCTGAAATCATAGAAGAAGTGAAGAAAAGTGAGGTTTTTAGCGTCATGGCAGATGAAACAAAGGATATTTCAAAAAAAGAACAGATGTCCTTCACACTCAGGTACTATTACAATGGGGCCATTAAGGAGAGTTTTCTCCATTTTGAATCTGCAGAGAGGTTAGATGCAGCAGGGCTTACTGGAAAAATAGTACACTTACTGGAACGTTATGGCCTGGACTACAAAAATAACCTCGTAGGCCAAGCGTACGATGGCGCTGCCGTTATGAGCGGTAAGCATTCAGGGGTTCAGGCAAGGATCAAAGAACAGGCTAAATTTGCCTTCTACGTCCATTGTAGTGCTCATTGTCTGAATTTAGTGTTAGTTGATGTAGTCAAAAGTGTCCCAGAAACGGAGGAGTTTTTTTCTTTGTTACAGAGTCTTTATATGTTTACTTCTTCCTCATATGTGCACCCAAAATGGCTGTCTCTCCAAAGAGAAATGTATGGCAGAACCAGAGAGCTGCAACGTTTAAGCGACACACGTTGGTCATGCCGATTTCTAGCCCTACGTAATATCATGGACACTCTACCTGCCCTTAAACGACTACTGCAAGAGATTGCTCAAGAACGTCATGGTGAAAGAACTGTTGAGGCCCGAGGTCTTCTTGCTCAAATTGACCTAGAATTTGTTGTGCATCTTGTTACTCTGCGTAAGTTGTTTGGGGAGACAAAGCTATTGTCTGACATGTTACAGTCACAAACTGTTGATCTGTCAAGTGCTGTTGACTTAGTAAATGCTTTAGTCCTGACATTGAAAGACCACAGGCAGGAGTCTTTCTTTGATGAGTTGTGGGATGAAGCATTGAATATTTGTGAGCAGTGTGATTCTGCAACAAGGTCAGTGGCGAAACGTCAGAAAATGCTGAGCTCTAGACTCAGTGGCTACTGCACGCTAAGCACTGTTGGTCAGAGGGAGGTAGAACGTGACAAAGATATGTTTCTCACATCATTTTTCTATCCTGTAATTGACAGCATGCTCAATGAGTTGAACAGACGTTTCTCCAATACAAACTGTGAGCTCATGAGAAGCATACAGTCTCTCAGTCCCCAGAGTGATACCTTTTTAAAGGAGAGCAATGTTTTTTCATTTGGCCGTTTGTATAATGCAGACATTGATGATTTAGGGCATGAGCTCCATCAATTTAAGAGAGTTTTGGACAGAAAAATACAGAGTGGTGAAGTCAAAAAGCCATGCAGTACAGTTGAGCTGGTTTGTTTTATTGAGCCATACAGGGAAGTTTTCTTTGAGCTCTTTAGACTGTGCAAGATTGCTGTAACCCTTCCTGTAAGCTCAGCCTCTTGCGAACGCAGTTTCTCCACACTGAAACTGATAAAAACCTTCCTGCGGTCCACCACTAGTGATGAGAGACTCAGTGATCTTGGTGTCCTGAGCATAGAGTCCAGAAGGGCCAAGGCTCTGGATCTTGATGTATTTGTGGACCGTTTTGCCAGACAGCACAACCGCCGTATCCTGTTGCTGTAGTGTATCTATATGATATATACGCTAGTAGCGTATGAGTGCCGCTGTGAGGAAAAAGAGATATAATGAACAATAAAACAACAAGCTTGAGCTTCTTAAGACACGGTGGGTTTATCTGTTCTCAATACCACCGGTAAAATGAATGGAGTTAGTCTGGTGTCCACATGAAGTTACGTGTGTAGACAAAGAGTCTGGTGTCCATATGAAGTTACATGTGTAGACAGAGACAGTCTGGTGTCCATATGAAGTTACATGTGTAGACAGAGACAGTCTGGTGCCCATATGAAGTTAAATGTGTAAACAAAGACAGTCTGGTGTCCATATGAAGTTACATGTGTAGACAGAGAAGAGACAGTCTGGTGCCCATATGAAGTTACATGTGTAGACAAAGAGTCTGGTGTCCATATGAAGTTACATGTGTAAACAGAGACGGTCTGGGGTCCATATGAAGTTAGATGTGTAGACAAAGACAGTCTGGTGTCCACATGAAGTTACATGTGTCTACTTAGATGAACCCACCGTGTCTTAAGAAGCTGAAGCTTGTTTTATTTTTCATTTTACATCATCTATCTTTTTTTCCTCACAGTACCAGTAGTTCCACACACTACTAGAGTGTATGTATGTTTGTATGTATGTATATATATCCCACCAATCCTCTCTCAAGAGGTTTTCAAAAAGGGGCAAACTCATGTCTCAAGACCTGCTTCTGTTGGTTCCCCTCTCCTGCCTGTAACTTTCCATCCACATCCCCAAAGTTTTGTGGCCCATTATGACATCACTCCATTAAGTGATTGCTGCATGTACTGCTCTAAGGAAACACTTCTCTCTCTCTCTCTCTCTCTCTCTCTCTCTCTCTCTCTCTCTCGATAGATAGATAGATAGATAGATAGATAGATAGATAGATAGAGTTTATGATTTTATTCTTTTGAATTATCTCTGCCAAACATCTATGTACTACAAATCTTCAAGCTCCACAGATGTTTTATGGCATCCACTAAACCTCTTTAGATATTTGTAAATTATACAGTGTGATACCTTTCAACGAAAGTTTATTTTATTTTTTACCAACTATGATTTTTCCTTTTGAAAACAAGCAAAGCAAGAAAAAAAAGAAACAAAATCACTCCAATCATTGCACACTTGTGTCGTTCAGACTTTGCAGGTCCAGCTTTGACATGATGATCTAACTAACACTAATATTGTAACTAATATTGTAACTGAAATATGTATGATCCTATGATGAGCGATTGCTTACTTCCCTTTCACTCTTAAAAAATTACTGAAAAAAAATGTGTATAAAAAGGTATATGTAGTATATGTTTGTTTAGTGAGCATTCATGCTGTCATTTTTTCCTAATGTGAACTATGGTGGAAATGTGCTGTCCTAAATGGACTTGCCCATATATGTTGTAAAGCCTTTTTTTGTACACCTGCTCATCAACTGACAGTGAAGTACACAAAGACACAGACACACACACACACACACACAGACACCTGTAATATTCTTGTTTTCATGTTGTTGCTGATATCCATCAGTGTTGTTCATATTGCTACATTGTGTTGACATGATTGTTGCTTTTAAACGAATGTTAACTTAATGTTTATTGTCTGCATCCTATTGGACTACTGGATGTTAATGTGTAACACGTTTCCCTGTTTATGTGCTTTAGCAATACTGTATGTCAATATGGTCATGCTAGTAAAGCCTCTTTGAATTGAATTTCTTTTCTGATTTGGTTTATTTTACCTAAATGGATACAGGGTAGTGTGTTTTGTTTATAAATCACTCAGAAAGTTTTCTTTCTTAAAACAAAATGTGGAATCAACTGTCCACAGTAGTGGGGCTTCCATAAATAGGAAATGGCACATTGTTGTACCCTTTGTTGTATCCTGGAGTTTTGTTCACATTGAATATGAACCCTGTATTTGTACCCTGTACTTTTTTTAATTTTTTTATTTATTTATTTTTTCATTTTTATGGCACTATCTCTCTTGCATCTGCACTCTTGTACAAAATACGTGTTATAATAAATGTCATATGATTTTAAAGTAAAATAAAGTTTATAATCTTTGAATATCATGTGTTGCCAGTTTTTTTATGTGTGCCCCCCTGATTAAACACTGGCCCCTCCTTGGCCCCCCTAGTAAAATGTGTCTAGAACCGCCACTTTGTGTATCATGACCAATTATCAACATCAACCTCTGAATACAGTATTTACATGTGCTTCCGTATATATGCTTACATTGGACATATACACAGTAATGCCTGGAACCGGGGATAGAGTGTCACTGGAGTCCCATCTGGTCATACCAGTCCTATTAAATGAAATTAAAATGATATAGATGCAGCTAGTTGATGAGATCATATAAGATCTTACCCATAACTGCCAATTAATTAAGAATGTACAGTGCATTCGGAAAGTATTCAGACCCCTTAACTTTTTCCACATTTTGTTACGTTACAGCCTTATTCTAAAATGGATTCCAGAAAAAAATTCCTCATCAGGGAGGTGACCAAGAACCCGATGATGACTCTGACAGAGCTCCAGAGTTCATCTGTGGAGATGGGAGAAGTTTCCAGAAGGACAACCATCTCTGCAGCACTCGACCAATCAGCCCTTTATGGTAGAGTAGCCAGACGGAAGCCACTCCTCAGTAAAAGGCACGACAGCCCGCTTGGAGTTTGCCAAAAGTCAGCTAAAGGACTCTCATGAGCAACAAGATTCTCTGGTCTGATGAAACCAATATTCAACTCTCTGGTCTGAATGCCAAGCATCACATCTGGAAGAAACCTGGCACCATCCCTCTGGTGAAGCATGGTGGTGGCAGCATCATGCGGTGGGGATGTTTTTCAGCGGCGGGGACTGGGAGACTAGTCAGGATCGAGGGAAAGATTAATGGAGCAAAGTACAGAGAGATCCTTTATGAAAACCTGCTCCAGAGTGCTCAGGACCTCAGACTGGGGTCCACCTTCCAACAGGACAGCTACTCTAAGCACACAGACAAGCTAATGCAGGAGTGGCTTTGGGACAAGTCTCTGAATGTTCATGAGTTGCCCAGCCAGAGCCAGGACTTCAACCTAGATCGAACATCTCTGGAGATACCTGAAAATAGCTGTGCAGCGACGTTCCCCATCCAACCTGACAGAGCTTGAGAGGATCTGCAGAGAAGAATGGGAGAAACTCCCCAAATACAGGTGTGCCAAGCTTGTAGCGTCATACCAAAGAAGACTCGAGGCTGTATTCGCTGCCAAAGGTGCTTCAACAAAGTACTGAGTAAAGGGTCTGAATACTTATGTAAATGTAATATTTCAGTATTTTTTCTACATTTGCTAACATTTCTAAAAACCAGGTTTTTGCTTTGTCGTTATGGGGTATTGTGTGTCGATTGATGAGGGGAAAAAAACCTATTTAATCCATTTTAGAATAAGTCTGTAACGTAGCAAAATGTGGAAAAAGTCGAGGGGTCTGAATACTTATAGAATTTACTATAAATGCTGTAGGGAAAAATATTAAGAAAATGTATTTCACAAAAGCATATGCCGACACTTTCAGTAGTGGAAGAGAGCCAGGTCTTCTCCATTTATTATGGTTCATATACATCAATATCTCTTCAGCTGTAATACAAAAAAAGTTTTACAAACAGGGCAGGATACCTTCAAATACATATTGTGTTTTTATCCTTTGCAGTGTGTCATTACTGCTGGGCAATTAATACCAACTACTTTATTCCTTTCAGCATAGCTTGACAAACTCAAACTGTTGGTGTCCAGAAAGCTAGTAGGTCCAAACTCAAGCAAGTCCTTCCCAATGAGATGCATCTTTCACACCACCTCTAATAAAGTGATTGAAAGGGGAGAAACACACAGAAGTGTCACTGTGCAATCTGTCATGCTGAGTGCAACTCAGCTCAACATTTCTCAATGTTCAAACAGGCATCATAGATGTTTTTTTTTTTTTATGGGCATGGCCATGGAAGCGTATGATCTTTTCTTAATTTCTTCAACAGGCTAGAGGGGAAATAAATAATTAAATCAAATCAAGAAGAAAGAACAAGGAAAGTATCTTCTTTGAGGTAACCTTCTTCAGAAATGCCTTTATTAAAACCCTCCACTTTAACCCCTTGTCCAATGTCCATGTGGCAGAGGTGGGCAGGCAGCAGCTCCACCTGACAGTTCTGTGGGAGCAGCGCTGCTGGTCTTACAGGGAGAGTCTTCCTTTGGGGGCTGCGTAGAATGGGGCCAGAAGGAGGGAGAGGGGTGGACGTCCCAAAGCACAGGAGCCAGGTCCCAACATGGATTTATTGTTCAGAATTTAACCCAATTCTCGCTGAGTGCATAAAAAAAAATATATGGTATATTCTAAGAGGTCGAAGTCTGTAGTTTGTTGTTATGAGACCTATAGAATGTGGAAAAGGGGAACAGTTGAGAACCTTTTACATGTTTAATGAATAGTTTAAACATACTGACATGAACAAAAACAAACAACAAAACAGTGATACAAAAAATGGATGCCATGGGGTCAGGAAGGAGATAGCGCAGCCATGTTGGTGTAAATCATTGGGAATGCCTTAGGTCAATGAAATGGTGCTTCAGATCTAAATCCTGAGGTACCTTTATGCAGTAAGGCATTGGGTCTAATATAGTTAAGCCGTGACATTTTATTATTTTAAGTGTATATAAATTCCTCTGACCATAGGCTCTCTTTGTTTTAACCATAAAATAATCCTTCACAAAAGGATTAAAAACCATACAATATTTATCTTATTTTTTAAATCATGAAATGATTTAGAACATCCAAATAATAACAATCAACCAGTAGTTAAGCTAGAAATTACCTACAAAACCTGTGCACTATATTAAAAACATGCCCATTCATTACAAATGCATGATATTTAAATCAGCTGAAAGAAGGCCATGAGGAAGAAAGGAACTTAATTTGCTAACTATATCATAATAAAATATACAGCTTTACATATGTGGTCCCCATTTTTTAAATGTTATATCTCCCTCTCCAACAGAACTTAATCAGTTTAATAACTAACTACAAAAAAAAAAAATGCATTTCTGAGTGAAGCTTATTTACACATTTCTAAAAAAAAGCTTCCCTGACACTGATGTTATCTTGCTGATAATTGATACGATTTTAAATGGTGAAATGACCAAAATAATAGAGAAAAAGCATATCCCTTGAAAACTTGATTTGTAAGTGTCAACATGGCTGCCATTTTGTGATTGTCACTGAAGGCATCTTTGGAATTTGGCTTCTATACTTGCAAATGTACTTTTAAGCATGGTTTGTTTCACTGATAGAACGCTTGTGTGTGTGTGTGTGTGTGTGTGTGTGTGTGTGTGTGTATTTATTTCTTTAATCTTAAATAATCACACAGAATTTCTGCTGTTTATGAAACAGCAAGTTCCATGATTCACTACTAGAGACCCCTGCATCCATCTCAGACTCCAGCTATAACGTCAGACTTATGACATCACAATCTGCAAGAAAGAGAGAATGAGTGGCATAAATCAAATGCATGCGGAACAGGTGAAACAGACACAAATGCAAGGTGATGCATGACACAGAGATAGAGCAAACATTAATGAACCACAATTGAGAACTATTGCAGGGAGGATGTCTGAGCTGAAGTCAGCCATGTAGGCTTTGGTAAGACTCTGCATCCCTCTACCAAGCAGCCCACAGACCACAGGAAGGTCTATAGGGAAGGCTACAGCCAAAGTCAGGCTACTACAGCACAAACTGACATGCCCAGAGAGTGCATGAGGCTAACTACTGTAGCATGATACGGATGCATGGTTTAATGAAAAAGAAAAGATTACATGGAAAACAGGGTGTTCTTGGGAAATTCTCGTAGGCAGATTCAATCAAAGTCACATGGAGTGTCCGAAACGGATCATGAACATTATGACTGACAAGCCATTACCCATGCAGAGGTGCATGACGGAGGGAGTCTTTTCTAACGGCAGACTTAATGACAGGGCCTCTGAAGAGCTTTGGGAGTCATGAGAGCTCTAAACTTACCTGCTAGCTTTGAAACCTTTGAGCTTCTGTACAAAGAATGCCTCCAGAACTTCGGCACACTGAAAGAAGGGTGAGTCATTGGGGTTGTAGTAGCGGCAGTTGTCAAAGACTTTGGTCATATCTGCCACAAACTCGGTGAGCTTGTTGTAATACCGTTTCTGTAATCTGTCTTCCATTGTGGAGAGGTCTGGGGATGAAACAGAGAAGGGTGATCAAAGGTAAATGTTGGTAAATTACTATATTTTCTAAACACATTCAAGATTACAATGTTTTTTCTACCAAACAGAAATAATAGCGACAGTCAATAACATTCCAGTGATTTAGAGATGTGATCTTACCCATCGGTTCCTTTATAACACCATAATAATCAGGAGCATCGTTGGGATCTACTGGTTCAAGGAACGGCCACGCCATTTTGTGAGCCTGTTAACAGAAAAATAGATGTTTCACTAGATTTACAACAGTGAGGTATACTGTCAAATGGCATCATCAGTAAAGACACTCAACAGAGGAGACCTCAGGATTTCATACCTGTAAGGAGCGCAGGATTCTTCTTAACCCCTCGTAGTCCTTGTCTGTTAGCGGTGTGAGGACTGTCATGGCGTCCTCCGTGGACTGACACTGCGGGCACACGTATTCGTCTATGTGGTTGGCCTCGCTCTGCAGGATGCCCACACAGCGCCCGTGGTACCAGTTCTGGCAACGGTCGCAGCCAATGTAAAACCTGGGAGAAAAGACATGGGAAGTACAGGTCAGGGATATTTGGACCTATAACATTCAGTCCACCCAAGCTGTAACCTTATTCGTATTGTGTTATCATACTGTGTTTGGTCGTATGGCGTCCGGCAGATGCAGTACAGCTCCTCCGTTGTGCCCTCTGAGTCCTGTGAGTCCTGGCCCTGCTTGCAGCCATTACAAACGTAGTCGTCCATCTTCTTGGCCTCCTTCTCCGTGATGCCCACACACGCACCGTGGAACCAGTTGGAGCACAGGTCGCACCCAATGTAGAACCTGAAACCATGTGGACTTGTTAAGTTTGTCGTCTTTGACATACATGCTACAGTTCAATTACATGTTCAGTGTTTCTATGGGAACACGATATGGTGCATCTGTCTCTTACTTGGCCTCGTCATAGGGCGTTTTACAGACACAGTACAGCTTGACTTCCTTCTTGTAATCCTTTGAGGTAGTGGATATCATCTTCTTCTTCTTGGGCTTGGCGGAGGACGAGTCCCTCTCGTCGTCCCTCTTGCGTTTGTGGGCGGAGGAGGGCGAGGCCATGGTAGGGGAGAGGGAGGAGGCTACCTGGGCTGCAGCTGCAGCAGCGGCTGCCTGAGAGGCTGCAGCTTGGGCCTTCTCCTTCTCCTTCCTCAGCCTGCTGATGTCCCTCCTCAGCTCCTCCTGAGAGAGAGAAGGACAGAGGGGAAAGGAAGGACAGAGAGGGAGAGAATGGTTGACATTTGGTATTATCACAATGTAAGGAATTCCTGGCCAGTGGCCACAATATTTCTCAATACATCCAATATCACACTTCTACACCCTAATGGAGCACTACAATAAAGTGGCCTATGATGTGTGTTAGAGAGCAGAGGTGGCTATGGCACTGACCTGAACCTCCAGCTGCAGCTCCTTGTCCAGTAGAGCCCTCTTCTTCAGGATCTCAGCCTTGAGCTGCTCTTTGTGCTTGAAGAGCAGCGCAGAGAGCTTGGAGGCATTCTGCTTGCTGCGTTTCTGCTCCACAGACTCCTCCTTCTTCCTCTTCTTAGCCGCCTGCTTCTCGTCCTTGTCGATCTTGTCCAGGATGAACTTCATCACCTGGTTGCAGACGATCATTCTGCTCAGCAGGGGATAGAGGAAGGGAGGGCTTGTCAGACTCATCATGGAATCAGACGAAATACAACTAATACAAAATAGTTGCAGATTGTTGGTTGGATTAATTATAGTAAGGTTTTGGAACTGACAAATGGATAAAACATTTACTGTAATTCATATGAGTGTCGTTATGTAAGGGTCATGTCTGTGAACAATGAGAGCCATACCTCTGGTTCTCCTCCCGCTCTGCTGGAGTCATGGTCTTCCTCTGTTTCAGATTTTCTATCACAGCATTCTGGTTCATCACCACCTGTTTCTGGATGATGTCGCTGGGGCTGGAGGCCTGCAGGCTCTGCTCCCTCTTGGCCTCCTGCTGCTTCTTCTTCTGCTGCTGCTGCTCTCTGAGCTGCTGGATCCTCTGCAGTTGCTCCTGCACGCTGGCCGTCTGGATGGTCACCACGTTCTGGATCTGGTGGGCCTGCACCTGGCCCCCTGCCTGCTGGATCTGGATAGGCAGCTGCAGCTTGATCTGCTGGGGCACCGCCCCACCCTGCTGGGCCTGGAGCTGGGCCGCCACGTGGGTCTGGATGGTACCCAGCACCTGGACCTGCTGCTGCAGCCCCGGCAACGTGATCAGCTGGGGTTGGTGGTGGAGCTGCAGCTGCTGCTGTGGCCTGATCTGAGCCGGAGCCTGGGGCTGGAGTTGAGCATGGGCCTGGATGGGCCTCACTGTGGCCTTGGTGACGGAGGGGGAGACAGAGACAGCCTTTATATGGACCTGTTGTGGAGAGGTTGGGATCTGGGCTTTCTGCTGGATGGGTAAAGCAGTGGGGGACTGGAGGGGGATGTGGATTTGAGTCTGAGGGGGTTGAGTCTGATGTGTGGACACTGGAGGGGGGGCAGGAGCGAGGGCAGGGGGCTGGACTGGAGCGATAGCCTGTTGAGGAGGCTGGACTGGTGGTGCCGGTGCTTGAGAGGTGGCGGGAGTCTGAACCTGAGGCTGAGACAGTGCTGCAAGGTAGGAGAGAAAGAGAGTGGCACAGTATTAACACATCCACATAACCACAAACCAGAGACCAATCCAAATGAACATTAGAATTCACAAATCTGCAAATCCTCGTGTACGATGCTTGTTGAAGAGGCCTGGCCTCATACCTGGCACTGAGGGTGTGGTTGTGGTGGCTGTGACGGGGGTGACAGCAGTGCTGGCCGTGGTGGCGGGGGTGGGGGCAGGGGCTGATGCCCCCGGGGTGAAGAGGAAGCGCTGCACCTGGCCGTTGGGCATGGCAGCCTGCATGAGCTGCTGCCCAGGGCCTGGGATGACCGTCACCCCTTGGGGGATGACCTGCAGCTGGCCTGTGGTCTGGCCCTGTCCCTGGATCACTACTGTGAGACCCTGGTTCCCTCCCTGGAACACACAGACAGACACACACACAGTCAGACATAGAAACACACAGAGAATCCATCCAACAGGAGTGTGAGAGTATGTGTATAAGTAGGTGTAAAAGAGAGCAGGTGGCTCCTCACCTGTGCCCCCTGTGTTAGCTGGGTGAGCTGGGCCAGGGTGAGTTTGACCTGGCCCTGCTGTGGTCGGCCGCCTTGGGGGGTGGATGGTGATGGGGACTGCCCGGGGGCAGGGGTGACAGGACGGGGGGACGGGGCGGCACCCAGCACCCTCTGGCCTGCGCTGGTCTGCACAGGGCTGGTACTGGAAACTGCTGTGGAGACAGGCTGGCCCCGGATGATCTGAGTCACCACCTGCTGCTGGCCTAGAGGACAGACAGTGAGAGGGTGAGGCAGACAGAAAAACGGACACACAAGTAGCCTTAAATAAGAAAAGTGCCTGGGACAGTCCCAAGACAAATCAGTTGACTTATCATGAATGAATTGACTGGAGGTCATACATAAAATTAACATCGATGGACTACCAATATGGTTCTAAATATAGTATCCATCCTAATAAAATGAATACGTATAAACATATCAACACAAAGTAATGTTGCATGCTGAGGAGTGAGCAGAGCCATGCAGCCACAGGTTGGGAGGCGGTAGAGGAGAGAGACCTACTGGCTGGTAGAATACCTTGTTGCATCATCAAGGGGGTTCTGATGATGGTTTTGCCCATGGTGGTGCCCTGCTGTAGAGGCGATCGGATCACCGTCATGCCCGGACGAATCTGGGCTCCAGTGGTGATGACCTGAGCCAAAGAAACAAAACACAAATAAATGATTCTGTACATATGATTATGCTCATTTAACTACATTCCAATTAAGATTATAACAAAGAAAGAGAGAGGGGAGCATAAGAGGGAAAGAGACAGAGCAAGAATATGTGTGAGAGAGAGATAGATCTGTTTGATGTCTATTCTCTACCTGCTGAGTAGTGGTTGAGGTGGAGGTGTTGGGTCTGATGTTGATGGTGGCGTTGCGGTTCTGGAATGAGGAGTAGGTCCGCTGGTTGCCTGGGGTGCTGGATGGAATAATGCCCAGGACATTCTGCTGGACTTGCACCATACCTGTGGCGGACAGGGACTGTGTTAAGCAGCATGCATTTACTAGAAATATAAATCAACAGTAGGGTGTTGAACCTCAATAATGAGATTTACAACAAGTCAAATGCCCTTGTTAAAAGCTCATGGAACTAAGAATTCAGTTTGCCAAAGAAATACTCAGTTGAATCACATCTCCAAATGTACTGTCAAGTCACAGCCATCAGTGGGAGAAATTTCATCTGCCCCTCTTGCAGATGACCTGGACAGACTGTATTGATCAAGCAGAACAGGTCCTTTGTGTTGAGACTGTTTGGGACTCAGTCCAACCAAGGTACCTGAAGGAAGCTTCCATGGGATCAATAATCTGACAGACAGAACAGCCATTACTGTGTCTATTACTGAGGGAGACAGACAGGGCATCCCAGGGGAACTCCTTCCTGGAGTGTTCTTGTATAAATCATTGGCATTTTCTACATATTAGGGCAGCCAGCACACTCAAACCAAAAGCAACACTTCAAAGCTCCTCAAAGGTTTAGTTTCCACTGGGGTGAGATGGTTCATGGTTTTGCTGAGTGGGGGCAGGCTAGCTGAGTGGGCGTAGGCCTGCTGAGTGGGGGTAGGCCTGGTCAATGCGATCGTGCCGGCTAAAACCGTACAGACGGCAAGGTCTTCCATACCTCCTTGTGTGGTTGGCATGTTGACCGTGACAATCTTGCTGTTGGCCGGGATAGGTAGCTTGGCGGTGATGACCTGGCCAGCCATGGTCACCGGGCTGCCAGAGATCTGGAACGTTTGTCCAGAGGTGGTGACAATGCTGTTGGCCACGGTGGCCCCTGAGCCAGTGGAGGCTGCAAGACACACCCCACCTGCAGTCACACACCGTGTGCAAGTGCAACCACAACAGCCAGGGTGTACAGCAGTGGTGTCCACTAAGGGGTCCTTTTCCCCCCAGCTTTGATTCAAACAAAGCCGTTGCATATGCTTTTGGACTGATTAACTGATTATGAGCCTGAAACTTCACTTTTTTCTAGGAGTCAAAAGTTATTCCAAAGGTTTTTATAATTCTCTTTCCCAGCCCCACACTTTTCGTATACAGGAAGTGGACACCACTGGCCATTAAGGCAATTCAACACACCGTAAATATCTATCAAAATAGGTCAAATGAAAAAATAAGAATCCAAACACTAAAATGATCTATGTTGTTGTAACGATTTTCAACATCTACAAGTGAACCTCAATGGCCACCATTAAAAAGTGAATGGGGAATGAAAACGTCTTACAACCAAAAACACAGAAATAAACAAATATAAAAAAATCACTATCAACTTAAAACACACCCCCACAGTAGCCACTACCATGATTGAGGATGAGCAGCTAGTAGTCGCCAGACTCACCTGGACTACCCTGGCCCTGCTTGACCCAGGAAGCAAACGACTGATGGAAGTTCTTGTTCTGCTGGAATGTGACAGGTGTTCCCCAGCTTGGTGGCCAGGACCAGTTTAGTCCCTGAAGTGACCTGGCTGGTCAGGGATGTCGGAGTGCCAGAGGCTGAGGTTGTAGGGGTGCTGGTGGGGGTGGAGGTGGTGGCACCAGGCTTCTGTTGCTCCAACCGTTTCTACAACGCAAAGGTACAGATGTTAAATCTATGCTAAACCATATAGAAACACCAAACTCATTGGAAAGTGGAGACATGAGTAAAGGAGTGTGAGTACATAGTGAACATGTCTCATCTGAATAATACATAACATCACCTCCAATACACATTTGTAATTGCACATGGTTTAAAAGGACAATTATTCTGATCAAAACCAACCCAAACAGAGGCCCTTGAAATGTCCCAGCTCCCCGTGTTTAGTGTTTGTGCACCCCCAGGTTTGGGCTGAGGGGGGGGGGGGGGTGGATTGTAGGGAGTCTAGGTGTCACCATTGTGCAAGGTGGAAACTTGTCTGATCTTCCCACCTGCTGAGCAGCCAATCTCTGGTGCTTTAGCTGAGCCTCCAATTGGGCCTTGGCCTCCTCTGCTGTCTTCAGCGTTCTACTAACCTTAGCCTGGTCTGCAGCCTGGGCCTTCTCCCTCTCAACCCTGTGCCCACAAGAGGACAAGCCAGTTAGTCATACTACATCCAATGACAAGACAACACAACATACCTGGGCAGGGTTACAACAAGACATCTTGAGGGAAGTAAAGGTTCAAAGGTCACATAATATCAAGCAGTACAGCAGCTTATTCTCTCCAGCCCCAGCCACAAGGCTAAGGCCAGTCCGCCTGCTCACCTTTCTGAAAAGGCTCTGATCTCCCAGATCTCCAGCTCCTCCTCGGCCACCCACGTCTCTAAGATGATGGGCCCAGTCTGCTTGGCCGGCTCAGGCTTCTTTGGCCTCAGAGCGCTGGAGCGCAGGCCTTTCCTCTGGGGCGTGGGTGTTTCTACTCAGGAGGATGAGAGAGAGGATGAGAGAAAGAATGAGGTAAAGGGAAAACGACAAAACCCCTCACTAGAAGTATTGACTTCTGTCAATTAATGTAATCCTTTCTATTGTGGGATAAACAGTGAACTTTCTCAATCTTCATATTTTCACTGACATTGCAAAGGATTTGCCTACTCAGGTACTTGAGAGAGAACACTAGAAGAGGTGAGAAACAAGCTGAGCAAGGCAATCCAAAGCAAAGATTCATGAGACCACTGTAGGATTGTGGTTTCATCCTTTTACCTTTGGGAGCTTCGGTAACGCCAATGGGGCAGATGATCTTCCTGATGCAGTATTCCGAACGGATGCCGTGCGGCCCCACATCTCGCCGCTTGATGATCTCCGTTGTGGTGATCGCAGTTTCCGAGGATTCTGGGGAGAGCAGAAAGGAAATATGTCAGTTTGAAATGGTGCCTCATCTTCAAATTTAGAGACAGGAAGGGGGAGGGCAGAGAGAGGGAGAGGAGGGTAGCATTGCTGTGCACTCACCTGTGCGGGTGGTTCCTACAGCAGGGGAGGGCTTGACGGCCATGTCATCCCACCTCAGGCAGGCCCAGAGCAGCCGCAGCATCAGACTGACCCCCGCCAGAGACTTTACAGTCTGGAGACGGTATCTGCATGGGAGACCCAAGTCAGTGAGTGTTACCGAAACAACCTTAAACCAAGAGCTATATGGACAAATGTACATGGTTCCCCTGTTCTCAATGGTTTCAGCCCTAGTATTGTTGGCTTTCTGTATTTTCATTTCAGTGAAAGGCCTATGAGGAGCCCACTGCACAATGGCAGCCTAATAACTAAGGGTCAACTACTTGACTAACCTCCACGTGATTCCAAAGGTGGGTCTGGGGGAGGGATAGGGCCAGATGTCCAGGGCTGGCTTGGCGTTGTAGTTGAAGATGGGCACCTCTCTGATGCCCCCTCTCCTCGCCAGCTTCTTCAGGTCATCATTAGGCAGTACAAAGATGCTCTTCTTGCTACTCTTAGTGACAAACTTGCGGTAGGAGGGGAGGGCCGTGCCAGAGCGGGTCTTCATGGAGCGGGAGAACTTGAGCAGCCGGACACGATCTCTGGTGGAGTACTCCTTACTGACCGTCATGGAGGTGACCGAAGTGCCTGAGGGGCCAGATTTGGCATCTGTCAACGTTGCCGTGACAACAGTCTTGGTCTCCTCGGAGACGGTGGCCCCGAGGGTCGGGGAGCTGACCCTGGTGACAGTGGTCTTGGTCATGGTGGTGAGGGTGGACACAGCACTGCTCTCTGCAGCAGGCGTCACTGCAGGCTTACTGCTGCTGGAGACCTCGGCTATCTGCACCGTGCGAGACTCTGTCGACACGGTGGTAGTAGTGGTTGTGGTGACGGTCTTCAGCGCCCCACTACTGCTACTCTCTGTGGTGTTGTTACTCAAGCTGGACTCCTCTGCAGTGGGGATAGGAAACGGGGTGATCTTATTGGATGCCGTCTGCCCAATCTCCATTGGCTCAGACTTGGTACTGTTGCTTACCTTGGGAACACCAGTGGACAGCCCTAACAGTGACGAGGTGACAGAGTCTGCCACCCTTTCGCCATTATTCTCCAGTCTGGCAACCTTCTGAGGAGGCAGGTAGTCAGGCTCGGACACCACAACCTTTCCTCTCTACGTCCGCCAAGGCTGGGCTGGTGGCTAACACAGTGCTGTTGACCTTTAACCCGTCCTGAGAGAGAGTACCGTTCATAATGGACTTTACAGGCTCCTTCACCGGCAGCGCTTTGATCTCACCCTCTAACGTCTGGAGCATGGCCTTGGTATCCACTTTGTTGGCCAGGTCTAAGTGCATCTTTGAGTCTACAGGAGCCTTGGTTGTCAACAGCGTCTTTCCCGTTCACCTGCACTTGATGTGGTTTGCTTTGGTCTACCTCCATGCTTTCTGTCTCCCTCTGTCCATTGCCTTGCTCTGTCTCCTCATAACCATGCTTCTTACCGTTTTCTCCTGCTATCGTCACCTCTGCTTTGGGAGGTTTGGCCGCACCTAAAGCCGGTTCTAGGGATGTCGAATTGACTTTGTTGAGTTCTATGGTTTTCTGGAAGCCTCCATTCAGCTCTGTTTGCGATAACGCATCCCCACCATTGCCCTGAACGCTGCTCTCATGGTTGGCCAACCCTATGGTGTTGAGGTTGGGGCCTGTGGCTCCTGCTGCCTGGGGCTTACAGGTGGAGCCTAATCTGACGTCCAGGTTATCTGTCTCTCCTGAGGGTTGGGATTTCACTGGCTGCTCCTGGTCAAAGTCAAGCCTTTTAACGATTGAGTCTTTAACTACAGAGTCTGTTTGCCCCTCAGCTTTCAGACTAGTGCACGGTGTCACTGCTAACTTGTCCTGCTCCTTGTCTGCTGTAGAAGCTTCAGTCTTGACGGTGGTGGGAGTCCCTGTATGAACTTTCTCTTTGTAGATTGTGTGTTTGGCCAGGGCTGACTGCTGTTTGAGCCGCTCCAGCCTCTGCTTCTCCTCCAGGGTGAACTGCTTCACTCTGCGTTCCAGCAGCCCGTCGAGCTTGGACGTCTTCACCTTCTTCTTGTAGGCCGTACGGAGCTGGAAGCCCTCGCTGACATTCACCACATCCCAGTTGAAGGGGCGGACAGGTGGCTTGGCCTCAGAGTCCTCCTGCTTAGGTTCTTCTCCATCCCTGGGCTCCACCTTCACAGCAGGGTCAGTCGGTGACGAGGGGTCTTTGCTGTCCACTATACCTAAAAGAGAGAGAGAGAGAACTCAATGAATGATATTAGCCAGAAAATGCTAACTGTGAGCCCTGACAGACAGCTGCTAAGTATGGGATGAATGTAGAACACAGTCAATCATAGCAAGCGTCGGGAAAATAACAAATGCCATCTATTACAATTTCTTATTCAGATAAACAGCAGGGGACCCTCTTTGTTTATTGATGAAAAGTAATATCATTGTACCTTTTTCCTCACTGAGACAGGTGTCTGGTGGACTGGGGTCAACATCCATCTTGTCCTCAGTCTCCTCCTCCACCTGATCAAAATTTTTTTCCTCCACCTTCTCTGTGATATTGTTATCTTCCTTCTCCTCCTCCTCTTTCAGAGTCTGCCCCTCTCCTGGTGAAGTGCTCCCAGATGACTCCATGGTGGAGGTTTGCTCCTTGTCTTTTTCTTCAGTAATTGGAGCAGACTCTTCTTTTCCCTGGGTTTCTGAGCTTGTTGGTGCTTTGGGCAACCGTTTCCATTTGTTTAGGCTGGACGTTGCATTTTCTTTGCCAGTTTTAGCTGCTGTAGAGAGATGAAAATGAAATCACATGAAGCACCTAATTTATACTGAGGCATTCTGGAGCCACATTTTCTGCTTGAGTGCCCTTGATCATCATCAGTGAGATGAGACAACAGGGATAATACGTGTACAGAAGAAACACTTACCTTCGAGTGCTTTGCGGTAGTTGACGTTGGTGTTCCCTGGTAGCCTGGGAACAAAGCGATGGACGTGAGTCTTACTGACCCAGCTCCAGCCCCCGTACCCCGTTACTCTGTACTCCTCCCCCTTCTGCTTCCACACCTTACACACAGAGAGAAAGAACCAGTTAGATGAAGACTACGCGATCACATTCAAAAGAAGAGATTATTATGTTGTCAGCCATCATGCAGTCATAAAAGCCCAAACAGGACATGAGAGAAAAGTGAACCCAGATTTACCTGGTGTTTGATGGGGATGGTGTACTTCACCCAGGTGGCCTGCTGCATAGTCTCCTCATCCTCCAGTTTTTTCTCTCTCTTTTTCACCTTCTCTTTCTCCTCCCGCTCCATGGAGGTCATGCGATGGAGCCTGAGGGGAGAGGGAAGGGGGGAGAGTGAAAAAAAGACATTAAAACAGCAAGGTGACTCTGGCTTGTTTAGCCAGCGCTCTATTCTTTTCAACAATGAACCTCTTCTCACTCATGGGAAAAGCGTCAGCTACTCTGCATACACTGCCCACACCACTACAGACCTCTGCACTGAAGAGAGGTGAACAAAATGCTTCATAATCAGCAGAGCAGTGAAGCAATATAATTAATTCAGTTTAGCATTGTAAACTAGACTGCAGAGAGCAGTTAGATCGAGGTGCTATGACTATATTTGAAATCCTTTTTTCATCAAAACTCAATTCAGCAATGAATTAAGTCCTTTGAGTCACAACCCATGTCTCTTACCTGGTGTGTCCAAGTGCATCTTTCCAGACAGGCAGCATGACCACTGGTTTGATAGCACACTCCATGATGGCCAGCGCCAAGGCAAACTCCCGAGCCTTACTGCACATCTGCACCGCTTTAATCCAGTTTGTCCTGTAAAATCACAAACCTACAACCTCACTATATGGCAAAACAGGATTTCCTTACATTACCTTATCAGCCAATCATATTCAAGTTCTCCATTGTGTGAATCAGTTCAAAACCCCACTTTCCTATGCCAGAGTAAGTAGTCTGCTGGAGCGTACCTGTGCGAGGCCCAGTTGGGGTGCAGGAAGGGGGCGGGTACATTGGTCTCCAGCTGGATGATTGTGAGCCGCAGGGTGGAGATGGTCAGCACCTTGGAGCCGTGGATGGAGCCGTTCCACTTGAAATCCCCGGCGGGGGTCAGGCTGAACTTATGGGAGAGGTGGCGGCGCTTGTCGTGGTCCTCGCGATGCTGGTGCTTGTTGAGGCCCAGTGTGTTGGTGCTGAACTGGTTGTGGTAGACGCGGAACTTGCCCTCCTGGCCCAGCTTGAAGAAGTTGTTCAGGTTGCCCTTCACCGTCAATTCTTTCCTCACAGTATCCAGGCGAGCCACTTCACTCTCAGAGCTGGGAGGAGATGTCTGATGGAGAGACCCACAGGGGGATATATACTGAGCTGAATAGAGACACAGCTGAGAAGAGAGGAATTGTTTCCTAGGGATTCTGTAATTGGGAGACTACCGGTAGTTCAATAAATTGTGTAACATTATGTAATAAAGAAGTGAGTCGATGTGGAACAGAGGACTGGATTTCAGTCTAGATGATTGAAAATATAACAGGACAATCCATTTAATCCTGCTAAAGCTGCCTTCTAATGTGAGAGACTAGCCTGTGGGTGAAATCCCACAAAGAGGACAGAAGGTTAACACAGTGTCTGGTTGGTGTCTCACCTCCTTGCTGTCCCTGGGTGTAGGGCTGCCATCTCCCTGGGTCTTCTGCTGGCTCAGCTTGCTGTCCGGGTTACGCAGACGAGTCACTATGCGATTGTTAGTCCGTCCTGACACTGACCCCTCACCATTCACACTCTCCTTGCCTTCACCTGTGAGCAACAGAACACATCATTAAGATCAGGGATGATTAATTAAAAGAGAGAAGTCAATCATGAATAAAGGATTCAAGAGTAATTGGGCCAAATACCAGCACAGCGTGTTCAATGATACAAACAGTATCTCTAATGTCACTTGGTAGTCAAGGCCCTTGAAAGTTGAATGAGTCAGGGCATTCATCAGTAACAGAGTGCCTCCAGAGGACTGAGTGCATGGATAGTATGGCGACGGTATACCCGTGTCATCCTGGCTGGTGATGGAGGACTGAGAGGACCTGTCAGCGAGGTTTGGCTGTTCAGGCCTCCTGAGGACCCCAGGCGCTGAGACGTGGCTGCTGTTGCTGTTCTCGTCACCAGGGTGTGGTGGTGGTGGAGTAGGCTGGCACTGGGCAGAGGGGTCCTCCTCTCCATGGGACTCTGAGTCTACAGGCTTATCATCTGGGGAGGAGGAGAGGATTGAACAGTGAGAAGCTGCGCAGCACAAACCCCTTAGGCTCCCTTTGTCTGAAAACATGCGTCAACACCAGCACCAGCTGTCTATACTGAGAAAGTATTGCAAATGATGACGGCAATGCAGAGCAAACACGGACAAAACCTGTAATCCACAACAAATGTACAAACAGAATGCGTTTGGCTTGATGCCTTCCCCGCCTCACCTGTTCCTTAATGATAATGCACAATTAGCATAACACCAGGGAAATGCTTAATCTGCGAGTCTGAGCAAGAATTTGCATTTCAGCAGTCCAGGCAGACAGATAAGGCTAAATCCCCTCCAGCCAGGAAAGAACACAGTGCAACACAACACAAACAGTGCAACACGCGGCTGCAGAACCAAATTAAGAAAGATATTGTGTTTCTGAGCTGTGGGTTAAAATGGCCCTGCTGTATATACTGCGCTGAGGTAGCAGGTGGAAGGTTCAGGAAGGCAGCCAGCCTTTTGTTTCCGCTAAAGGAACGGAGGCCAATTTCCCTGATGAATTGGAGTGAGAATAAGAGGTTGGTTGTGACAGACTTAGCATGGTGGGCGTTGCCTGCCAGGGATGCTGCTGGCTGCAGCTGAAACGCCATTATCTGAGAACAAGTTTTCAGTGTGTGGACCGGCTAACACAATGAATGCATTGAGAAAATAGAACATGCAAGCAATTGACAAGGTGACTAGAATAACAACTGGCTACACTTAGAGCCTCCTGAGCACTGTTCAGCCTTGCATGCTGAACACTACACAAGACAATGGAACACAACATGGATGGATAGCAAGAGCACAAGTTCCCGCAAAAAGGCCCAATGCACCAGAGATCCTGATCATATGAAGATGGAAAACCACAGAAATAAGGGGATTCAATAATGGGCTATTTAAATGTTACATAAGCAGAAGTGAAAAGCAGAGTGCTTTGAGGAGTAAGAAAAGACTTATGACAAAATATGTTTATTCCTGAAGGATAATTATTTCAGTAAGTGAGCAACACCGGTCAGTTTAATGAGTGATAGTGAAGTGAGCAGTACTGTGGGAGAGTAGAGCCCCCTCTGTTACACTCATTACTCTGGACGGGGGGACTAAGTGAAAGCTGCCCAACAGAGAATCCATTCCCTCTGTTAGTCATCCATGTATTGAATTAGTAGACAACCAGACAGGCATACTGTGTAACCGTGGTGCAGTCATTCAAGATACTCTCTTCCTCAAAGGAAGCTATGACTTAGCCTTAATGGTCCAATAGCACTCTTTAGTACACTTTCTACCAAACAGAGCCAATAATCAAATCAACAACTGGTCACATTGAGGTGCAGCCAACTAGCATGAATATCATCATCTAGCCAAGAAGCAGCAGCAAAAAGCCTGTAGCAGTGACTCCACAGCAATGCATCCTGTGACAGCAATCACATCACATTATGCACAACTACAGTATGGAGGATGCTTTGAGACAGCCAGAGCATGAGACCGATGATGATGGATGCACACATGCATAGCCACAGCGAGGTGTGACAAGGAGGACGAGAGGCTGGGAGGAGAGATGCGGATTGCTGGGCTCTTTCTCCATCATGTACCTGGCCTCTCCTGCTCAGGCTCCATGGAGGCGTCCCCACTCTCAGAGGGGGCCGAGCAGGACACCTCAGCAGGCTTAGGGGGCTCAGGTTGGACGGTGGTGTTCTCTTCTCCAGTAGGTGGAGCTGCAGCTGCTGTGAAACATACAAGACTCACTCTGGATCTTTAGCACACAACTGCCTCACCAGATCAACACTTTTGAAATAGATTTTTTTAAAGACGTAGCCATCTTCAAAAGGCTACATAAAAGACGCATCCAGAAAAGGACTTCATAAGCAATAAACAACTCACATAGAAGAGCTACTCCAGTCTTACCTTGTGAGCTTGCTTCAGACTCAGGGTCTTGGAGCTCTCTGTTGTCTGGCCGTGGAGAGCAGTGTGTGGGGGTCTCTTCCTCTGTCTTGGTGGTGTCTATAGCGGGGTTGTTGTCACCTGCTACCTGACTGGCTTTCTCTGCCTGCTCCGCTGCCCGCTGCTCCTGCCTGGCCTGCACACGCTCCAGGATCTCATCTACACAAACAACAACACAGCTGATAAACATATGGCCAACACCCACACAGCATGCTAGGTCTGTTTGACCGGAGACTACATTTCAACCTTACGTGTAAATCAGTAGGTCTACATGTTGTTTATTACATTGTTATGCATGTCCGTATGTCTAAGCTCACAACCAGCCAGTAATGTTGTTTTTTTTCAGGCATTAAAACAAGGGGATGTGTCAAGTAGCTAATTCACAACCAGAAAAACGATGCTACACAATAAGAAATGGAATGGAGTTGTTTGGCTAACACTAGCCCTAGCCTGTTTAATGTTGAAATGATGTTGTTCTATTACAGGATGGCATTACAAATATAATGGAGTTAAACCATAATTGCTTTCCACACTCCCCTTGAGAATATTGCTCTCCTACGCATTTTGAAACAATATAAAACCAACTGATAAAATTGCAATTGGAAAGTAACATAGGCCTATGTATAATGGCTGTAACAGTGTCAAGATCATCCTGTCACTAGGTTTACCCCTTCCAGCCTGGTTCTCATAGAAGCCGTCTCTCACATTCAGAGAACAACCACACAAACATCTCAATCTTACAGATTGCTAATACACCTTCTAGCACTACTTGAGACTGTGTGAAAAATGAGTGGAAACGGATTGTGACAGGTAATAATAACCAAGTCACAACACGTATGATCACCAGCACAGTTAAATACCAATATAGTTAGCCATTGACAGCTAAAACCAAGAACAACTCATTAGAACTCCTGACTTGCTGTCTCTACTATTGTTCCCTGAAACGCAACAGCGGGTCAACGCTCCGGAGATGACATTAATGAAGCTGCTGTCTGAGCACTAAAAGCAAGAGAGTGGAGAATCAATAATGTGTTCTATGATGATATAGTATAAAATCTCTCCCCATAAAAGGCAGACAGAGAGATTCCAATCTTAATTCAGGGAAATAGATCTAACAAAAAAAAGATGTGGACAGCCAGCAGAAAGCATTATGTCTCTGAAAGTGTCCTGGGTCACAGGAGAAGATGAAAAATGAAATCAATCTCCATTCCCCACCCGCCAATGGTTCATAACTGAGGTTGTCATAGGGAGAGAAACAGGTGTCACCAGCTCCAGTGAACAGAGGGAGGATGAAGCAGTGCACCAGAGCAATGGGCTTCTCAAGAGGATAACATACCAGCAAGGCCTATTCATCACCACAGATGGTACAGATGGAACTAGACAGGAGAGAAAAGACTCTGCATTGGCTTTAAAGAAAATCTTGTCTTTGGAATATCTGTCACAAAGCCCTCATTGTCTAACAATTGAGGAGACTGATCCCAAAACAGTTCAACTAGAACCAAGCAAGCTTGGTTTGTGTAAACTCTGAGATCTAGTAGTCAGGAAATGCACATAGAAAGGAAGGCTCTATAACAAACCAGGAGGAGTAGAGTAGCCACACAGAGAAACAGACACAGTGCTTTAAAAAACGCTGTTTGCATGGTAAGTAAAAAGACTGAGAAAGAGAGGGGAATAGCAAAATCTATGATGTTTGATGCTTTATTATTGTCACATACACTGGATAGGTGCAGAGAAATGTGTTGTTTTACAGGGTCAGCCATAGTAGTACAGCACCCCTGGAGAATGTTAGGGTTAAGTGCCTTGCTCAAGAGCACAGACAGATTTTTCACATTGTCGAATTGGGTATTCGAACCAGCAACCTTTCAGTTACTGGCCCAGCGCTCTAACCGCTAGGCTACCTGCGGCCCTCTGACAGTTCTAATACTTCAACCGTCCTAATCATACTTCAGCATGAGGGAGAATGTACTCTCCTCTCCAGAGATTTATTGGAATGCAATTCCCACAGGAGCTACACGCTGGCTATACAACATGTAGCCTAGGGGTCGTCATTGACATTTCTATATTGACAACGCATAGAAGCCACGGACCAGCTAAAAATGCTTCAGCGTGACAGACAGTGATTCAGAGCATCCAGCAGGTGGCTGTCTAGCCTTACCGTTGGCTGCCGTGAGGAAGGCCTTGTTGTTGCCGCGGGCCTTGTTGGTGAGGTCCTCAGTGATGTCCATGTGAGTGTGCACCTCCTCTCTCATCTCCTCAAGGACGGCACACAGGTCGTTCTCCCAGTACTCCTTGTCCAGACACTCTATCAGCTCTCCCAGCTGGACCTTTGTGCTGTAGTACCAGATCTTCTTCTTCTCATGCTCCCCGTCCTCCTCACTGGAATAACAGGTCAACAACCATTTTTAGAGCTTTGCCAAATAAGATGGAATATAATTGACAATTAGTTTGTTGATAAAAACAGGTTCAAGGACCTTAATGAATAGATCATGAGATGGCATCATTGGATGGCATATAATGCTGCATGAGGCATCGTTAAGCTGGACACAAAGATATCTTAACCTTAAAAATAACATTTATACTGAATGCAAATTGGCAATAAGCTTCAATTCCATTCAAAAGCATGTTGTTTTTCAGCCCACTTATTTCTTTTTTGTTTGCCTCTTGCAAGAGGAGAGACCAATTACAAGCAATTGTGAAGACATGTTCAAATGGAGGAGAGGCAACGTGATGAGAAAGCTGATACTCCAGCAGCAGTTCAGTTAACTCTCAGGGGGGCTATGGCATCACAGCACAGGAGTTTCACCCTCACTAAGGGCATAGTTAACGATCACAGCACCCTCAGATTGAGTCATCGTTGAAATCAGCTACATTTTTCATACCCAGTAAATGTTTAATCCAGGCTGCTTCTACATGAATGTGGGGGATTACCAGCAACATCCAGCTACTAAAATTCAAGTTAAAAAATATATGTTCAGCTTTCTCAGGCAATCTGTGTGTACATAGTGTTCAGCAACAAAAGGTGTATTATTCTATCTACAGGACATGACTGATGTTATACCAAGCAATTCAGCACTGGAAAAAGACAGCAGGGATGTTGTAATGTAGTAATTCTGAAGGCAATTGATTAACTTGTTTTCAAGAACCTCAAGGACATATCGCCACTCTCTGACTACATCACAAAACACGATGTATCGCTCAGATGAGATCAATCAGTATGGTATGGAGATGGTGCATAATATTGTTGAAGTCACTACTAAGGGAAGTGGGGTGGGGGAGCAGTAATTACTTACACAATTATCCTTCGGTTTAGGAACCAGTATTGCCTCCGTTGGCGGTCGTAGCCGATGGGCTCCTGGCGGATGTAGGGTTTGCTCTTTTGCATCTCTGTCACACAGTCTGTGACCCCGGGCACCTTGTGTGCCACACAGATCTCACACTGCCATTCGTCCTCTGGCACCTCTACCAGTGGCGGCTTCACACACTCCAGGTGGTAGACCGCAGAGCAGGTCTCACAGCACAGCAGGTCCCCCAACCTGTGGCACACCCTGCAGTGGTCATCATACTGCACCACCCCCTCTGACATCAACTCCTCGCGGGCAATGTTGGTGGTGAGGAACTGATCCACCAAGAACTGCAGCACCTTGATCTTACTGTCCAGCGGGCCGTAGGGGTAGTCCTCCACCTCCTGGTAGGGCAGGACATGGTGGTACTCCTGGTCGCTCTCGCAGTAGGCACGCACCACCTCGGGCCACGTCATGCCGTCAATGAAGTAGAGGGTGGAGTTGACGCTGTCCTTGAGGTCGGCAGGACCGAACGTGGTGTTGGAGGTGTCCTCCTCACGCAGAATGGCCTTCAGCAGGGCTGTGTGGGTCTCTGCCATCAGCGTGCACTGCTCCTGGCCTACCAGCGCAGCACAGAAGTCCTCGAAGCGGAAGGGAGAGAGCCGCAGCACCGTGCTGAAGTTGCGCAGCACCTCGTAGATGGAGGACACATTGAGCAGTTCCTCGCTGGGCACCATGAGGTCCTCAGAGGTTCTGGGCAACTCCAGAGGAGGGATCTCCTTTTCCTCAAAGATTGGGCGAGCGAGGGCAATGCACCCGCGTCCTCTTCCGCCCTGCCAGACAGAGAGAGAGAGAGTGAGTGCCATAATCCATGTGATTTAAAGACTAACTAAAACTGAAATTGCATTCTGTAACTCATACATAAAACCCAAACACAGCAGAATTACATTGGCTCAAGGGCTTAAATCATAGATCAACTTGTTTCTGTGTATTTTCGTTAAAGACAGAATTTACAAGTGAACAAATGTTGAAATCTAACACAATGGACATTCCCTTCAATGTAAAAAAATTACTTCTTAAATGGGTCTAATCCAAACACTGTGATAATGTTTTGCAACAGCAACATAATCATTACAAATTATATCTGTATAATAGCAGAAAAGCATCTTTCTTACATAGTTTTGTCAGTGTCTTTCAAATTATACTTTCAACAAATAATAATTAACTTTAATCTAATCAAAATAGTTGCTTCTATCTACTGTGTGTGATGAAAATGTGCATCAAAAGTGTGTTGAAACAAAAATAACCTCTGCATTCAATTTACAAAGTTTACAACAGCTTATGGATATGAAATATTACAGATATTAATATAACATTGAAATTAATAATTCCATTATGTACTTTGGGGAATGTAAAACATTATTGTGCTGCGTCACTGAAACTTCTTCCACACAGTTACAACTGGTGAAATTGAGGGCGCTTATTTTCAAAACAATGGGCCACATGGTACCCTGTCCTGTCATTAGCTCGAGCTGATGTGGACTACTAGCAAACTAGCTGGGTCCTCCTGGACAAGTGCATGAGCCCATGACATTGCTAACTTGCTAGCTTGAAGAACTCATCTGCTTCTCAGCTGTAAAAATAAACCTATGCTAGGTATGAGAAGCTAATAATAAGTTAGAGTAGGTTAAAGAAAAACAACACGTTAATTAAGTAGTCTCATTCATTTAGACACATTTATCCAAAATATTTGGCTAGCTAGCCAGACGTGGTAAGTAGCTATTCACCTGCAAGGAAATTATGCATCATCAGGCGTTGTTTTATAATAAGAAACAATCCAGTTATTAGTGCATGTTATGGTAATATATTGTTGTTGGTCATTTTAGTTGTTTTCGAAATGATCAATCTGCCTTTACAGCTGTTTAGCAGGTTCAGGCATTAGCTTGTTAGCCTAGCTTGCTAACGTTAGACCTTAGATAAGGTCCTTATAACAACCTAGCTATTGCAATAGCCAAGTCAGATTCAAAACTAGCAAACACAATTATACTAACATCTCGCACAATACTGTTAGTTAAAGATGTGTGAATGTTTCAGAACTCAAAAATGTGCAATTCGGCTCTCGTGCCCTGCCTAGATGGCTAAATGCAAAGCTTTCATTCCATCATCACCAATTTTGATCTCAAGCAAGGCCTGCTTTTATACACAGTCAGTGCATTCTCCATTTTGAACAATACAGCTTCCTGCACTATAAGAAATAATGCCAATAAAAATACGCCCAGACAAATTATAATTAGTTACAATGTCATTGTTTTCTAACATTCTCTAAGCAGCTTGATCAATATTGCGGTTTTACCCGGAGTGCTGCCATGAGTGCTCTGACTCCGAAAGCTGCTCTCAGTACAGTAGCTGGCATCATCATCCTCCTCCTCGAGTATTTCCTCAAGCGGGTCTGACTCCTCGTTGAGGGCCTCTTCTTCCTCGTCCGTTATCGTTTCTTCCTCTATCAACTCGTCCTCCTCAGATCTCAAACTCACAGCATCATCATCTTCATCACTTTCATGATCATCATAAACCACAGATCTAGCGATTGACCGTCTGCCCCTAGTACCTCTGCCACCACCACCCCCCCTGCCTCTTCCCCTACCGCGAGATACCGTGGATGATCCCACTTTTCTCCTGCCCCTCGATGAAGAGTTATTTCCCCTCTTGGGACTCTCAAAATCGACCTCGGTACTACCTCTCCCCTTTGCCCTCAACTCCCTCCTGGGTCTCAAGCCACGCTCCGGCTCGGATGAAGGCTCCTGCATCAGCAGGGTTTTGGGCGGCCTGCCTCTTTTCCCCCTCATTATATATAAAATCTATTATTTTCTATTTCAATTTCTGAGTTTATTTAGCCTTCACAGAACCCAGAAAAACGGGTACCTCCAGAAAGCTTGACTTGCGTAGATTCCAAAGAAGTAGTCCCGTAAAGCCCCGGCCTCGGTTTACGTGAGAAAGCTCAAAACGAATGGCGTGCGTCCCGCTTCTGATCGGTCGCAGCCGCCATTTTTCTTCCTCTCTCTCCGACTACTGAAAACAGACCGAAGGCCCAGTGCTGATGTCACGTGGTGACTGTTCTTCCAGTACAGTAGACCTGAACAGGCAAAGTGAATTGTATTTACATTGAGTCCTTGCAATCTGAACTGAAGTTTGCAATTATTGCTGAATTGCACAAAAGAAAAATACCGAAATTATGTTTTCTCAAGTAGGCTACAAAAGTGTATTATGAATATCTATAAATGGGAAAATGATATGATACCTAGCTTGTTTCTAGGCCTATCTTGCTTTTCTATTTTTTAAAACTAATAATTGTTTCTCTTTTCAACATTTTCTCAAGTTATAATGTTCAATTATTATTTTTGCCAATTCAAGCATACCCCTTTCTTTTTCATGTTCATTCATACCCCTTCATGATTTTACTCCTAGAATCGTAGAGGTAACGTTTAAAAAAATTTATTCTGCCAAGGGTATGCATTGGTAAATACAAAAGGTCTGATAATACATTTTTTAAATGATTAATTTGAGAGGGGTGATGGTCAATCTTATCTTCCACCACCATCACTGAAATCACATCATCAGAATCTATATCGGTCCGTGCTATACGGGATCATTGGACCGCCACTACACCATTGAAGTTGGTTAGGGAAGGACTATGGTTAAGGTTAGGATAATTCATCCTTTGTGATTAAGGTTAGGGTTTAGGATAGGGATGTCCCAAAGATCCCGGATAGCACTGACCAATCTGTATATCTCATACTGTATATCGCAAGATGGCTTGTTGGTGTTGCAATGCATCCAATCATAGACTTATCTTCAGTATAACATTACTATTTGTGATAAGCTTATCGTAGTAACCAATGATGTATATAAACACATTGATCGTAACGTTACTGTAGGTGTTACAATGTATCCAAAAAAAAAAGCCGTTGTCGGCAGGATTCGAACCTGCGCGGGAAGATCCCAATGGATTTCTAGTCCATCGCCTTAACCACTATTATAAGGTTGTCGTGGCCGAGTGGTTAAGGCGATGGACTAGAAATCCATTGGGATCTTCCCGCGCAGGTTCGAATCCTGCCGACAACGTGTCTCTTTTTTTGTAGATTGTTGCTTAAATCAGGTCTCATATAAAGCCGTACAGTACTCTGTCCAGTCTTGTGGTCTAGTCATAATTTAGTTCAATTACAGTTCGTTCTTACAGGAAAAGGCAGCATACAGTTCGTTCTTACAGGAAAAGGGAGCATTTACTAATTCATCTCGAATTATTCTCGGAAAGGACATGTAAGGACGCAAAAACGATATCCTATTATGGTAGTGAAGCACTTTTACAAAATGTATTTGTAACGTTATTTTTTTAAAGAAGCTTTGAAAACTTTGCAATATGCATACTCTTATATCTAATAAATTGAAAACGGGGAAAATATTAACATTATTATAGCGCTGTGCAGTGGTCGAACCGAATGGTTGCATGAGGAAAACAATTATTTTCAGATGTCGATAGATGCCAGGAGGTGGCGATAATGCACCATGCATACCAGAATACACGTTTGTCTCAGCAGGAAGGGATTGCATACTGTCATGCAAGGATGATCATCTTTACCAGACCTTTTAGTTGCTTTAGTCTGTATTTGATTTATTGTAGTGGATACACCAGATCAGTTTTCATATTGGCAACTATGTGTACATTACCCATTAAAAGCATTGTACAACGAACACCATGTTTTGTCATGCTTGATCTGACAGTCTGGATTGTAGTGAGACATTTTGACAGTGTGATGGCAGTAGTGTAAAGAACACCATTGAGATATCTCAGTCTGATAAGTAACAGGATGGTTGGAGTACAAATAATCCAATGCTTGCATTTCACAGACTATTTGCATGAGGTTCAGTAAGCAGGTGAACATTTAAGGTCAGTTGTGTAAGCGGGTGGACATTTAAGGTCAGTTGTCTTCATTCCTATTTGAATATGATGACAGCATAAAGATCAGTAGCGGGAAGCTCTGGAAAGTTTGGCCTTCGAAATACTGTTGTTTACCCTGAGCATCCAATCACTGTCCCTTTGCCTGCCAAACCCCTACATTGAAGATGCTCCAGCTCTGTCAAAAACACAGGCCCCACACGTATTTCCACAAAGTAAATAGGCCCCAGGAAGTATGTGACATGGGAAGTGCACTGGGTGTCAATGTTTCTAGATGTCTGACAGAGAATACAAATATGTATTTCTCTGCACACACACACCTCCGAATGGATAAACTCATGCACACACACATAGTACAAACAAGCACCAAGCTAAGCAGAGAGATAAACTGCACGTTGCATCTTAGCAAACAATTAATAATTTATGTTAACACTTAATCATGCAATAACACACCGGGAATTGCATCAAGATCTATAAAAAACATGACGCATTTCCATCTTTTCAAAGCCAGCAAGGCCTTTAATGGAAAATTTGACAATTTATAATTTAATGGATCCTCAAATTGTGGGAGATCGAGACCCTGGGAGACGGTCTGACTAATTTTTGGAGAAGACGGCTTTGGTAAATGCCAATGAAGTTCCCTGGATATCTGGGACAACGTAATCAAATATGGCTGTTATATATTCATGCTGTTTACTTACATAATGTCTCTAGACTTCAGACCTGATGAGACTTCTTACAGTACATGACATCCTCTCAGACTACAATTAATTCCATGACAGGACTGAGAATGGAGAGCACTTAATGTTCCCAGTCCGCTGGTTTGTTAAGTGTCCCTCAGTGGAAAAGCAATTGCCTGTGACACAATGTGGTCAGAAAGTGGCCAGATTGGTTGGAAGTGTTTAAGGGCTAAAAATAACAGAACACAAAAGCAAACAGTCCACCAGACCGAGGGTAATGCAATGTGTACATTTTCACTGGGCAGCAAACCACTACGTACCAAGGACCCAAGGCTGTGCTTAAAGATGCCAAGTCATCAGCTTCCTCTTCAAATGAAGCTTGTTCATGGCACCCAGAGGGACATGAACTTGGCATTGTATGCAGGGGAGCCTGATGTGTCAATATAGGTATTTATTTGCGATTCCTGTCTGATTCATGGCCTAACACTGCATGTCCCTGTCCCTACATATTGTCAGATGCAAAGCCAGGTAATGGCAATTCATTTCTATACATTTTTAGACAGATGAATTTAGCCATCAAAAGGTTTGTTGAATCACAACAAAAAAACAGTCTGCAACAATCTATGGACCACACACTACATGGTTTCTCTTTTTTTAATAACTGCATTTTTATTAATTGAAAATAAAAATTAAAAATGCAAATTAAAAACGAGGCAAAAATAACAACAGTATCATTAGGTAAGAGAAGGCAAGAGACACTTAAATAAGAAGAGTTCCATGTTGGGAAGGGCACAGGGAGGGAGAGCGATGTGGGGTTGATGGGACAGGTTGGATTATGTACATGGTTTCTCACTGCAGGATTGACGGGCCCCACAAAGGAAAGGGGCTCAAAGCAGCAGGTCGGAGACACTGAAACACCAGAGAGAAAGGCACTATCCAGAGAGAACAAAGAAACTAAACACACACAGAAAACAAACACACCAGAAATCAAATACTTAACATAAAAAGTGCTTGACACGCCACAGACAGAAAAAACATTGGTAAAGCTGATCTCTCACCTTTTAGCATAAAAGACACTAAAATTTCTCAAACTGTTTATCACGCCATCATGTGATTATCCAACTCACCTTGTTATGTGAGTCTAACAAGGAGGGAGCTGTTCATGTATGCGTGTTTGAATATGTATGTACTATATGCATATTTTTCATACATCTCTATATAATTTTATATTGACACCATTACAAATTCAGCACTTCTCGGAAATCCCTTGCAGTTGTGTAGTTCAGTTCTCCGACCTTGCTTCCCTCATGTCAATGTCTATGGACTCAGCTACATTCACTGCCAAAGAGTAAAATGGCTGCAATAAATACATTGGCTTCAAAAGGTGGCTGGCCTTTTACAGGGCTCAACAGCTCATGCAGCATACATAGCTGTACTCGCTGGTCGGCGTTAGCTTCCTGACAGGATTGGTTTTGTTAAAAAGAACAGACTATTCTCTCGTTTATCAGACAAGGAAATAATTTCACGTTTTAAATATCATCATGCCATTTTATCATCTGAGAGCCCTCAAATAATCCAGGAAAAATTATACTGACAATTCAGCACATCCCAGAGCTACTAGGTCTTATCCAGACTAACATTTTTTTTTTTTAAACATAATTTACAAATGGAAAAAACAATACAATTTGTGATGACTGGTAAACACATACAAATATATATAATATATATTCTTAAAAAATGGATTCTCTCTATACTGTAGGTGATTTATTTATGTAGCCCAGGGCTGATGTACAATGCTCACGTGCCAATGATCCTGGACTTGGTAACTTGTTGCAGATAGCATCCGTATTTTTTTCTTATTTTTCAATCATTTAAAAAAATATTTGTACATGTATTTTTATTCAAAACAGCGTTAGGATTTATTGGTATTTCATTTAGGTGATTAAAACATGCGGCAAAAAAGGAAAAGAAACGCAGAATGTAAAGAAGTAGAGGAGAGGACAGAAGCAGCTGTGGGAGTCTAGGGATCGAATCATTCTCATTATCTTCACTTTCGGTGCACTATGCTTAGTTTCTCTGTATTCTTTCCTCAATGACAGTTCAGTTCTGACTGAAGCGTTCACTATGAAGGCGAACTTTCTCAGTGTTAAAAGTTGGCTTTGCTCAGCTGCCACCGACAAGGTGATGCCTTCGACAGAACTACTCCTCAATTTTTTCATTCCATGTTGCATTCTCCCTCTCTGCTCCTGATGTCTTCTTGATGGGTTGAGGGGGGGTATGGGGTGGTTGTTGATGTTTGTTTACATGTTCCGGTTGACAGGTGTGACGTAGTTGCGGGGGAACATGCCCGTCTGCCCGTGGCATCCTCCCTTCCACCAGTTAGGGTCAGAGTTGTCCAGGACCTGGATGAAGTCTCCGCGTCGGAAGCCCAGCTCGCCATCCTCCTGGGGGTCAAAGTCAAAGAGCGCCTGTACATATGTGGGATGCTGTGGGCAGGGAGAGAGAAAGAGAGCAAAACAAATCCATGAGTCCTAGACATGTTAACAAAGTCTGACAAAAGGACAAAGCCTCGGTTTTTCCCTGACTGTGTTTTCTGAATCAACCGTGACTCGTTGGTGAACTGAGCCAATGCCATGTCCAAAGGTTAGGCCGGCAGGATGAGGAATTGAGTCAGCAACTCTGGGGCCAATCTGTCTCCCTCAAAGCTATTATTTTACATTTACATTTTAGTCATTTAGCAGACGCTCATACATTTTCATACTGGCCTCCCGTGGGAAACGAACCCACAACCCTGGCGTTGCTAGCGCCATGCTCTACCAACTGAGCTACAGGGGATTTTACACTAATAACCTAGTTTGTCGTTGTGACCATTAAGTCTCCTACAAAGCCACACTGGTAAACAGCCTGAAAAGAAGGTTAAGGGGGATGTGGTCTCACCTGGGGGACCTGCTCAATGTCGCGCAGGAAGATCTGCTGGTTGCGGGATACAGAGGTGGAGCGGTGGTAGTCCACCAGCTCGTTGAGCGAGTTGAACTTCACCACCCACAGGAAGTACTTTCCTGCCCCATCACGCAGGACTTTGAAGTGCTGGACGTCATTTCCAAACCTGAGGAGACGGGGGACAGAGGATGAGAACCATGGGTAGCTGGCCAGCAGCAGACAGTCAACAGACACAGAACTGCTAAAACAGGACAGAGAAAAGAAGAGATCCCAACAGCCAAAGGAAATACATGTGGACATGTTCTCTTAGCAACACGTTAGGAAGACAGACTGTCTCTATAACAGTGTGAACACAGGTCATGAACCCATGGATAGTAATGCTGCACACAGAGATAAACCAGCCTCTTCCACAGCCATCAGGGGGATTTGTCTCTACTAAGACAAACTCCTTGTTCTGTACTCAGAGGGCAATAGACAGGTGGAGTCATACAGACAATTAAAGTTAATTAAAGTGATCACTATCTACTTTACATACAGACTGACACTACAGCACCATTGAATTGAGCCTTTTTAAGGAAAGCAGAGTGGAAACGGATATCGGGAAATCAAAGAGTTTGCGTCAATGTTGTGCAAGCTGGAAAGAAAGCGCTGAAATCCTGCTGTAAAATGACTGTCAGTGAGCTGGAGTTAATGTTAATAGACACATGGGGTAACCCCTTATCCACCAGGGGGCAGCACTGAAGACTGGGTAAAAAAGAAAGTGCTAGTGCAGTAGTTGTATTTAAACACAGGAAGAGAAAGAAGAGAAACATAGCAGATGTTTGTGTCTTTGCTACCCATTACATTGTACGGTGCAGAGCAGTCCCTCGCCCCAACATATGTAGAGCAGGGCTTATAAACCTTTTGTGTGTGTGTGTTCACTTACTTGACAGAGAGGGAGAAGTCCCCTGGCGCGCTCTCACTCTCTCGGATGAGGAAGGCCCCGTCGTGCCTCTGTTTGTTCAACATCTCCTCTGCCTTGGCCCGGGGGATCTTCCCAAAGAACCACCTGGAGGGAGGGACAGCACCACACACAGGGTCAGGGGAGAGAACAGAGTCGGACCAGCATAAACCAAACAGATAGACATCTGCTCCCTCACGATCAGGGACGACACATGGTCATCTCTCATTGTTTACTTTCCTAAGAAATTATACTATATTTCAGATTAAGCCTCTGCCCCAGTCAACCGATTAATACTGCAGGTAGGAGAACCAGAACCGTGGGCGTTGTGTACAGTGGAGGCACAGGGGTAGAGGAGTGGGGATAGCGTGCTGTGCTGTGGGGTTGGAGCAGAGGCTCTCTCATTCCCAGCTCCCTGTAAGGTCTGTGACAGCAGCCCTGGTTGGGCCAAAGGCAGCTGTAGCAGCAGGGGGCTGAGAGAGCGTGAGCGAGAGAAAGAGCTCTCTCCGGTTAATTATTAACCAGAGCAGCCAGAGAAATGACATCTTGGCACCTTTGCATGAAAGTGAAAATCAATAATAAAATGACCAAGACCTAATCCTCTTTGCATTTGTGCCCTTGATCGGCCGGCCCCATCCAACTCTGATAAAGGTGCCGGCAGAGCAATTAATGCAAGTACGGAAAGAGCAGCCAGGCCATGTAGAGCCAGACTGGTTGCGTCTCTCACACACACACAATGCACCTACCTACTACACACAGTACAGTACAGATATAAATACCACTATGGAAGAGCAATCTAAAGCTATTTTGACTCAATTTAGCAGGCTCCCAAACATGTTATTACTTACACCACTTCTACTATAAGGATGATCCAAAAGGTCCATATTTCATGGTCTGGTCTGTGAATACATACCGGTAGATGAAATGCAGAAGCACATTAACATCTATTTTTCTAAACCCAGCATACCGTTACCAGGCCTAGCGTCGTTACCAGGCCTAGCGTCGTTACCAGGCCTAGCGTCGTTACCAGGCCTAGCGTCGGCTGAAGATACTGTACTGCATGTGGGTAGTTGCCGTATGGCCAAAACAAAAGTGAACAAATTATTTATTAAAACATTTAAGTAAAAAAACATAGTTGCAAAAAAGTATGTCTAAACAATTCAAAATGTGGCCACATTTGATTTTAAATGTGTATCCAATTTAATGAAACATTTCATGCATTAGTGCCTTGAATTTGTCCTCTGGTGTGACATCATAATTAATGCTAATATAAAGGTTTAATGATTCCCAAATAGACAAAATGATTTTTACTAATTATTAGTTACTTCTGTTTTTAAATCAGTAATCATACCCTGTTGAAAAACACATTTACTTGTATAATGATGATAACCAAGTGTCTCCCTATTACATTTTGAGTAAGATTCAGTCATTTGACAAAAACCTAGATAAAAAGCAATTACTTGACTTGTGTACTATGATAATGTTACCTGCTTCAACAATTATTTTACACTTTGTTCAAGACAACCCCTTTTTAAAAATACATTTTTTATTGGTGTAACCCCATAGTACATTATGTCCCACTGATGGACAATACACAACAGGCAGTCAAATTTTACGGTTAAAACGTAATTAATGACACTTTGAAGTTTCTGACCGCTCTACAATGCAACTTCTAAACATCAGTAGCGGATCCTCATTAAAGGATTTAAAATGTACTTATTCCAATTACAGGGCCTCGAAAGAGTCCTGTACTGTTATCTTTCATCACTAGCTCCCCGAGTCGGGAGTGGGTAATTGGCGCGCCTGCTGCCTTCCTTGGATGTGGTAGCCCTTTCTTAGGCTCCCTCCCCGGAATTTAACCCTGATTCCCCGTTACCCACGATCACCATGGTATGCACAGAAAGTACCATCGAAAGTTTATAGGGCAGACATTCAAATTAGATGTCAGCGCCACGAATGGCACGCCACCGGTCGAGGTTATAGAGTCACAAAGAGCCTTAGAGTACCGCGCATTGGTTTTGGGTCTGATAAATGCATGCATCCCCGAAGGTCAGCACTAGTTGGCATGCATTAGCTCTAGAATTGCCACAGTTATCCAAGTAACGTCGGAGCAATCAAAGGAACTGATTTAAATGAGCCATTCGCAGTTTCACTGTAGCGGCCGTGTGTACTAAGCCTTGCATGGCTTAATCTTTGAGACAGGAATATGCTACTAGCAGGATCACTCCGGTAGGCCCCCACAAAATTGAGGTGTACCTGGCCGTGCAGCGAGGTGCAGGGGCACAGTTCTCCAGTGATGGAGGAGACCCAAACGCACCCAGTGGGAGGCCCCTCTCCTACTATCAGCCGAAGCCGTGGGAGCCGAGGCACCGCTTGAGAGGTGTTCTGTTGGAGGGTTTTTGGAGTATATCCCAAAATGGGGTTTGAGAAACACAACGTGTCTCTGACACTGGTGGGTAATATATTGGAGGCAGGGTGAACAGTATCCAAAAGAGGCCCTGCTGATGCGGGCCTTCCCAGGGTAGATCATGTATGCCAATCGGTCAGGAGGAATTGGTGGGATAGACAAAGACAGATCAACGGAATAGATGGTCTTATGCAGAGAGTGATAACCAATAATGGGACTACCACAGCCAGTCCCCAATATCACTAGGGCCATGTTAAAGAACCAGGCCTTCCCCAGGCGGCAGAGACAGACCCAGAGGCCACCGAAGCAATGGTCACCTGCAGGGATTGAGAACCAGGCGTGGGAGAATGAATATGTAAATATTGCACTCAGAACCACTTAAAATGATCTAAATTGCAAAAGGATACTGTACAAATAGGCTAAGTGTACCACCAAAATCTATATTGAACAAAAATATAAAACGCAACATGTAAAGTGTTGGTCCTACGTTACCTGAGCTGAAATAAAAGATCCCAGAAATATTCCATATGCACAAAAAGCATATTTCTCTCAGATTTTGTGCACAAATTAGTTTACATCCCTGTTAGTGAGCATTTCTACTTTGCCAAGATAATCCATCCACCTGACAGGTGTCGCATATCAAGAAGCTGATTAAACAGCATTATCATCACACAGGTGCACCTTGTGCTGGGGGCAATAAAAGGCCACTCTAAAATGTGCAGTTTTGTCACGCAACACAATGCCACAGATGTTTCAAGTTTTGAGGGAGCTTGCATTTGGCATGCTGACTGCAGGAATGTCCAACAGGGCTGTTGCCAGATAATGTAATGTTAATTTCTCTACCATAAGCCGCCTCCAAAGTCATTTTAGAGAATTTGTCAGTACGGGGGTGGGGGCTGTTAGCCTAAATAACTTATTTAAATTGACTGATTTCCTTCTATGAACTGTAACTCAGTAAAATCTTTGAAATTGTTACATGTTGAGTTGATATTTTTGTTCAGTATGAGTTTAGACATTTCTAACATATACTGCTCACATTTTAGTAAGAAAAGTGGATATAAAATGAAAGATCTCTCTCATATGAAGTTTAATGACTTTACTTACATGTTTTAATAAGACAAAAATATTTGATAAAATATGTGAAAAGTCCGGACTGGGCTTAAATGGGTACCGAGTGTACCCTTTAAGCCCATTGGTGTTCCAAATAAGCCCACCTCTTAAATAATCCATTTTAATTGGATTATATTAATCTCCCCCAAAGTTATAAAAATAAACTGATCATTACTATTCATCATGAAAGTAGCACTCATAACAGGGGGATGTCCTATCCACAGAGATCAATGTGGACTTAGGCTTTTGTTCTTGCCGACCAGTACACACCCCATTCAACTAATCAACTAATCATAGACTTCAATCAAGACATGATTAGTTGAATCATGTGTGTTATTGCTTGGTTAGAACACAAACCTGAACCCACACCTCTGTGGATAAGAAGCCATGCAACAAAGACCATAACACACACTGATTCACATTTGATGTACTGAAATACGAATTTCAGTACAAGATACGAATCCTATATATCCCACCTAGCGCAGCAACACTGCCTGGCAGCGGAGCTGTGCGCACTGAGTGAAGCGCTGATAGATAGCTACATTTTTGGAGCCACTGCACACAGACATTAAGTCGGTCTAATTTACTTGAAAGTCTACAAAGTGAGACTTTGTCCTCGTCTTTCTTGGCTATTATATATATATTTTTCAATGTTAGTTTGAGTCTGCTGCTTCAACTGATAGCAAACAGGCAACCTAATCAAATCCCAAATCTCTCACAGACACGTGACAGGACTTGAGTAGCCCCGTTCCCACGGTAACCTACCGCCCTTTAAAGGGCAACTGAACATTTTGTCTTATCTAATACTTTGGTTAAAAGACTCGGTTCACAAACATTTTATGAAATTGAGCAATATACCACATTACTTCTTACTAATACATTTGTTTTAGAAACATTACAAAGCATGGTTCATGCCTTATTTTGTGTTTTTTATATAATTATGGCGAAAAAATATTTTATCTGATGGCTGGTACATTTTTTTCATCTACCTGCCACTATGGCTGGTGGGACAAAAAGTAGGCCCTGATGGCAATGGCAGAAAAGTGCCAAAAATATTTCTGATATAGCTTACAAGCTGTTCAGACCATGTGCTCCAGTAATGTCTTCTGTACTTCCTCATTGCAAGAGAACCCTCCCCAGCACAATGGTGCCCAAATGCTGGCTCGTTGATTAATCATAGAATTGGGTCACACCATGTGGACATTGCATTTGGGGCCAACATGTAATCAATCAGAACTATTTGGAAATATAATGGACGGACTTGGGGACTACTGTTTTTTGAAATACACTGCTGTGTCATAAGTACAAGAGTAGGTGAAGGGAATTATATTCATGTTTTCATTCATTAACAGACACCAGTCACACCATTGGACAATTACCACGTTTGGTTCAAAATGGTAATAAAATAAATGATATACTGCATGACATTATTAATGATCCAAGCTAAGAAAGAAAGATTTCAGTCATAGGATGTCACAATTTGAACCAATTAAATTAATATGCGTTTGCCACTATGGATAAAAAAAAGGTCAGTCACGTCAACTACCCATGTACTGTACCCAAAATAAGGCAGGCTGGTTGTTCTAGTCCCGTGTAGCTCAGTTGGTAGAGCATGGCGTTTGCAACGCCAGGGTTGTGGTTAGTTTCCCACGGGGGGGCCAGTATGAAAAATTTAATTAAAAAAATAACATTGTATGCACTCACTAACTGTA